AAAACACGAGAGCTGCGCGGTTATTGTCCACTCTGTAAATCCCGGTCGTCTCGATGAAAAAAGGGGGTCGCCGAAACGAGTGTGCCGGGACCAGGACGCTTAATCACGCGAAAACAAGATTTTGCATTGGCCGCAGAGTTGTCGGGTTAGGGTGCCACTCATCTCGGTCGTGTTCGAAAATGTACGCTCAGCTGGATGGCAATCGGTTCTGTCCATTGAAATGATGCTCTTTAAAATTTGAGCCATTCTGAGGCTTTTTGGGTGAGGCTCAAAGTGACTGACATTCCAGAAAAAATAGTTCTAATCCACATTATTGTCATCGCGGTTACCGAGGGAAACTCAACCGAATGAGAGACACGCTGTCTGGAGAGTAATGAACGAGTGTTCCATACAGAAAGAAAATGGCAAAACCACTGCGCGCAACTATTCTAACTCCCAAGCCGCTCGTATTGCCATCACGGTTATTGAAGGCGAACTCTACGCGATGACAGACACGCCGTCTGGAGAGTAATGAACGAGTGTTCCATACAGAGCGAAAATGGCAAAACCACTGCGCGCAAGTATTCTAACTCCCAAGCCGCTCGTATTGCCATTACGGTTATTGAAGGCGAATTCTACGGGATGACAGACACGCCGTCTGGAGAGTAATGAACGAGTGTTCCATACAGAGTGAAAATGGCAAAACCACTGCGCGCAACTATTCTGACTCCCAAGCCGCTCATATTGCCATCACGGTTATTGAAGGCGAACTCTACGGGATGACAGACACGCTGTCTGGAAAGTAATGAACGAGTGTTCCTCACCGGGACTGACCAAACTTATTTTAACGATTGGCCAACCGGTTAGCACAGTTGACTATTAGCGGTAGTTCCGAGTTCGAATCCCGGCCTGGGTGACAAAATTGAATGGTCTCAGATCTTCTCACTTTAGAGGAGCATGGAAGTTCGCTCTCTCTTTCATCTATCCTACCCCTCTCTTCAATTACGTCTTTTGGGTCCTTGTCGGCGAAAGAGGCTACGCTACTTAAGCTACCTTGAAACAAACTAATGTACTCGCCTTCCCCAAAACTTGATGTTTTGCCATAATTGCACCTCGACATTAAAAAACGCGCTAAAAAGTTTCCTTCACCAAACGCAGCGCGCTTGAATGGCTCCCAGCAGAAAACGCTCTTCAGTTTCCTTCCCAAAAAACAATTTTAAGACAAGACTAGGTGTCATTATTTTTAGGCGTTTCATGGTCTCCTGAAGTCATGCCGAGGAGGATTTAAATATTTCATGAAATTTTCTATTTTTGAGTCTGCTTCAAACTAGTCTAGATCGGAATAAAGATGCAAGATGCGGCATCTACGACAAGGCCCGGCGGGCGACGACAGGGGGAGGTGGGGGGCAACGACCGCACTTGGAGGGCGCCATTGCACATGTCTGCAATTGGTCCACTCTCCCGTGTTACCGAAGAGAGCAGAAAATGCAGAATTTTCCATATCAAGTTTCCCTTCTAAGTCGAAAAACCTTTGTTTTTCATAGAGTCCCTTTATACCCAGAGTTAAGACAACTCGATTATCAGCTGACTGGCAGCCGGCCTTGGCTGGCCATGGAGGCCGAAACGAGTGCACCCGAACGACCGATATTGAGGGATAAGGATCAGGAATCCTGCGATGTCTGTCACACAAAAACAACAACATCAACAAATTGATCAATTAAAAAGAAAATGAGATTGGTTTGTGAATAATTTCTTAATCTATTTTCATTTTGGACCGATGGAAATAACAATTTACTCTTGATGAACCACAATTAGGTAATATTTTCATTATTCTTGATCACATTCGAGGTACCGCCATCTTGGTGCACTCGTTTCGGCCTCCATGAGCGAGAACCAAACAGAATTGGATTTTTTTTTAGGCCACTTTCAGCCCAATCAAAAGTGAGTTGTCTTAACTCTGGGTATAAAGGGACTCTAGTTTTTCAAGGAGCCTCTTTCGGCGACGAAGATCCAAAAACAAAATTGAGGTGAGAAGAATTAGAGAACGAGAAAGAGAGCGAACATCCGCACCCCTCCAAAGTGAGAGGATCTGAGACCATCCAATAATTTCATCCAGGCCGAGATTCGAACCCAGAACCTCCGGTAACGGTCAGTTCTGCTAACCGCTGGACCAACCGTTCAAGAAACCTTGCAACCTAGAAAAGATTGACCGGGGTTGTCCAAACATGGGTGAAGTTTCCAGGTTTTTAGAGGGACACTAGCTTGCTCCTGTACCTACCATTACGGTTTAGTGTGATCTTGCGAGAATTCTACATATGTACAATTGAATCAGTGAGAACAAAAACACGCCATACCACGAAAAATTAAAATAATCAAGACTCGCACAAAACTGCACAGTAAGTGCAGAAGTTAGACTAAAAAAAATATTTTTGGTGTCGAAAGACAAGTACTTTGGGACACTTCAAAGGTCCGAGTTTGAACAGATGCCCTAACTGCAATGACCTTTATTAAAATTGATTGTCTTCAAAGAAAATTGAGCATTTTCGAGTTACCGAGTTGGTGTGTTTTCGTTCTCACTGATTCAATTATCAGTGATCATGAATAGTGCAGATTTGCGCACTTCAATGATCAATCAACTGCAACATATTTTCGTGAGACTTGCCAAATCAAGTGCTAAAAAATTGTTTGTCCCGACCGCGGACTATAATATAGCCATCCCCGTTGCCCAGTCTGCGAACTGGCGGTAGTTTATCACTTTCGCACACTTTTGATTCTGAAAGGTAAGCACTGCTGTATTTTAGTGCACTATGTTGCAACATTGCAGAACCTCTACTTTTCACGGTCAAATAATTCGAAAAATATTACGATTCTACACAAAATAAATGAGAGAGGAATACTGGAATTTTGAAGGCGAAATTTGTAATACTTAAAGCCTTCATATGAGATGCTGTCTTTGCCGCGGTAATTTTTAACTATCGTAAAATTACTACTCATTTTAAAACACTCAAAACTACTTAAAAAACTAGGAACACTTTCGGTTAAAATCCCAGTGGTAAAAACCACTACTAAAAATAATTGGACTAAAAACACACAGACGTCATCGAAGATGCTACGGCAGAAAATTTTAAATCTGATCTGTGTTGAGACGTTGCAAGAATGTACACTGACACAGATCTCGAAGATCACATCTCAAGTATTTTCTTGATGCCAAAACAGTTTTTTGAATGTGCTTCGAAAAGGTAATTTTTCACATCCGCCATTGTTACAGATAAGTCCTCATATGCACCCATCTTTCATACCTATTCTTTGTAAAGACATTAATCGCCTAAGTTGCTGAGTGTCTCTAAATAATTCAACTAACTTTATGTATACATTTCCGCCTTTTTAAGATTTTTCGATTTTTCAGAAGTTATATCTTTTTTACTTTGCAAAATATTTTGACCATTTTTTTTTTTTTTTTTTTTTTTTTTTTTGCATTTTGTAGAGCCTCATTAAAGCTACTATTCTGCCGCCAAAAAATTGAAATTTAAGGCAATAGATTTGGAGGGGTGGGGCTCGAAAGTGGGGGGAGGTCAAGTTTCTATTAAATTGTGTTGCATGATACATAGATCAATTTGTTTCCTCATGATTTTCTCAAGTGAGAAAAAAACTTTACACAGTTTTTCACAAGAAAACAAAATAGGGGTTCTCCAAAAAACTGCCAAAAGACTTCCTGAGAACTTCCATGACTGTTCCATCCATTTCCTTTCACGGAGGAGCAACTCTGGCAGTTGCTTTGCAGCAGCAAAGTTCAAGGATTGAGGAATGCAAGGGGAAAAAGAACAATGTCACAAAACTTGGTCTATCATGGTCGAAAGAGACAGCACTTTACAAAAATTCAACATGATACTTTCTTCCGTCACAACCATTATGGGGCAGCAAAAAGTTAAATTCAGCAAATGGTTGCTCAGGAAATCATGCTAGAAATTTGAAGCAGAATAGCTTCACCGATAATTGTCTTCTGGAGGGATCCACATGAGTTCCCTCCTCAATTGCTGCATTGAGAAAATTTTTATAGGGTTCATCTCAAGCTCTCAAAGACTCTGGGAAGTTTTTTTCTTGCTGCTGGTACCTACTCATATATTTACCCTTTGGCTGGAAAAATTAATGTGGCACCAAGAGGATTTGTAAAAGCTGTGTCCTTCGTGAAACAGTAAGATTCAAACGGGAGGCATGTTACTTTCAGTTCTGCAATGATATGTGTAGCCACAAACAGACAAAGCACCCTTCAAGTCATTAAAAGTCTTCTACAATACAGTAACATTAATTACGCGATAGGAACACTCTCCTTGAGTCGCCTATAAATAATTGGAAAATATAAGGTCTTTCTTCTCACTCTTTCAACATTCTCTCCCAGGAATTCCAATGGAATTATGTCAGCACTGTTGACAAGGATGAAGAAATAGAGGATTGCAATTTTTTAAAAAAAACTTGAGTCTCATGAATGCACCTGCTTCATGGGTAATAAATGGGATTAGCCCTTGAGGGCTGTTTAAAGTCCAAAAAAAAAATAGTGTATTTTTAAAACCCTTGGCATGTACCTACTGCCGATGATGTTCTTCTCTTGCGTATACAAACCCAAAATCTGTGGGAAGATCATACAGAAGGAAAGGAGGTGTGTTAGAAAATCTAGATCAACCTGAAACTGATTTCCTACTGCTGCTGTGGAACCAGAAACTTAATGGAAAAAGTGAGTGAAAACCCATTCAGTTAGTATTCTAGTGTTTGACGATAAGTAGAATCCTTACTTGGGGTACAAGAACATCCATCCACTGGTTACTAGAAAAGTATGGGATGTAAAGTTCATGATACAATTTTCCCTGCAGAGTGAGCACATTTAGGGATATTGGCTTGGAGCAAACATCAGGCATGAAAATATCAGGTTTTACAAAAGCGCTAACTATCAAAAACCTGCAAGTCGTCATTCAACATGTAATTTAGGATGCAGGAGAATTACTGACTAAATAATAATGTATTCTTACCACCTTGCTTACGAACTGGCATGATGCTGCTTCTGTAGCACGATCCGGATCAACAAAAAGAACTGATAAAGATAAGAAACACCCGGGAGAGAGTCCGCTTCGAAAACCGAGTTGATAATAGGGAGAAAACAACAAATGTCAAGTTTCCACGCTCTGACACAGTAATAAAACACACCGAAGTTTTAGGGGCTGCGAGTGATAAACGAACACCACTGGAAAAACGATGCCTGAGCAAATGGACAAAACGCGATTAGTCAGCCACTAACACATGATTCAGACCTACGGAAAATGAGGAAATCCTCGAATTTCGCATGCACTTCGTAAAACTGTGCAGGATTCACGAATTTGACCACTGAATTATTGTCACAACAAATCCCGAAACGACCGAACAACCCCAACTGCATCAAACAGTATGTCCAACAATATTTTTTACAACCAGGAAAACTTGATGGCCGAGCTTTTCTTTCCAGGAATAACACGAGACGCCCGGATGATGGCAGTCATTGACGTGTGACTATTTTATAAAATTACTTCTTTAAAAATTCAAATGAAACTTCGCAGAGGTAAAATTTCGTTATTTTTCGAAAAATGTAAATAAAAAAAAAAACTCTTATCAGTACCGTAACAGGAGAAGATCATGATAGTGCATTATCAAATTTGTTGTGTTTACTGATAACACTGTTCATCGATTTGCTGCTACTGTTGTTGTTGATGTTGGTGCTGACTGCTGACCTGCGGAAAAGAATGATAAGGTGCAGGCATGTCTTTTGAGGGTGTGATTTTCGTCTCGAATTAACTATCATCGCAGTGTTTCTACAATCCTATGTTCTTCTTTTTTCAGTGATCCCGTAAGTAATTACCTCTTTACAACTTGGAAGTTTTATATCTATGTATCCTTTTCTACATGCCAAATAACATCTTACTTGCTCCCTTTCATAGGTTAGAATTCCTCCACGGTCCATGCAACCGTTCACGGCGGGGCCTCGAATGCTCTTATCGTCGCAATTTCAGTGTTAATTGAGTTCAAAACTCGTCATTAGCGACTTCAGATATCACTGCATGTGAATGAAGGATTACAACGCAATGGAAAACAGTTGTGGATGGAGAAATAGGAAACCGGAACCAGCAGCCGGATTGTACGAACTTTAACTGGCTATGTCGGTACGATAAGACAAGACATAGCCCTATCTGCGCCATGTAAAATATCGATTTTCGATTCTTGTCGTGCCGACATAAATTTCAACAATCAGGCTGCAGGGTGGACCAGAGACGAGAGCCAAATAAGTTTGTGCACCTTTGGAGTGCGGCGGAAGATCTGATTGAGCGTTTTTGCAGGCAAAGACCCCCTACGAATGAGCAGGCGATCACAGAGCGGGAGTAGCTGGTGGAGCGTGCATGAAGCTCGCTCGGACTCCATGATTATACTCTGTTGCTCTCTCCTCTCCTCTACTCTTTGCACATCACATAATGGCGCCAAGCACAAATTTCACTCTCGGAGAAAAATTAAACTGCTCAGCTCAGGGAATTGACCTTTTTGATCGGGATTAAATTTCTAAAAGAGTTCAAACCAAGTACTAACCAGGGTAATTCTCAAAATTCTTTGGCAAGACATTTTTCTGATATAATTTAAGGATTACTTAAGGAGGGAAAATCTTTAGCATATCTGGAGAAATCACAAGCTTGTGTGGGGGCCCCGCAGCGTTCTGAGGCATTGAAATCAAATTCTAAACGTACCTACTTACATTTTGAATTTTGATGAAAAATAAGGGGGGGAGGGGCTTCATTTATATCTGAGCCATGGGGATGCCAGATGATGAGGGATGAGTTTGAGGATTTTTGCGCTCAGCAGAGATGTTTTCAGGAGCATTGGGGGAACTAGTTAGGAGGAGGGGGGAGAAATATTACCCTCTCCTGACTTCAAGAAATATGAGGGCTTTTGCTAAGTTAGCTGTGTTGCTAGACTTTCATTGTGGAATTTGTAATTCTACCAAAAATATTTTCATGTGAAGATGAACCATCAAGCTAAAAATTTAACTCAGCATTTGCACAAATTTATAAATTTTTTTTGTGGCACAATGGTACAACTTCTGGGAAACATCCTGTTAAAGGTAACGAGGCACTTAGCATATTTCTTGAAAAATTTGCTAAAAAAATATCTTTGCATATTTCTGCTTTTGATAACTTATACCTACAAAAGCACATAACGATCCAAAAAGTGGTGAATTTTACCAGTCAGGCATCAAGGGGTGAAATATGGGAGCATAAATATAGCATTAGGTACCTAAGATGACATTTGAATCAGTGAGTTCGAAAATACACCAACTCGGAAAAAAAAATTTTCAGGAAACACCTAAAACTTTGCAGCGGGCGAAGAAGTTAGTTTAAGAAAAACTTTTTTGGTGCCAAAGGACGCAAGAAGTACTCTAGAGACTTTAACGCACCAAGTTTCAGATACTGATTTTTCATAGTCTGCCCTAAAAAATTTATATTTTTTGATCTGACTAACGCTTGAATATTTATATAACTTGTTGGCACAAGGTATACTGAACCGAAAAAATAAAACCGCATCGGATAGTCGCCCGTTTCCCTTGATCGGCCAAAAATTGGTATTTCCAATGAAATTCTTCGATTCTTCCCTTTTTCCGTCGCCGTTTCGAACACTTCCGATTGCAATTTCAAAATATCCTTTTGCGTGCAGATGCTTCTACTTATCCATAAGTGTTACTAAACCGTAAAAAAGTGAAAATCGAAAAAAACCCGTGTTGGAGTGTTTTCGAACTCACTGATCACTGATTCATTTTACATTATTGGAGACATGATTATGTGGATGGATAAGGTGGGGAGACGGCAGACGATAGGATGGGTTATAGTAGGTATTGGTTAGAGAGTGCTCGAACTGCTCTGAGTTCCCGTCGCGCCACGCAGCCATCTTGCCTGCTCATTCCGAGGGGGTCTTTGCCTGCAAAAAGTAAACATCGGAAGATCTGTAACCTTTACTTATTCTTGTTGTCATTTTCCATGCGGACTGAAGACAGCTTATCTTCGATCGCTCTCTAAAAGTGCCCTAACTCATTTGGCATAGACTGCTGTGTCAAAGGATAAAAATAGAAGCTACTGTCATCTTTTTAGCTGACGCAACTCCTCCTCTATTGCAAGACCACTCTTTATGGTAGTGTTAAGAGTATTACAGTGGTTGAAACATTTACTTTTGATGCTCCTAGTTCCAATTCTTACAAGCAATTGCCTTCTTTTCTCATTGGCTGTGGGATCAAGAAAACATGGTACTTACTGAGAACTGGGGAAAGAAATGATGAGACAAATGTCACATCCAAAAATTGCACCATTCAACAGATATTTACATGTTAACCAATGGGCTAACTGAGATTCGACGCATCCTGACTAATGTGATTTTTGTCTCTTCCTTTCTTTCCCTAGTTCTAGGTAGCAAGCAAAGAAGAAGTATACTCATGGCCGAAGTGCAAAATGATATACCTCCGTTGCGGTGTTTCAAAATTTCTGTTCCTCTTTTATTTTTTGGAAAAGAATCAAGCAAACTTCATCACTTGAAATTTACACAGAATATTATGCTAACAGAGAAGAAAAATTTCAGGAGTTCTCAAGTTAATACGTTGACAAGTTGTCCAAAGTAGAAGTGAATTATGACAGGATGTCTGTAGTGTTGCTAATGGAAATGCGTGATTCGACACTTCGGCCATTGTCATATCAGTTCCTTACTTCTTCCTTCCATGAAGTCCTCAGTTTTCCTGAGCATATTATATCCATCCCACTGTTCAGAGTGTAGATAGTATTCTACTAAAGGAAATCGACGGTGTGAGTCGGCAATCACATAACTCCGTTTGCAACGTCGCAGACTTCCTGTTATACTTTATTTTTTGAACGGAAAACTATGCAACGGCAATTCTTTAAAACTGCTGTGATTTTCCTTCTCTATGCAAAGAAAATTCTGCATAAACCTCAAGGAATAATGTCAATTTGTTCTCCTATAGAAAAATAACATAGAGGCAGAGATTTTCAGACACCGCAAACAAGATATGTGATTGCGGACTTACGCTGTCGAAATAGTGCACAGAGATAGAAATTAAAATTTCTCCATTATGATAGAATAACAAGTGCGGTGTTGCTTATTCTACCATTTCTAGTGGTACATCACGCAGTTTGGACTTCATTTTTATACATAATGTTTATTTCAATTACTCATTGTGCCTGTCATCTTCATTTTCAAATACCTGCAATTTGTCATTTCCAGGTGTGAATGCTTCAACTACTATGGTATTCGTTCAAAAGTCTAGCAGATATGAGATGCCCCCCGATGCCATTGTTTTAACACCAAGAGAGGCTGCAAAGTATCAATTTGAAAACTTTGAACGTTTGAATAAATCTGTTACGTATGTTGTTGTCTTAATCTCAGAAAAATATTTACTTGCCTGAAAGTAAAATACGAATGAGGCTTTCAGTAATAATTACAATCCTGGGGATGATTTTTCTTAGCTGTTCTTAACTGTTGATTTCTTTCATAAAAAGTCTTTGGACTGAGACCATAAAAGGACCCTGGCGCTGGCCACATTTTATGATTATATGATAGGATACTCTTTACAACCTCCTAAGCATGAGTTTTTAAAATCGAACTTTCCAACTCCCTCTGTGTCAATTTCATAATAATTAGGGTTGAAAAGTGAATTTTTCGGCTTTCCTTACACGCATCTTCTTACTGAGATGTAGAACTGTCACTTTCTGTGTATGGATGCTGTGTGATGCCCTGTTATTGTTCAAAGGATTTTAATTCTTTTTGTCTGTCTGATGCACCAGGCAGCAAGGAAACATAAGCTCTCTACAATCACCAATCAGTTGTTTCAACATTTCTGCTATGATGTAGGTAAAATAGCTAAAAAATTTGCTTCTCAGTGCCTTTTTCTCAAAATTGGCAGTTTTTATCTGATTTTTCCTCATCATTTTTTATCTGAGTGAAAATGTCTCAATATTTTCTTAAGCTGCAATGAAAATTGACTTTTACATATATCGCCTTGCTGTGATGAGTTTCGATGCCCTAAAAATGAGAATTATACCAACAGATTCAACGGACTATTCCATGCTAAAAACTTCCAGCTAATACTTAGTATGCAGATTTGCAATGCCAACTTGTCTCATTTTTCTGCATAATGTGTGGATGGAGGAGTATACATTATGTCAATTAGCACTTCCAGAAAACATTTTTGCCATGAATCAGATCGAAATTAGTTCATAAACAATTTGAACCGGGGATACTTAATACTTTAGAATAAGGTGTTTGAGCTGACTATCTTGTAAGATACGGATTTAGAGATTTTAATGTCTTCACTGTGCTCTTTAGGAAAATTTGATGAAAAAATACCTATTACATGATACTTGGGTTTTTACTTTGTTTGGTGGTCCACTAGATTGAAAAAAGTGGCCCCTCCTTTATTGTATTTTTTACTCTTCTTCTTCCAGGTGGCCTGTTTTGTATGGTAGAAAAGTTATAGCTATTTCTGTACTCGTTCAAAGCTCTTACCTGTTAATGAGATTTAGAACAAGGCATAGGCTTGGTAACTATGGCCTCCTTTCATCTTCGCTACCTTTTTGTGCTGCTCCCACCTTAATGTCAGCCGCCTTTCAAGAATCTGTAAGTGTTGAACAAGTTTTTTTCTTCTTTTAAAGCTAATTTCAAAAGTACAACTCAACTTATCCTAAATAGACAGTGCTCAAAGAGCCAAGTGCTCCGTATTACATAATTTTTTTTTTTTTTGGTATCTGAATCTGGAGAAAATTTAATTTAAATGTCGGAAAATGTGCTGCTGAGTGACATCATAGTGTCAGCACTTCCACATCAAGAAAGTATTTATCGACAGTGTAAGTCGAAAATCACGTAACTCGTTTGCGGTGTCTGAAAATCTCCGTCTCTATGTTAATATTTTAAAGGAGAACAAATTGACATCATTCCTTGAAGTTTATGCCAAATTTTCTTCGCACAGAGAAGAAAAATCATGGCAGTTTTAAAGAATTGCCGTTGAGTAGTTTTCCGTTTAAAAATTAAAGTATGACAGAAAGTCTGTGATGTCGCAAACCGAGTTGTGTGATTGCCGACTTACACCGTCGATATATGGCACCAAATGTCACTCCAATGTTTGATTTCCTCATTAATTCAATTTAAAAACTGAGCACTTCCTCGTGCCCTAATAACCCAATAGTTTTCATTCCTCAATGAAATTATAATTAATCAACTATCAGACACTTGTAAATTCCGTTGTCGTTAATTTTTTACCTTTTTCGCAGCTTGATACAAACATCTTATTTATATCTATTTGTTTTCTTTTAGTTTATTACTGAGAAAGTGATCCTTCAAAATGAATGCTCCGTCTGCTTACACACAAACTCAGTACTCGCACTTACCTTTTTCACACATATTGTAGGTGGTGCTGGTGGAGCGATGGCAACTCTTTACGTAAGGATCCTTCCTTTCTTATTGCTCCATTGTTATTTTCTTTACTGTCTCAAATTTTAAAATCAAATGATTTGAAGTTGAGGCAACCTGTAAATGCCTTAAACTAACATTGTATCTTGCTCCAAGATTACCCATATAACAAAACTTGAAGTATCGTTTTGTACAGATGACATGAGAAGAAATAGATGCTGATGGCCATTGGTCATGCACCATTTAAATCTGTTACCAAGGCACTAAGTGGTTGGCTTCCATGGGAATATCTCTCATGATTATGTACTATCAGCTATATGAACTGTTATTGCCTCCTTGGATGGAACACACATTTCTAGTCTTTGGTATGGCAACCGTATTCATGACCACAAAATACTGCCATTAACTACCAATAATTTTGTCTTCATTCATAACATTAATATAAACTTCAAAGGATTCCACTTCATTCCACTTTTTATTCGAGTCTGGTAAGGTTGCCAGATTGTGCGATAAATGTGAATATTTTACATAGATTTGAACTGGGAAAAATGCTGAAAAAGCAACTTATCTAGCAACAGTAGAGTCTGGGAGGGACGAGAGGCTGCCTTCCTGGGAAACCCATGATTTAGGAGGAAATGTCATTTAAACAAATTAGTTCCGTTTGAAGCATCAAATGTATTCCAGGGAAAGCTATTTTAAAATAATAATTGTAAATGGACACAGATGCTACAAAAAAGGAAAAAATGAAAGTGAAAGGAAATGAAGTGAGCATATAATTACTTTTGCAATCAGAGAGAATAAAAAAAAATCCGAGTTTATATGCAATGAAACTATAAGAAAAGAACACAAGTGGGCTCATGGCGATTTGGAACTTGAACTAAACTATTGTTGAGCAGTTTTAGACCCCTACGCCACCGATAATCTTCTTAAGAAAAAGATGATCTTTAGCTACTGCAGCGAGTTGAATCGGGGAAAGAGATCTATAGTTGTCACTTTCCTCCTCCCAATGGGACTGATGGCCCAGTCTAATGTGTTTTTTAAGAAATATTTGATCACCATCATTGCTTCATCTCCATATATTTGTTAATGTGCAAATGATGGCACGCTCCGGTAACGTTCTGTGACAAAATAATTTTTGTCTTGAGAGTTTCCTAAATGTACACACTATAGTGATCAAATGTTCAACCACTGAGAAAAATGGCTAGCGTAGCGAGTGACCGGGGGTCCAGGGGCATAGCCCCTTTGTTAGCCATGGTGACTGCGTAAAGTGCGCCCAGAACAGCTAGTAATTATTTAAAATTGGGGCACTTACAGGGTAATGGAAGTTGATGAAAATTCAGTCATTTACATTTTCAACAGGAAATATCCTTATAAAGGGTATCTGATGCACTTTCACTGATTTTTATCTACACTCTCTTCCCTTATTGAAATTTTCGAGTGTGGCATAGATTTGATACGATCTTTACAATCACCATTTTTTTAAACTTTTATTTTAATTAATAATAATAATGAGTCCCTAGACAAGGTATAAAGTGGAGAAAAACGTCCTATGTTTTCTCTTTTAAATCTGATGTCAAATACAATTCACACAGTGGGAAATTACACATTGGAGTAATCTGATACAGTTATAATAGAATAATTTTAAGGGGAGAGAACACCCAGGCCTATGGTCAAAATACCCTCAGTGCAGGGAGAGGGCCCGGCCCTCACCCCCAACCCTTTCCCGCAGTTACTAAGAATCATACAAATGACGTCATTTGTAGGCCATTTAACCAATACTAATAGGAAATACTTATATCATGTTTCGGAGTTAATTTTCAGACTTCCTGTTGTATGATTCGCTTTCCCTATGTAATTTTGAGGAGAAAACCCGTAGCGTTGAGCTTTAATTCATACCATGTCTGGAGACCCATTCTTCTTAATTACATAATAATAAATGCACACCCAGACCGTCTCTCAAGTTGCATTGGTTCGTAGGCTATATTTAGCCACCACACTCTCTCTCTTCTGGAAAACTGAGCAGTTTTTTTCAATTTGAATCTGTACTAAAAGCTTGGCTTACTTTTCCTCGCCCTCTTCTTAAAAGTGTGTAGAGTAACCTCTGAATGGCCAGATAGTCAGGTGCAGAATATGTTAAATAAGATTTGATCAACTTTATGCTTTACTAAATAATTTTGAGTAACAAACTTCCCATCAATATAATATACATAAGAGTCACTTTTACAGTGCTCTCTGGTAGCCCACAACACCCCACTGGCACAGACCCCTGTTCTCCTAAAGCCATTCTGGGAGATGGCATTCTCTCTTTCCTTGTTCAACCCTATGTCGCCACCCTTTCTCTGGGCGTCCTCTTGGTCTCCCTCTCCACCCAGAAGGAACCCAATGAAGGATCCTTTTGGCAGCATTTCCTCCATCATTCTGCTCACATGATCTTACTGGATGAACCATTAGGTCACAATGTCGAATACGATGCCATTTTTGACTTCCGATTTGACACTCTTTATCATTTTACTCCCGATCTCCTCTAGAAATTCCTGTAGACCTCCTCCAGAAATTATGTATTAAGTCTTGTGTTCTCAACCTGTGCTTCAAAGGAAGGAATGTCTTGTCAGTTTGATATCCTCTCTATACATGTTTATTTTTCAGTTCCAATCATAACGTTTCTTTCTCTCTTTTTTTCAGTATGCACATAGCAAGGGTACGTACACACTACCACCTCGCTCAGGGTCAGGTTTGCTAAAATTTGGCAAGGATGTCTTTAATTTGAACAGACGATTTTCAAATTATCACTGGATATTTCTCGCTTTTAACATTCTTCTTTCGGGTACAGTGATCGCCTTGCAAGAGAGAGCAACAAGACAGGTCACTGAAATTTTAGAACAAGAAGATTATGATCGGGTAAAAGAAAGTTATCTGAGGTCGAAGCAGAGGCGATACAATGTATGAGATCATAAGTTTACATTAACTGACTTGTAGCATGCAGCTCTTGATTGTCATTTCATGTTAAAAATGTGAACTCTGTTGAACTAGTCCAGGTCTTCATCGGAAATTCTCTGTTCCAGCTGTAATGAATGTTCTTGGAATACTTGGTTTGGTTTGGTTTGAAACGTAGGATTGTTAAAAACCAGGCACATTTTATTGTTTTTGCAGTTTAGCTACGATTCACTTCAGGAAATCAATTTATTCTCATCCTATATTAGGGTGAGAAAAGAAATGAGATCACCCTCTAACTCTGTGATCTAGTGGTCTGCCTTCCCCCTGAAATTTTATGAGCCACCTTGGCTGAAAAGCCTACTTTTTAGGAGTCATTTACAGTTTTCAGGAGCCAAATTAACTTTTTCCACACACTATGTTGTTTCGCTCTGTGTATGTACCATTCTCGAATCTTTTCATTCTCAGGCTCAGTTGTGCAGCAAGCGGTGCCCTAGGAGCCTATTGCTGCTCTGCAATTGCGAGTTTGAAGTGCTCAAAGAAGTCAGACCGCTGGTATGATCTTGTAATGTAAATGCATTTGCGATTTAATGGGCCCTCTTCAGAAGAAAATATTTGCTCATTATTTTTAGCTCTCATTTGTTTGAAAAAAATCAGAGGGAGATTTATTATTTGTAAGTAGCAACCAATAATGTTGGTGCCTTGAATGGAATAGTCAGTTATTGAAGGTCTGCTGTATCTTGTTTGGAGTCAATTTTCAATGAAGTCCATTTAAAATTGAAGGAGGCAAAAATGCTTTCAACGGCTGGCATAAGATCCATGAAATTTTTTGAAACGGATGGTCAACAGTTGACTGAAGCTTCAATTTGTATTTATTTAGTTGGTAGATATTTTTGAATAAACTTGTTTTACTTCTTTCGATAACTTAATTTTTGAGTTCTCCTTGTGCATGACTGAGAGTTCTTTAATACATTACATGCAACTTTGAAATGAGACTATGCAGCCATAAAAAATACCAAATTTTCTGAAGTTACTCTACTTAAGTAACCTTTATCCAATTAAATAAATTTCAGACTTCAATTAATATGAAGTGAAGTCAACAAAATGCACTTCTTTGAATGGACCACTAGACACGGTACGAATTTAAGCATTCTGATACATATTTCTTAACCAGAATTTCACGTAGAACACGATTCGCACAACGAAAATTACTGAAACCAACTCCTAACGGAGATATGGATATTTTTATTTCACATTGGTTACGAGGAATTTGAACTGCCTGCTGGCAAGAAACTCAAAGCTCTACGTGAGTCAAATCGCGCACTATGACGGTTTCAGTGAGCTTCTCAATCGAGCAATGTTCATTTCCCACCATATGTTCTTCAAACTATGAGCAATTGGCTAGGCTGAGCCGAAGCGTCAAGATTGAGGTTGCCAGATCTTTATATCGCAGAGACTGCCATGATAACGTTTAGCGCACGATGTGAATTACGTTGAGCGTTGAGTTTTCATGAGCGGGTGGTCTGAATTCACGTATCAAGAATCATTAAATATCTTCGTAAGGAGTTGATTTCGGCAATTTTCGTTCTGCGCATCGTGTTCTATGTGAAATTTTGGTTACGAAACATGAATCAGAATGCTGAAATTCGTACCTTGACTAGTGGTCCATTATGAAACTAATATAGGAAGCAACCACCACTGACACTAACAGTTGCAAAAGAGATAGTTTGTTTTTTTTTTTTTTTTAATTCTTAAAATGATGATTGGCTGTCATAATCAGAGAGTTGCCTTAAAAAGAGCTGGTAATTTGGTGAATTTTAATGAGAAACGAGTTTCCAAGCTTTAAGGAGTTCATAGCTGATTTTTTACTGAAAAAAGAGGCTGTAAGTTGAAGTCATTAAAAGAGAGTTTCTCATTGGCCTGAGGCTTATAAAGTCATATAAGGCGATGAGATAAGGGTTTCAATCACCTTAAATCAAAACAACATTGCTGCTGTAAGGTTCAAATCATGAATAAAATATTTGATTTTAAAAAAAGACAAAAAACTGAATTTCAAGCAGCGTTACAATTGCATGCAGATTCAGTTCTGTGTCTGAAACAAATTAAACAAGATAGTGTAAGATTATTCTCTACACCTTCTCTTAGAAATTAATTTATAGAAAGGAATGAACACTCCTTCAATGAAATTTTAACAATAGAATAATGACAAATAACATACATAAGTTATGAAAAACGTATATATTTTATTGTACTTACAGTATTTACAAATGTCTTTCTCACACAAGTCCAAGTCTTTTTCCTTACATTAGTAAACAAATGATGGGTCCTCAGAACGGCTCACTGTCCGGGTAGGTTACACATTGTACAGTTCATATAAATATGGTAAAAAGCCAAAGGCAAAAAATAGGTGCAGCATTTTACTCCACCTTCCCAATATTTGATTTTAAAATTCTTTTAAAGAATAAGGAATTTCTTTTTGAAAACCATTTTAGAATTTTTAATTTCAATTCCAAGCAAGGAAGAAACATAAAACCATCCAGGTTAGCAAGAAATGAAAGGACCTTTTACTGTTGAAATTAAATGTACCTAGCATAGAAAAATTACGAAAATGGGATGTAAGACAACAGTCTCTATTGGTTGCCATCCTTCCCGCACAAACCCCCGAGATTCCCTCTTTACGGATTTCAGAAACTCCTGGACTTCCACTACATTTACACAATACAATGAGAATTACTTCAACTAGGGATCCATGGAGTAAGTATAGTGAAGTTACAATAAGTTCCCAGAACAGGTTCGCCTGAAGTTCTGCGAACTGCGCTCAAAAGGACAAGGCCTGATGTGAACAGTCTTTTTGATCCATATTCCTAGTTGACAATCAAGTTTTGTTCCACTACTTGAGACTTGCTGTCCGATGCCTTGAGCTCCGGGACAAAGTTTTCACTACATTCAGTCTGATTAAGTAATTCTTTCTCTCCATTGTCATTAGCCCTATTCTCAACATTATTAATGTCAGAGACTACATTATTGTAATCTCTTATAACATTTAAATCATTCGTTCCTTCCTCTGTGACAACTTCACTTTTAATAGAGGTCAATTTTTTCTCTAATATTTCTTGTTCGTTGGTCTGCTCTAATTTTATGCTCTCATGTTTTAATCCTTCTTTGGATTCTGACTTGATGAAATCTAATAATTCTCTTTGATTCAGTTGACTAAAATTTCCATTTTCTCTCTGGATATCTGGTTTATGCTCAACAGTCTCTGTATCTTCATCCTTTGATTTTTCCAACTTTATTTTTTTACGTTTGCTTTTACAACATTTTTCCTCATACAACTTTCGCATTAATTTCACTTCACTTTCCGGAATCGTCCATTCACTTTTTTCTGAGCCTTTTGTTGGATCTAGTTCAGGGTTGTAGTCTGGAATTGGCACATTAAATTTCTTCATCAGTTTAATCATGATATCGTCTACATAAGTGTGGATGACCAGATTGGCTTTCTTGTCCTGAAATATGAGATAAAAACGTTTTGATAATAGTTCAACTCATAGAATCACAAACCAGAGATGATAGAGGCATGTGCCTCCTAATAAATCTCAAAAGAAACCAAGAGAATGATAGATCAACCTACTTCTACATTCTACATTCTATCTACATGTGTGCTCTTCAGTGACAACATCTAAGCTGCAAAAGGGAGCATCATTCCCCTTTCTTTCAAGGATTTCAAAAATGTCCAGGATAAGATAATTTGGACTTTCAGTGTCATATGTAAAAGGCTAAAATTCAGCTATCGATTCTGCCCCACAATCATCACTTTCTATGACATAGATCTAATGAAATAATAAGATTTTCTCCTCAAAACCATCTCCAGAATCTGCGAAATAAAAATTCTCCAGGTTTTAAGAAGTATCTTAGAACTGCAGATCAATGTGTGCAATAATCTTTGATGGATAGCTTAATGATAAAACTTTGTTCTTCCAAAAGCACTGATTGGAGAAATTCCCCAACATTTGAGAATGATTATCTTTAAAAAAAGACTTACGTATTTTGTTGGCTGAAGATTACAGATAACAAGCCGACCATTATTGAATTTTTTTGTATTAAGAGGTAAAGTTCCACTGGGTATGATTTGCAGAGTTGTTCCCAGACAGATGCTGAGATCAGCTAAACTGTAAAAAAAAAACAAGACTGATGAAATATTTCCAATTTATTCCCATGTTATCTGATCAATTGACAAAATCCTTTGTTGATTATAGCAATTACGAGCATCTTTCCTATCCCTGTCCTTATGGATAAAATTACCTTGATCCCCTCCTCTGCGCTATTAGGTCTTTTATTTAAGTGGTAGCATGTGTGGAGCGTTGTACAGTATATTTTTGAGAAATGATATCCTTACACAGAAGGGATATATTGGAGTACAAAGGGCAATTCTATAGACATCAGGAAAAACAGAAAAAATTTAGAAAACAAAAGTTACAATTGGAACATTTAGGGTATCGAACAACTTAGAAAAAACAAAATGAGACAGCAAATCGGCTGTAAAACCTTCATGACAGTATGGCAGTAATTTATTTTTATAGAAAACAATCCAGCAGATTAAAATTAGTTATTGTAATTTTTCTCGAGAAAATGACAAGTTACCTGTTGTACCTGCCATTCACGGTATCATCTAGATCTATAAATGAAAAGTAAGATACAGAAGGCTTACCATGAATGAAAATCAGCAAGCCCTAAATCCTTCTCAGGTAGATTGTGTTCCCAATCTAAAATAACATCATGCAAGTCACCTCGACATGGTCGTCCATTCAGTCGAAGACCAGGACACTTTATTTGAAGATTTTTCTGGCCAACAGAGGTGGTAGCAGTTTTTCGAACGAATTGTCTGAAATTTTAGGACGGTAAAAAAAACAAATTACTATCCGAAAATATTTGATGAGTACCTGGCTATGCAAAGCACGTAACAACTTTATAGTCTTTGCAAATACATTAGACCCCAGTTTGGGGCGGATATTTTTGAGCTCACCGTGAAAGGCAATATTGACATATGTCTGATGCCGGCAAGAGACCAACTTTCTGAAGCTGGGCTTGCGAGCTTTCATTCAGAGTTCCTACAGATCATGTAATCATGTAAGGGCATATAATACTACTAAATTTTCATTTCCATCACATAATCGTATGAAAATTACATAAAATTACCATAATTTTGTTTCATCACTCTATTTTTGGGTCAAAGTCTCGGTCACATGGCCAACTTTCCTTACAAGCTATTTTATTAGCCTTGCGGTTATACTTTTTTGCAAAAAATGGTCACATACAGTCATAAAAAAGTGCCATATTTATGTTTTTAGGTTTCTGTAGACACTCTGTTATTCCCATTGTGTTGCCACCCTGTCTTCTGGCACATCCCATTAAAACAAGCAAAACAAATGCGAAAATTCACTTAGTCAAATTTTGGTAAATTGTAGTGGTGGCAAAATGCAAGGCCAAGCTAAGTAAGAACTAATAAAATTCAACTGCAAACAGGTTTTGCTGCCCAGTGAATGGAGCCTAAGATTGTACCATTTATTTCATGGAGCAAACTCAATCTTTATCCAAACATTATCGCCAGAATGCACTACATTTTAAAACACAGGGGTGCAAAAACTTTCCGACCATTAAACAAACCTGATTGCAGACTGGTCATGGGAAAGGGGGAAGCTTGTTGAATTTTTCGATATTTAAGAATTATTAACGTTTTTGTGATGGAAAAGTCCTGTTTCTTGAGGCAAAAAGCATTCTTTTTTCCTTCAGTTATTAAGGGAATCAACAAATACTTCAAGGGAAAGAGAATCGAGGAATGCTTGGAGCTTGCAGCAATTGTGTTAATGCAAACTTAGTGTTTGAACTTTGATGTTTTTTTGCGTGAAAAAGACTATCTGCTCCTTGGAAGAGTAAAAAACATACCTAAAGTTAATAACAAGAGTAAGCACATAACTGAAGGCCATGCTCAAAAGAAAAACATTGGAAAAAGAATTGTTCAAAAAATTACCTGTGGCAATGATTACACTGCTCTATAAACATATTTCCATGCAGTTCCGATAAATATTTGCGAGGAACTCCTGACTTTAAATGAAGCCCATCAATATTTTGACTGACAATAAAATGAATCTTACCTGAGGGAAGAAAATTAAATACCTATATTTATTAAGTTTGCAATCATACATATACCTTGAGATGTTTTCAAGAACTAAACTTAAATACTGTTGGAGGGGGGGGGGGGCAAAAGTTCTGAGAATCATGTCATCATTTGCCAAGGTTTCATTATGTAAAATCCTATTTGAGAATCAAAATAGGCTTACTATGAAGTCTCTGTACCGAAATTCTGTGATCTCCTAAGAGCTTGCAAAAACCTTCTTCCCGAGCGTTATGAGAAAATTTTGCCCATTTTTAAATATGTTTGTGTACGCCTATTTTTTAATGACTCGAGTAATTTTTTAATTGGTGCACTGTTAGCAGGTTGCTCACAAGGAATTTGTGAATGAAAAGATTATGCATATATATCTCACTTTAAGATTCATCATCAGTAATCATGTCCTAAAAAAATGTCCATAGTGACAGAGAGAGTCAACTATTCCTTGCCATGCAAATTGTCTTTAATTTTGTTTCAGAATTAAAACTTATGTGCGATGACACTATAACACCCAAGCTTGCAAATAGGATGCAGCAATGTATTACAGGTTGCCACAGAATTCAGAAAATCCCTCATTTTCCTGACACATTTTAGTAAAATTCCCAAACAATTGAAGCTACCCATGCCAGACGGTTAAAAATACATTATTTGAAATAATCCCCAAGCAATATTTGCTGTGCAAAACGTCAAACCCATTTTAAAAATCAAATAGAGGTAGGCTCACAATTTTTTCTATGGCAAGATCTTAAAGCATGCAGCAATGATCTACATTTAAGAGACCCCAGATCACTGTTTTGTGTTGATTGGATCATAACTGTGAACGATAGCCCAATCTTCATTAGTCTTTGAAAAAAATAGATATTCTGTGAGAAAAAAGAAATACAGTTACTTACAGGCAGGAAGGAATGGTAAGATCTTAACTTATTACTGAAATAATGTAAAAAGAAGTACCCAAATCAATCATCTTCCTTAAAGCCATGTGTGTCTTTGTCGGTACAGCATCATCAAAGGAAATGTTAATACTTGGTTTTAGTCCTTTCGCTTCTAAAGTCCATACCCCATTGGGGCCCCTGATAAAACCAAAAACAAGAATTAATGGGACACCAGGAATTTTGCAGGAATACTTTAGCTAAAAAAAAAATGAATAATGATTTTTTAAAAATGCATAATTTAAGGTACTCAATAAAAAGTATCAAGACTGTAGCGGTGCCCGCCTAAATAGCAGTTAACTTCATCGAAAGTCTTATTGACAGGGTACATCATAAATTAATGTATCAAGTTACTAATAAGTTTGTTTTTACACTTATTAAATAGTATCAAAAATTCACTTCTATGAGTCTACAACAGTTCCTACAGGACTATAGAATTTAAAATCAATATAAAAAAACACTTTTCTAAAATTTTGAGAAGCTCACAATGTAAAAATCAGATGATTAAATGGACGCATTTCTGTCAAACGGAACTATGTGCATTAAGACATGAGCCCTGAGACCCATAAGAATACATGCATAACAGGGCTCACGTCCTAATGCACATAGTTCCGTTTGACAGAAATATGTTCAAATGACATTATTCCATAGCTGGGAAAAAATTATGATTTTTGGCTCGGTCTCGAATTCTTTCTGTACCTAGGTACTCAGGGGCCATTCATAAATTACATCACCCATTTTTTTCCATTTTTTGACAACCCCCCCCCCCCTCTTTATAGGAGAAAACACAGAGAATCGATGAAAGTCAGTAGATATAGTCTGCAGCGTTAAGAACATGATTAATTTCTTTTATTGAGTATGAAATACATGTCGTGCTCTATAAAGAAGGAAAAGAATTAAGGCAAAAATATGTCAACGGCTGAAAAATTAAACGACGCAAACTTTATTGCTTTGAGAAAAGTTGGAATTATTTATTGAAAAATCGCAAAAATTGAGTAAAAATTAAATAGAGAAAACCAATTTTTGCCTTCAAAAACCTTGCGTGATCCTTGACTTAGCCCCTTCCCCCCTCCTTGTCATCCACCACTGGACCTCCCTTCCCCTACTTGGATGACATAATTTATAGACGGCCCCTCAAGAATTTTCTCAAAATGAAACCAAATGGTACTGCTTTTTAGTCTTAACATCGAAGCTGGTGGCAATGTAAAATTTTCATAAATCGACATGGCCTCAAGGCCACACCGCTTATGATTATTCAGAATTTTCTTTTCCAAAAGGTCTTAAATACTTTGGTCTTCCCCCAGAGTCTTTGTCGTTTCAAATGTCTCAAATCCCCGCCTCGATGATTAATGCACAGTACTTAAAAAGGCAGTCGGTTGTACTGAGCCATGCTGAACCAAAATTTGTATGATCAAAAGATACGCTGTTGGAACCTATAGATCCTGTTTCTGGTAGTATTTTACTTGATGAAGGAAACCCATCAACATGAACCAGTGAAATTGAAGAAAATCATCGAAAAATTTATCACAAAAATTGATTTCATAAGAACCTGAAATCTGGAATCCCAGCAGAGGTACTGATTCCAGCACCAGTATGGACAACAACATGGTTACTGTTCTGAATCCATTCCGCTAATATGTCAACTTTCCTGTTCACTTCCTCCTCTGAGTCAAATTCCTGTTGGGAAAACGGAACAAAGCAAGTTGTTATTCAAGATAAAATGTGTTGCTTCAACCGAGCAGCTTGTAAAAGAGAGGGTTTTTTTCAGAAAAGTCCGGTTTTCATTCCTCAAAATGTACCTAATTTTCCTATTTTGGAGCAGAAAACCACAGTCGGATGAGTGTACACTGATTAATTTAGAAATGTATGGCCACATGAGATGAATGAAAGCTAGATTACCCTCCATAAAAAGTAATCATCAAAAGTTACTAACAGAGGTGAGGTTGAAGTCGATAATGAGACTCATGCCTGTGGAATCTGTCCGCCTTGTTGGGCTAAAACAGCATTACCTGCTTGTTGATGGCACTAGTTGGCTGGCAGACACTAACCGACAATATCTTTCAAGAAATTATAGAATAGTTCACCTTCTAATTTTGATTGCACACTTCTGTCTGCTACATTAATTTATTTTTTTAAGAATTTACATTTATAGTTTTCATACTAGAGTAAATCGACCCCCAAAAGCCAAAGCTTGTGTGGGGGAGTTACTTACATGCTTACAGTAAAAAACAAATCTAGCGAAGGTAGTAACTACTATTGAACATTGATAACAATATAAATCTATGTTACTTAAAAACAATTATATCTTGTTGAACTACATTTTGCGACACAGAATTACCATCTCTGGCGAGTCCGAAAAAACAATTTTAAAAATAAGCAGTCCAACTTGATTGGCAAGTCCTGCTAATTAATTTTGATTTCTCTTATAGTGTTGAATAGCTAAAAGATGTTTTATCCTTTGAGTTACCTTTCCATACTCAATCCAAAACAACACCTCCACACAGCATTGAGCTCTTCCATCCCTGTATCCAACTTTTAAAATCGCTTCTATATATTAGTTTATTCTCTTCTTAGAGAACCTTTCTGAATTCTAATGGCAAAAGGTCGAACACTTCTAATATACTTATATAAATATTTTTTTCCAATGAGGAAAGTCGGACACAGAGATAGAACACTTTATATGTATCGTTATCTCTTCCAACTCTTTTTATTTTAATTTCCATCAAGTAATCTCTTTCAGCTGCCATAAGTTGATGGATTTTTTGTTGAAATCAGCTAATTAGCAATTCTAACATATAGTAATTCTATACAGTTGATAACCTATGTGCATATTGTATTCTTAGGTTGGTAGTTCCAACTTTTTCCCTAGTGTGTGTGGCCCCCCTGCGTGGGATCATGGTCAGGTTTTGTTTCTCGTCTGTTCTTCGTTGAATAAATGATTCATGCACTTGTGCGATGTTAAGGCTATAAACTCAGCAGTTTTTCTTCGCCCTTTTCTACATTTTTGAAGAAAAAAGTTGTTTAAAATTTGGCACATTTAAGTAATAAATTACGAGATAGCATACTATGGTCTGTCAGTGTAATTCCTAAAAGTAATTCATGAACAGGGACTAACTGTTTCGGGCAAAAATAACCTATGTTACGTAAATAAAGAAGAGGAATGATGTCCTCGCATCAGTGCGGTTGACAAATGAATGAAAAACAGATGATGATTACCTAAAATTGATCAAAGAAGAGAAAAATCCCCTCCCCTTAAAAATTCCAATGTGCGATTCTGGCGTGCTTTCAAATTCCGAAGTTATGCTGATTGCAACTCATGCATTGATAAGAGGCTTCGGTAACCACTGGCCTAGCGGAAGCACTATGCACTTGCATTTGTGTGGTAACTGGTCGTAATTAAAGGGACTCTAGTCGTAATGACCTGCTAGGCCTCAGATATAATAAATACAAATTTGGTAGTCAACATGTTACCAACTTACAGTTAGAGGGATATCATCAAACCTTCAAATTTGGCACTCAATTAGTATTGGTCTCTTGCTATAACAGAGCGGCAAGATAACTGGTGTAACTCCTGTTTAAAGGCACATCATGCTGAAAAGAGACCAGCTGAAAAAAAAATCGACAGCAAAATTCTGACATTGCCAGACAGCATTAGAGGTGTTATTGAAAGATGAAATCAAGGGGCGAAGGGTTCATTAGAAAAAAACCATTGATCTAAAGATTTACTTACTTCACTGAGTCCCAATTTTCCTTTGTTATCATAAGGAGAAAGGCCGTCAGCGTAGTTGCAGGACATGTTTAAAATATGGGTTTCCAATGATGACAAAAAAAAGTCTGAATTTTAGCTACACAAAGGGAAAACAATTGGATGCATAGTGAATGACAAGACTGTTGGAGATTACGAGGGAGATGTTCCAAAGCTATTAAAGGATACTTAATACAATTGAAAATTTTTCAGATGCATGAACGCTTGACTTGCAGATGGAGATAAGGCAAGCAGACACAAACTCCTACGAACAAAAATAAAAGTAATAATCGATTCTCCTGGATTATAATCTACTCATTATTTGATCTTTTAAACATTTAATAATATGTGCGATTAATGAATGTAAAATAACTAAATTAAGTAACTTGCTATCACCGGTTTACCCCCAATCCCAAACCCAACTTGCTGTTTATTTTGATTATTACATCCTTGTGTTGCCAATTCATGTTCGTTTTGTCATTATTATTTTTTAAAGAATAATTAGACAACAGTGTTTGCTAGAGTCCCTTTATACTGAGAGTCAAGACAACACCCTTCATGGAGTCACAAACGGGAATAAAGATTACAGAAATTGAACGTTTTTCGTAATCTTTGATCGGCCCATTCTCGAATTCCTTTCTTCGTTCCTTCCCTCATTCCGTTTGTTCCTTGCCGAACCCGTGATTCCCCGGTCCATTCCAGATTATAATCTTTGCAATCGGCGAAACTGTAATCTTTATTCCCGTTTGTGACACTGTGAAGGCCTAAAATACGGGAACCAATCAGAAATGGATTCAAATTGTCTTGACTCTCAGTATAAAGGGACTCTAGTCGCTCGCAACGTCGTCGCCGGCCGGCTCGGTCTTGATAACCTCAAAGTTGCCTCGTTAATCTAATCCTTGCCTGATCCTTGCGTTATGCGTTAATTCCAGAGACGTTAATTCAATCTGCCCTGTTCTTGATCCATTCTGACCCGTCCGAAACCTGCAAAAGCACGGTGCACAAGAGTGATTAATTTTCCAAGGTAGATTGTGAAATTATACAACCTTCGGGGTGAATTTTCATGCTGTGCAAGGCAACCTGACTGGTTAGTGGTTTGTAAGTATCTCTTTTTTTCTATGATCCATTGATCAATGGGGATATGGGGATGGGCAATGGTCATTCATATGGTCATTAGTTCAAGTAAGTTTAGACGGGCCATAGAGAAAAAAAGGAGGTGTTTGCATCTTTAGGATTTTTTACCCCGTCAGTCCGTTACTTAGGTCGAATTCGAAGTATGAGAAATGGACCATAACGTCCAATTTTTTGCTTAAGTCAACTCATTATCTTAGACACTTAACATAGAATGACTTTTTTCCACAAATGACACCATTTCCAAAAAAATTATGATAAAAGTCGTCCGTACTGACCTAGGTCATCAAGAAAATCCAAGATGCCTGAAATGCAAACACCTCCATTTTTTCTCTATGTAGATGAGCACTGTCAATGCATAGCCATTAATGCGAGCTACAAACTTCAGATTTAACACACAGCGAAAAAAGGCAATTCTTACGGACTCTTTATTCTTATCAGTAGGTACTTTATCAGCTCTTGTGAGATTTGTATCTACAAAGTGCACATTCATACTTCGGCTGTAAGTAAATCTCACGGTTAAGGCTACAGAAAAGTGCTGTTTGGAAGGGGCGAATACAGTTCAATTCACATTCAGATCAGGTCTTAGCGTTTTTACATGATTTGTTTCATTCATCTCAAGAATTGATAAACTTCTCAATATGGATTGTATTGAACTTGTCAACAACTTCAGTGGTGTAGTGGTCAAGGCAGTATGCTGCCAACACTGAGGTCCTGGGTTCAATCCCTGGAGGTAACAAATGTCAGTCATCATGACCGTGGATGACTATGCCACTCCAATACCCTGACTCTTCAAGGTAACTGGGTGTGGGAGGGATATAGTCACCCAGTAAGTAATCCGTATGCATTGTTCGACTGGGTTGTGAAAAAATCGGTGATCACTCGTGGTGTGCGCGACTGTCAGCGCCACCTACCAGTGTAGTTTGAAACAACACAGTCCAACCCTGTGGAGGCATGGCCGCGGTTCGAAAATCTGTGCTCCGCAGCATCTGCCACAGTCTTTGATAAGACCTACTGTTGGCAATTAGACGGCCGCTGAGCCTTGCGGGAATATAGAGTGTAGAATAGTACAAAGTCAAGGAGCACGATCCAACTTCGGGGTCCATGACAGCAGTGTTCCTGCCAGTTGCTTTGGCCCCTTGAAGGCGCCCCACCGGTCAACCCAGCCCTCATTTACTGACTCACTTACTTACTATTGAACATGTTTCTATGTTGAATTTGCATGTCCTGATAGGGTTAAGAGGTGTCGTCAGCCAAGATGACGGTTGTAGGGTTAAGAGGTGTCGTCAGCCAAGATGACGGTTGTTTCCTTTTGGTTTGCAAGCGTTTTTGCATCACTACTGTCCGCATGAAAACATCCGACTCTCGCAGAAGCAAGAACACAAGCTTACATAAGTTTTTTAATATTTTCAAACCTTGTAACACTTTAATTTTTAGCCATACAGAAATCACAACCACATGAAAGCCGCAAATCATAATTGATAAGTAGTTCTTTTACGATAGGATCATGAGACGGATGTTTTCAAGGTGGATAGTAGCGAACGCTGCTTTGTGCAGAAACCCAAATTCATCGTTGGCGCTTGCAAACCGAGAGTAAACAACCGTCAACTTAGCTGATGACACCCCTAAGAGAGTTTTCAATACGCATCTCTTGAAATCAATTGCAAAATACACATTCAACGGAAATTGGACGTATTTATGCTAAAAAGAAATGTGTGCATAGGATTTGTGTACATCATAACTTCTTTTAGCATGAAACGTCCAATTGAAATGCTTGTATAATTATCATGAAGGCCATGGACTTTAACGGAGCACACCAAAGCACTTGAAATCCATCTTAAACAGAGACCCTAAGCAGCTAGAGTTCTTTTGAATCAGTGTCTGGACACAAAGAATTATGTCTGAAAAGAATTCTATCTGCAATATATTGATTGAGAAATTTGGTGTTCTATATTTACCTGTTAGCTACTGACTAGAGTCGTACTTCTTCCTAAATTGATAAGTGCTATCAGACTATTGCATTTGATGCCGCTCTCAATGTATTTGGTAAATTTTTTGTAGAAAACAAATTGATTATTCCAGTATGATGTTACAGGGGAAAGCTGCTTGAAAATCGCTTTGTTGTCAACCGTTCTTATCACGGGCACTTTGATGACCTTCAAATTTTAGGAACCATCCCTCCATCATGCTTCGACCTTTGTGGACAATGCCGCTCTCAGGGCATATCGTGTCAAAGTTAAATGAAAATGGTTTCTTCTATTGGGAGGATCTGTGGAACCCTGACAATCGCAATGAATTGAAACCCTCTGTCCATAAAATATTACAGTCATGCAGAGGCTTCTCCTCTCGTGATTTTCAGTCATTGCAGACTGCACCAGCATCAACATCATCATTTGAAGTATACATGGTAAATATATGCAGTTATGGTTTATTTCCGTGGTTTTTCCCAAAGAGAATTTGCAAGTATTACATGAAGGGAAACAACTGGACCGCGCTAAGCAGAAAGGAACCAAGCCACATTAGCTATTGCCGAATTTAATTGGGCAACTTAATCTTTTTCATGAAAACGGTTGTGCTGATTTTTGTGCCAATTTCAGTGATTTATCCGCATATTATGAGGAATTTTTCCTAAAATTTTCAAAAAAATCCGCACAAATGTTCTCTTGTAAAAAATTAAATTTCCCGATTAAACTTTGCAATAGCTGATGTGGCTTAGTTCCTTTCTGCTAAATGCAGCCCAACTACATTCATTACATGGACATTATTACTCAATGGAAAATGGTTTTTACCCTAGTCCTAACTGGTCTTTTGATGAACAGAAGAATCTCTCATTTTTGTTCAGGTTTTTTTGTCCGTAAATTACAATATTGATGAGCAGTAACTAACAAATACAAATAATAACCTAAGGTTTTTGCCATGCAGTAAGTCCTAAAAAGAGAATACTATAGAGCCTTGATGCTCTTTTCATGCCTTGAGGCATTGCATCACTAACAAAAGCGATGGCTTCAGATGTAATAAATCAGTATATCTGGTAAATCAGTAAGCAGTAAATCAGTATATCAGTATATCTATACTTCATTTCGGCGTTTTCAGAGTTAAGACATCTCTCGAATTGAGGGACTTGTAGGACAAGGCACTTTAGTGCTGATTCTGCCATTTTGAGGAATACATGTTTAAAATTTCAAAATTACATGGAGCCTTATAGTGAAAAGAAAGTTCAAACGCACTTTTTAATGCTTAAAAGTTGGAATTTGGGAGTTAATTTTTCACACATTGTATTTTAAGACTAGTTTCAGTTGAAATCATCAAAATCTCAATTTACTCAAAACCTGCACTTACACGCCTTGTACTCAGTGTTTGCAACTCGGCATGAAGTCTTAGCAGCCATCTGGCCAGCGACTTTTTTTCTTAGGGGCCAAAATGAAAAATTGTCCTTTCGAAATGCCTGAAGTCAGGAATATCCCATTAAATAGCCCAATGCCATAATGTTAGGACAAAACCAAATAAGTCACGAAACTTGACGAAGACGGAGGGGAAGAATTGATAACCTGACACAACAAGGCACCTTGCAGAATGGGTCAAAAAATCCTGGAAACGGAGGTTTACAACAATTTTCTTAGCGACCAAATCCAATTTCTTACCGGCAAATTGCAGTTTGGCTGGCTGCACAATCACTGCTTGTACTCCTTGCCCCTCAATAGATTTTTTCTTTTTTCTTTTCACTTGTCTGATTAAGTATCAATTTCAGTTTATTTTCATTTTTTATTTGTTTGTTTATGAATCTTTTACTTTCTCTTTTCAAGAAAGACACTGATGATATCATAACATTCTCAAAAGCCGTTGACGAATTATTTGGTTATGGAATTCCAACAGAAAGTATTGTTGAGCTATGTGGAGCACCAGGTCAAGGCAAAACGCAAATATGCCTGCAACTATGTGCGTCCGTTCAAATACCTAAAAGTCTTGGCGGTCTATCAAGTGCAGCAATTTACATTGACACAAACAAAAACTTTTTTTTTGAAAGATTTAAAGGTACCTAACATAATTAAACGGATCAACTCTAATTTTATGTTTTCTTGTTTCGGCAAAATTTCGTCTGTGCCATGGTCGAGGAAGAGAAGCTAGCGGAACATTTAGTAGCTCAAGACCGTTTTTGTCTATGCACAATGGGAAGCAGTAAAAAATAGAAATAATCACAATTTCGAAACACTTCTCATCTATTACTTTGTTTGAAATCATGAAAGAATAACAGCAGCCCTCATATTAAGTGGCTTTCTTAAAATTTTTCTGGAAAAGTCAAATGTGTTGTCCAGTAATTATTCAATTACCTAGTTTATTTTCTAAGCTCTGAGTCTTACGAAATATTAAATTTAGTCAAGAATTACTCCATGAGACGTTATACAGTAGATCAGCTAGTATTCACAGAAAAGATTGCGTTTGAAATGATACAGTCGGGGAAATTATGGATTCCGAACAGACCATCAAGCAAGGCATTATGATGAGACAACTCATATGATATGAGCATTGATCGTGTTCAGAGAACTAGAGGATAAGTTGCCGAAGAAGATCCTAGATTAGATTTCTCCTTGAGGAAGGTGCAGAAAGTGCCTAATCAGAGGGTGGAGAGATAGGATTGACTAAAAAATGTGTTAGTCCTTGATTACTGAAATATTGTTGTGAGTTTTGGAGTAGTGGCATATAGGTGTCGTAGAGTACCAAGGAGCGCTGTGAAGTGATATGTATGTATCATCTGTGCAGAGAGCTGTGTTGCGATATATTGCCATGACTTAATTCTGCAAGCAGCATTGAACACTGACCATTTGCATTCTCTGTTGATAGAAATCAGTCTTGGAACTGTTGCACATTGCAAGAAAGTGGTCCGCAAGTTGAAACTTGGTTCTTCAGCTGAAGAGGAGATGAAAACCTTCACAATTGAAAATATGGAAAGAAATGTGCATGTTCTGTACGTAAATGGCCACATTCAGCTTCTAGCAGCAGTCCAACTGCTGGAAAAAATGATAACTTCTAGCAAGGTAAGAGTCAGAAGTATGTTGATCATTTTTATTTTAGCTGTAATATATTTTTGAATACGGAATCAGGCAAAGGCAAAAATTTGTTCAAATCAAGTTTTTCAAAATAAAAAAATAGGTGTTTTTTGGATGTTTACAAGTTAGCAAAATTTTAAAGATTGAAAAATCAGAAGATTGGCTAAAAGGCAAATTGAAATTCAGCTAGTCAGAATTTTTAAAAAAAATACGCTCACACGCATTAAAAGGTTTATTCTCCTGATGCATATTGGCCGTTTACTAGCCTGGCCATCATCAGCAATACCTAGATACATTTTTTTCAGTCTAAAAGAATGTATGACATTGTTGCTGATGATGGCTGTGCAAAGAACGGTTGAAACAAGCAAGATTCAACTTGTTCATCACAACTTTTGTTGTGTATTGTTTTTTTGCTCGCTACAGAGAAGCTGATATGTAACAAAGTTTGTGATTTCCAGAAAAACTTTGTTAAATCTGAAACTTTGTCAAAAGTGAGTTCACTATGAACGGGCTCCACCGTATTCAAGACCAAAAGAATGTCATTAATTTAAACCTTACAGTATTCTGGCATATTTTTGAAAATTACTCATATACTTTGTCTGTTTATATTTGTCTGTTTACAGGCACGGCTCATCATAATAGATGGATTTGCCTTTCCTTTTCAAGAAATAGACTCAGGTCTACAGCGTACATCTTTCATTTGTCGGACTTTGGGGATACTTAGTCAGCTAGTATCAAAATTCAAATTGGCAGTAAGTAATTCTTGTATATTTATTTTTTAGTTTGCAGCAATTATCGCATGGTAAGAATATTGACTTAATCTGTTGACAGAATTTTTCCAGGCACGACTTAACTTAAAAGGGATCAACCTGGCAAAAAATTGAACATGCCAGAATGGTCCTCCTGACAGTGCTTGGGCAAAGTTCCCCGCACTACATCTCCATCCTCTTATCGACAGTTTGGAAAGATATCAACTCAGGTAAGCATCTCCCTCTTATAGTGGCGGAGACAGAGTGGACAAATAAGCTATTGTTTATGGAATATCTTGACAACTCGGAGCATGGGATGAGAAGTGGAAAAATTATCAGACCTTTTCAGGACCCTCAATTCTTTTCCGGGGAAGGTACGAAAAACCTGTGTTTTTGGGAAATCGAAAAATTAAAAAACTTGATTTTTCTTCGAAACAGCCTTGTCTTTGAGGAAAATCTCGACTTTTCAGAAACTTGTGGGTGCAAGGAAGTAATTAAAGTTATTTTCAGACTCAGCGCCAACGATTATACAGGAATTAATCATCAACCCTCTTAAATTTGTTAGTTCACTTATTATGTGTAATCAAAGTTTGTGAAGAAACAGGGTAACAGCTCATTTTGAAGTGGTCAGCAAGATTCCTTCTATTAGAAATAATGTAATTTTATGAAAACATGTGCAACATCTTGCTCCTACGGCAGGTGTGACCTTTATACCTACATGCAATAAAATTTGAAAGCCTTTAGCCATTACATTCTGGACCCTGAACCCATGCTTACCAAAATTTAATAGATCCCTGGCATGAACCATTATTGTGAAATTCACTATTTTCCTGTGAACACCTCGTATTTGACCCCATCATAGATTTAAATGGAAAAAAGTCTCCATCAGAGATAGTCGCATGTCCCTCAAAATTTGAGATTTTCTTTTTTAGACCAAAACACAACTTTTCAACTGTGGGCATGTTTGAAATTTACAATTTGTCCAAATTTTAACAGCCTCAAGCTTTCTATAAATTGTTGCAATTTTATCATTTTTTTTAGGTTGTTCTCACCAATGAACTAACCACTCATATCAGTCCAAGTGGCGAAACAGATTTCATTCCAGCACTCGGAGGAAGCTTTGCTCAATTTGTATCACATAGACTGCTGATAGGTCAAGATTCAATACTGCTGAGTAAAAGTCCAAATCGACCCTCAGCTGCTGCTAATCTGAAGGTTACACATTTAGTTCCTAAAGTCAAATAAAATTTATTTTGTACACTAATTACAGATGTATCACGGATAGTCTAAAAGACCCATTAATTTAATGAAAGATTTGAATTTGACACCCTGAGTCAGACGAAATCTTTGTTTGATCCACAAAAGATGGTTGTAGCAATTATCTTTTCAAGAAATTGCAGTCATTTTATTCGCGCATTTTCTTCAGAATCACTGCAATTTAATGGTGAAATTACACAGACTCCTATCTTGATGATTCTATGAATGAAAGGCTAATGCAATAGCATTAATCCTCAGTAACTTCTATGATATTTTTAGCTATCTTTAAATAATTGTCTCTAGACTTCGCAGGATAAGAGCAGTTGATTTCCTCTTAAAATAATAAAATAACAAGGGAACTTTTCAATAATTGAATCAGTGAGAACAAAAACACACCAACTGGGTAACTCGAAAATGCTCAATTTCCATTAAAGACAGTTAATTTACATGGAGGTCATTAAAGTCAGTGCATCTATTCCAGCTCGGATCTTTAAAGTGTCCATAAGTACTTGTCTTTCAGCAGCAAAAATCTTTTGCTTAAATTAACTTCGTCACCTACTGAGTAGTTTTGTGTGTGTCTTGATTATTTTCTTTTTTCCGAGTTGGTGTGTTTTCGTTCTCACTGATTCAATTGTGGTAAAGGATACTTGTTCCTCTATCAGTACCATTGAAATGCTCCTATACTTAAGTCAAGTACAATTTTCCTGCAAGCATGATTCGTGCTACTCTGATAACTGCTTGATAGTGAAATTTTCCTTTTCAAGGTCTTGAAAGTGCTAAATTTTTTTGAAGGTGCTCGAATAGTACTTGAGTTTTACTCTTTACTAATATTCAGCTATTAATACTCTTTGTTAAAAAATTACAAAGGATTCAAGGTTAAATAGATCGTTTAGGAAAACATCATTTTTACAAAGAAAATCACCATCTAAAAAATCATTGTTTCTGTGAGATTTCATGGAGATAGATTATCAGACGGCTTTTATGAGAGCAAATAATCACAAGTTGTGCACAAGCTGATTTGAGCATAGTGATAATATTTCAAAATACTTCACTGGCCATTATTAACTGCCATATAAACTCTCTGAAAAAACCAATTTACAGAAATTCTCACAAATTTTATCTGAGAATTTTTCTTTTATCAAAACTTCACTTTTCATCCACCAGTGTAAGCAGCACCAATTATTTTTAGTATACATTAAAACAAGTTTAAGCTTTTTGATAACATGAAGGCATTGCTGAAATGTTGCTCATGATATCGGCGGACAAAGTGCGAAACCAGGTATCTCCGTTTGCGAGGTTGCAGACTTCCTGTCATACTTCAGTTTTTCTTCGGAAAACTAGTCAATGTAATTTCTTGAAAACTTCCTTGACTTTCCTTCTCTCTAAGCAGAATACATATTCTGTATAAAGTTCAAGTTGCTAGTTTTGCCTGTTTTTCTTTGAAATAATACAATAGGAGCATAAATTTTAAAACACTGCATTGGAGATACTTGGTTTAGCATTTTAACTACCAAAAGGAGGCAACTTGATCCCTCCGTCTTCATTGCATAATATTCTTGTCTCTTTAATATAATATTATTCAAGAACTAAGACTCCGATTGTGTCATTATTACTATATTGATTTCCTTTTTTTTTCTTTTTTTTTGAAAAAAATAGTGCAATGAACCTTATATCTCTCTTTTTTCCAGATCACTGCAGATGGCATCAGAGATGCTAATTGAAAATTACTATCAGCTGAAGAACATTCTTTGTCATTTCATCCATAGTATCCTTGATTCTTCAATTTATGTGAGTGCCTCATTTTACTCTCTTTAGCTTTTCTAAGTGTGATGTTGGAAGCTTTGCTGGCAAGAAATTCAGTCGAAGAATAAATCATGATGATTGCCAATTCAAACACTTATCCATTAGGTGGCCAGGTGCCCAATAAACCTTGTCTACAAGTTGGCTTTTAAAGAGATGTCTGCTACCTGGTAAATGAACTGTAATTTTATTATCAATGGCCATGCCTAAAATTCGTTTTCATTCACACTGGGGTTAGCGATTCAGAGCAAAAGTTGTTTCAGGTCACTTTTATCATTACGTATATCCAGTAGTTAAGTGTTTCTGTTAGGAATAAGTTTTCTCTTCCAGAAAACTGTAAAATCTCTATTTTTCTTCTCAAAACTTAAGATTAATGTATATTGGTTTTTGTTCTCTTTAGAGGGTAAGAATGTAATTACTTTAATGTTTTCAGGAGTTTGAGTGTTAAGGAATGAATTTGAGCTCCTTTTCATCTCTGCGCACAGTATAATTTTTTGTTAAAAAAAAATCTCTCAACCTCTCCTGTTAACAGTGGCAATTTCTGCATGTATGCTAGGGAAGCACTAATTTTCGTGAGATATTGCCCTTTGAAAAGTTCGTTTTATGATGTCATCCACCATGGTAGTAACACCCTTGATTTCTTCCACCTTGTTTTCATCAGAGTTTTACGTTGAGTAACCAGTGCAAATGTGCGTCACACCGACTGATGAAAGCAAAGGTGGAAGAGAACAAGGGTGTCACTACCGTGGTGGACGACGTCATAAATCAAAATTTTCAAAGGCGATATCTGGGATAGGCATGACTTATTTATTCAAGTACGTTTGTAATGTTTCAAAAATCATACTAACTACAATTAGAAAATGTCTTTGCACTATGCACTGTAGTGGAAAGCCCAGCCAAGCAGTGAGGAGCGAATAAAAGACAAATCATGCAGCGGATATTTGCGACAACACTGCCTAGACGCAGCAGTTACCTTTGAATGGGAAGATAAAACTCATCTCATCCGAGTCAAAAGTCGAGAAAAATATGTCTATAAAAAGAATATGTTCTCCTCTCCATTTCATTCCTAGTAGGGCTGTGCGAATATTAGCTTCGCCTGACTCGCACATTATTCGCAAATTGCGAATATTCGCGCCTTTGCAAATAGCGAATTTTCAAATATTTGCGCTGTCTGGAATAATGAATTTTCAATTATTTGCGCCGTCAAAAATAACGAATTTTCGAGTGGCAATCGTGAAACTAGAGTGCCTATACACAACCTGTATTATTGGCTAAGAAATGAATGATAATTACACTAAAAGGTTAATTTTTGGCAAAAATATCCACCGAAGTTTGATCCGAACACGATTTTAGAAGTTGATCATAAAAAAATGTCTATCACACCCAAAATCACGTCTAGAACTTCGTAGAACTTTGTTGCCATCTTTTTTGTTTACATTGGGCCAAACTAGGAGGGGAGGGGCTGGGATTTGTTTACATTGGGTCAACTTTGGGGCTCCATAATAGCCTACCAATTAAGAAGCGGCACGCTTTTTTTTCTGTATTAAAAGGATTGAGATGGCAATACTCTCCCGTATACAGGTACTCTACGTAAAACGTTGCGCGGACCAGTGCAAGGCTTCCATCCAAGACATGGCAAACGGCAAATCTCCTTTGATCATTACCAACTTTCTCGAGTTTACCAACAGCATGCGCGATTGCGATTGGCCGGTGTATCTTGTTTGCTCCAAGAGTACCACACATTGAAAGTCAAATAAATAAGAGGGAAAGAGGGAAAAGTTCATTAACACATTTTCATTAACACGGAAACAAATAAAATACTAAAAATGTGTCTGGTGATCCTTAAATACTAGTTTGACTGCCTGCGCAGTTACCTTCAAACCCTGGAAATGTGTACTTAACTACAGGGACAGTGAAGCCAGCATCCAGGGATCTTTAAAGACATTCTTAACAACTTTGGCTACCATCATAGCATTTCATAGTTTTCTGTGCAGGTGTATTAGCAAATGGAAAATTCTTAAAAAAATTAATCATACTTATTTGTCTACTTATGTAATATTTGCGAATTTTCGCACCTAAAAAAAGTCATTTTAAATTATTCGTTTTACTATTCGTAGTTGTGAATAATTGACTTCAATGGACCACTAGACAAGGTACGAATTTCAGCATTCTGATACATGTTTCTCATTCAAAATTTCACGTAAAACACGATACGCACAACGAAAATTGCCAAAATCAACTCCTGACGAAGATATTGAATGATTCTTGATGCGTGAATTCAAACCACCCGCTCATGAAAACTCAATGCTCTACATGATTCACATCGCGCGCTAAATGTTTATCATGACAGTCTCTGCGATGTAAAAATCTTCAACTTCAATCTTGACACTTTGGCTCAGCTATAGCAAATTACCAATAGTTTGAACAACACATGGTGGAAAATGAACATTGCTCGATTGAGAAGCTTGCTGAAACCGTTGTAGTGCGCGATTTGACTCACGTAGAGCTTTGAGTTTCTTGTGAGCGGGCAGTTCAAATTCCTCGTAATCAGTGCGAAATAAAAACGTTAATATCTTCGTTAGAAGTTGATTTCGGTAATTTTCATAGTGTGAATCGTGTTCTACGTGAAATTCTGGTTAAGAAACATGTATCAGATTGCTTAAATTCGTACCTTGTCTAGTGGTCCATTATTTGCCATTCGCTTTCCTATTTGCGAATAATTGGCAAAATTATTCGTTATTCACTTTGTTTGAAAAATTCGCTATTTGCACAGCCCTACATCCTAGTAATATTCAATTTTACTAAAAAAGATACAAGGGGGAAAAAATGGGTAACAAGGTTAAAATACACAATTAATAAAAACCGAGACGTTTCGACTCAAAACGGAGTCATTTTAAGTCGGAAATACAATAAAAATTTAAAAAAACGATGACAACCTGAGTCCTACATGGTAGTGTCTCGGTCAACTCTTAAAAATTTGTATCTATTCTTACAGATTTTAATACAGATCTTCAGATCTTCTAGATCTGAAGGACAAACAAAGCAATGCTAGCTCCCCCCCCCCTCTTCCTCTGCAGTTACTTCATTAGGGTGATAGAGAGAGGAAATGGGAAGGGAGCAAGAAAGTTTTGGGAACTCTGTTATTATATTATCTTATAATATGCGGGTTTCCCTTACTCCAATTTTAAGGTGACTGAATGTGTTTTTTGAGTCTTGGGATAGGAAATCATCAGATCAACATTTTTGTGATAAAATAATTTTCAAAGAGAAGGATGCAAACTGCGTTTTTACTTAGGTGCTGATTTAGATGATATGATCATGGTGTCCCCAAATTTGAGAAAATCAGTGGACGTTCAAAATTGCTTGACTAAAATTTCCCAAACAAATTCGGCTGCTCAGACATCCAAAAACCTAACCTTAGTCTTAGTATTTAAAAACCAACCATCCTCTAGCAAATCTAAGTGTAACTAATTTTATGAGGATTGTACTTTCATCAGTTGATGCCACCAACTATGGGTCAGTAATAGTTCTGCCTTGTCCGTAGGCATTGGACAGCTTGTGTGATAAGAGGAATACATGCGAGCACTAATTCCTCTTATCATGCATGTACTTGAATATTCATCATTCTAGACAGTTTCTTGCATTAACCAGCCCTAATTACTGTATGATATAGCTCATTTACTGCAATAGTCTCAATGGTCCTTTCACTTTTTTTATAATTGAATTTTTCTTTTTTTTTCTTAGACTTATTCAAAATAATTACATGCTCTTTTTAAATACTTTTACCTCACTTTTGCCTTGGTAATCAAAATCATAATTCATAATACATTTTTAATTTTTTTTCAATCTACTTATCTATAAATAATAGTATGGAAGAGTTGATTTTTTTTTTTCTGACCAAAAATATTGTTCTGCATTTTCTAAGCGACTTTTTCATAATATTTGTGGGTACACAGAAGAAAAAACTGGTATTTAATCGCTCTCTAAAAAGCCTAAAAGAGGAAATATCAATGTTTTTGATCTAATCAAATGTTCAAAGTTTAAAAGTATTTTTAGATGTGTATGTAATCAATGAGTGCTTTAATTTTCAATGGAGAAAATTTTAAATAATTCAAATGTTATGTATCTTATTTTAACCTTCTTCCCTGAATTCGTGTGAAGGAACATCCATCCTCCATTCTCTTCCCTTCCCTCCTCACTTTCTCCATGCACTCCCTCTTTCTTTGAAATTACTTTGTTCGTTTTTTCTTTAATTTATTTATTTTGTCAAAGATTCAATAAAACGCTTGCCATTAAGTAAATTTTTCTTCTAAAAAATCAACTAGAATATGAATTCATGAGATAGGCACAGAGTTCCCCCCCCCCCCCCCCNATTGTCATACAAATGTGTGAAAAAGCTTTGCCAGTTTTCATTAGATACCCCCTCCTAATAGTTCTTTCAATCAAAATGGTACCACTCTGTTAAATTAGAATCTCAATTATTTCATAAAAAATTGTAATTGTCTTTTTTTGTTGGTTTAAAAATCACTTTTTATTTTTGTCTATTAAAAGCAAGTTTATCTCTAACCAGGATTTTAATCAATTATACAGGCTACAAGTCTGTTTACTTTCCTCCCTTGTCGAAACCACCTGTTAGCTATCAAAAACTGAGTCAGAAAACTCCTAAAAACTTTTAGTGTACTTTCATATCTTTACTTTTACAAGTTTTTTGTCACTCAATTGTAGTAAATTTTAACGAAAGAATGTACATGCAATTTTTAGTTTTTTATGTTGCGGTTTATTTTGTGTTTAGCATCAATATGAGTAATTTTTAGAATTTAAGAAAATTTCGATGCTAAATGTTTTCATGACTTTTTTTCCATTCGGATATCACCTGAATTTTATCTTAAAAAAGAACAAAAAGGCTTTAACAACTTGCACATTTTAGCATTTTTTTTTCTAAAGTCCTTTGACAATCAGTGATACCAGAGAACCCCAAAATATTCCTCCATGCCTACCATATATCCTGCCTCTCTTGGCTGATAATGTAAGCAGGCAGGATTCCGCCAGACAGTGTGTTTTTCGTGCCTTCTTAAATTGGTCAAAACGAGGTGATAATTTTAAATACTCGTCACAACTTGAAAGAAAGATAAAGCAGTCGTCACTCTTGTCCAAATCCCTCAACAGCAAGGTGTCTGTTTCTCTTTTCCTGTATTTGCTTGTTTATACTTAGCAGCCAGTGTCGTGTTCTTTTTTTCTTTTTACTGGTTTTAACGGAATTGCTTTTCTGAGAATTTTATCCTAAATAACTGCATTGTGATCAAATTATAGTTTCAACCATTTCAAAGCAATTTGTTTTTTCTTTTTACATTCGCCGTAAAAATAGTATAAATCTGTTACTTTCTGTTGTTACTTTTTTCAACTGTTTGCTAGAATGAGCCGTTCTCTCTTCCTTAATGAGTTTTCTCACCTGAGAAGTAACCAATCGTAAAAAAAAGTGGTGTCTTAAAGGTGTTCAAGTTTTCATTTTTCCCCTTAGTTCAACAATACCTGTGGATCTATCACAAGTGCTTTGTTATCAAAAGAGTGTCATTTCTGGTAATTAAAGCAAACAGCTTGGAACAGAATTTAAAAGTGGACTTTCATCGGATACTTTGAGTGCAGATCTCATGTTCTTGCCCAATAAGTATTGACAGTTCTGTGCAATAATATACTCAAGAACTGAGCTGCAAGACTCTTCACTTTTTGAAATCATTACCATTTTTTCTACTTTAAATAAGAAATTTTGTTTCCAGGTACACATACTTTTGGTAATAATGATGATAATAATAATAATGCAATTTTAAATACACAATTAAGTAGAAAGTAAAGGAAATTTTTTTTTTATGAAGTATTGATATACTTTCATAGTTTTCAATTTTTAAATTTTGTGAAGTAATGTGGCTGTGCAGTATTTTATTAGTTTTGCAAACATACATTTTTGTTCTGGTTGCATGTGAAGGAAACAAAAATTCTGAAGCTCAAGAGAATCCTTACAAAGACTGTGACTTTCAGCAGTCCATACAGTCAGTTGTTACCTCATATTACATCCAATCTCCGAATTATCCTGACAAATACCAGCCCAATACTAACTGTCGTTGGTATCTCAAAACGGTGAAGAATCACAAAGTTGTTGTCCATTGCAATCAAGTGGAAATGTATGAGGTAATTTTCTGAATGATTCTATTACTTTTCAATATTTTTCTGTCCAGAAGCATTTCACAAAGCTAGAAGCGAAACAATGCTCCAACATATTGCCATAATGTTGCTTTAAAATTTCAATTTTTGGACAACATATAGACAATATCCCACGATTTTCAGCGATTTTATGTCAGGCCTTGAAGGTTCTTGTAATGAAGGAAGTGGGCAATCTGCGTAATAACCAGAAATTCCAAGTTACTGCTCCTCAATTCCAATTTATTGTGATAATACTGTAGTAAATCTTAATAATTTCACCCTTTTCACTATGAGCATAGGAGTTCCACACTACTTGCCACAAAATTGGAATAATTTGACGATATTTTCGCAACCTATGGTAATCTCTGATACTTGCTCTGCTCCTACTGCTCTGCTACTGCACATTATAATGTACTGTTTTTCATTCATTGGTCTTAAATCTGAAATCAACAAGAGTTGGAAAGAAGAAGGTCTTTGGCAGATTTTGAAATAAAAATTAACTTATTTTTGAACTATGGTATTAAAATTTTAAGTAGCCATATTTAAAATTTTCCAGGCACCTAATATTTTTAAAGTTTGTCTTAGTGGCATGTTTCTATTATCTTCTTTATCTTTGTACTCTTCTCATTTGATGCATCTGAATGATGTGTACTATTCAGCGTTAAACTGTCATCCAGTCTCTCAATAGGACCCCAGCAAAGCATCTTCATTGCAGATGCCTGAGCTAAACCCCCTCCCCCCACCTTGCTCTGAAGCTCATCAGGGTTCATTATAACTGTCCCTTGCAGTAGAGACTTTAAAAAAAGGAATTCGATATTAATCAATGACAATTAAGTGGGTAATGAAAATAGCCAAAAATCGTTGTGAAAAACAGCCATCCCATAGCAATAAATATAAAATATAGCAAGCTTGTATTTCACATTTAGATTAAAATTGCTATTTAGTAGAAGTTTCATAGCAATAAATAGATAATAAATTACTATTAAAATCTCATTCATCACCACCAATCTTGGAATGCTACATGGGCTAATTCTAATTTTTGGTTTTTCTGGCTTTGATTTCCGCTCCATAAAGTGTGGACCCAGCAATATAAATGCTACCAACCTGTTACATACAGTATTTGGACTACCCGTTTAGTGTTTTTTTCTCCATGCTCTCCAAAGTTATTTATAATTCCATACACAAGGGTATTTATTCATTTTAACGTAATTTACAGAGTGTAAACTGTACTGATGATAGTATCACAATTTCCACTTCTGCAGATGAGCACCTATCAGATGCGGAAAAGTTTTGTGCTCCCCTTAATTTTGCTGCAGTATCGGATAAAAATGAAATGATTGTCGTGTTCACCTCTGCGAACACGAGTAAGGGAGGGCTTTTTTCTTGCAGTGCGGGTGCGGAACACGTTCCGAATGACTCAAAAATACATTCATCTCAGAAGAAATTTCTGTACCAACGTGACGTTTCTGCCGTCAGCCAAGATTTAAACGATCTCGAGCAGCCTCCACTGCCAAGTAATTCGGAGCAAAGTTCGTTGCCGGACAATAGGAGGTATAAAAAAGCTGCACATGCATCTGCAGTCACGACTAAGATCACCGGAGGCGCTCACCACAACAGTGATAAATGGAACACCAAAGAAAATCAAACTGTGACGGAATGTGATTGCGGATGGACATCCAACGTAAGTGTTAAGTTTGCAGTTTTTTAATTTGTAGCCTTGTAACCATAAGTGAAAATAATCTCACTAGCAAGTTTTTTCCTTTTTATCTACGTTTTCTTCTTTGTTTTCTTCTTCTAGCACGGCCTATGTTATGCCAGTAACTTTGTTTTTTTTTTTATGAGGCCTGACAGTTTTCAGGCTTTTGGAAGTCGCTGTCGACTTTCAAAAGGTACGTCGCGGAGAATAATTGAGTTGAATTTTACCCAAAGTTTAGTTTTTCCGGAAAATTTCAATTTTCCGCCCAAGTATTTCAGAGTGCAATAAGTAGCAATGGACCACTAGACAAGGTACGAATTTAAGCAATCTGATACATGTTTCTTAACCAGAATTTCACGTAGAACACGATTCACACTACGAAAATTACCGAAATCAACTTCTAACGAAGATATTAACGTTTTTATTTCGCACTGATTACGAGGAATTTGAACTGCCCGCTCACAAGAAACTCAAAGCTCTACGTGAGTCAAATCGCGCACTACAACGGTTTCAGCAAGCTTCTCAATCGAGCAATGTTCATTTTCCACCATGTGTTGTTCAAACTATTGATAATTTGCTATAGCTGAGCCAAAGTGTCAAGATTGAAGTTGAAGATTTTTACATCGCAGAGACTGTCATGATAAACATTTAGCGCGCGATGTGAATCACGTAGAGCATTGAGTTTTCATGAGCGGGTGGTTTGAATTCACGCATCAAGAATCATTAAATATCTTCGTCAGGAGTTGATTTTGGTAATTTTCGTTGTGCATATCGTGTTCTACGTGAAATTTTGGTTGAGAAACATGTATCAGAATGCTGAAATTCGTACCTTGTCTAGTGGTCCATTACATCGTAAATATGTTGCGATTCAGCTGAGTGTTGTGTATGTTGCCTAGCTCCTATTTGAAGGGGCCCCATTTATTGACACTTATTGCAATAAAATTGAAATACCTAAGTTGAAATCTTTCATAGCATTGCATATTTCCTATCTTTTTGACACATGGAGCTCATTTTGTTGATTGTTTAAAATCGGCATAAATCGACTAAATGATGTGAAAATATTGCAATTTAAGGGTAAAAAATTATACAATTGTATTGAAACCAAATTGCAATTTAATTTCAATATTTTCGTTGATTTGTGCTACTTGGGCGGTAAATCGGTACACACGTGCTTAATAGCGAAAAAAAACCAAAGAAAATATTGGATGTAGCAGCCAAAAATACACAGAATTATTTTCACGGATATTCCTCCCTGTTTCTGATAACAAAGTTTGCTACTAACCAGTTTTCCTTCAAAATCACTAGTAGGCAATTGCTCGTTGAAGTTTGAGCACGTTCACTCATCCGTTCTCTGTACTTCTGTAGAAATTGCGGATTTTCTATGAATTTCAAAAGTTGAGCGTAGCGCGATTCGACCAGTTCGCCTTCAAAATCACGATGAGGTAATATAAGCGGCCTGAAAGCAGTGAAAGAAGAATTTTCATCAAGTACTTACCTAAGAAAAGCTTAAGTTGGTGCTACCATTCCGAAAACTGATATGGTGGGATGGCTGCAAGTCGTGATTATTCAAGTTTTTTTTTCGATAGCAACGAAAAATCGTCTGCAGTATTGCAAAAGGTATTACAACGCGTCGGAATAAACCTTAGTAGGCAAGTAATCATCGGATTGGCGGAGGAGATTTTGTCCATGCATTCAAGACTTAAATTGTTGATTTCAAGAACCCTCTCTTTCAAGAGGGGGGGGGGGGGGGGGGGAGAGAGAAAGCTCAAGGTCGGTTCAAGGTCCGTCTTGGAGCATGTAAAGTTAATGACGGATTAAATCAACTTTTTTGATGAATATGCGCAGGGTACGATATTGTGTGATGTAATTGGTAGGTAGATTGCAAATAACGCGATGTCACCCCAAATTATCCATACTTCCCAGCAGACTTTAACGAAACGGGCAAACCAATCCATCGTCTCCTCCTTGATTAATATGTCTCCAAGAATCGATTACTAAGCGCTTTTCACGCAGACAGAGACGTAGAGTGTATAGACAGAAAATTAAAACCTTTCATTTCAGTTACCCTCTTTAAATGTTCGGAGGGAGATACAGTAAGTATAGGGAGGGTCCCACCGCACCTCCAATTTAGAAAATCACATGAGGTGAACGTTGCGTCTTTTCCGATCAAGGATGAAGTACAAGGATGCTGGATTCCTTAAATCCTCCTAGTTTTTAATGAGAGGTTGTTAATTGTCTATTCAGACGGACAGTGAAAAGAAATGCAATAGGTACCGTACTTTCAAAATATTTAATGATTCATACTTCACCTTCTCAAAGAATTAGATGTTTTAAAGTTTCAGTTTTCAAATTACTCGGTTTTTGACATTTCCATAATGAACTTGCCAACTAATATGTTGCTCATCTCGAAATTTTGTATAGGTAGTTCTGTATATGAAGCCCAGGGTTTGAAAAATTTCAATTAGTCGCGAATTTATCTCGATTTGAGGCAGGGTCGGACTGGCTCGCACCTGAGGGCGTAGACCCTTGGCTGGTTAAAGGGGCGTATTGTGATATTTCGGGGTAAGGCAACCCCTATACGTGGAGAGGGGTTCATAAAATTTTGGCAAAGCAGCACATGTTCACGCTATTTTCAGGTTCACAGTTTATTAATCGCACAGAGTGAACGTATTGAAGTAGCCGACAGACTTCTGAAATTAGAGAAAACATAAAAAATCAAAGCCGCCAGACGCATCCAAGCACCATTATTTCCAAAAAAACCGAGCCAGTGCTGCGAGCTTAAGACGTGGGTCTGCAAATCCATCCTAAAAAGTAATTAGACAAGAACCCGAAAAAAAAAAGAAAGAACGAGTAGTAGTAGTAGTAATATAAGTTTATTTTAAAGCGGTGCTTTAGCATCTAAGGCCATTTACACCTCTGTGTGTTTACATGGAAATCAAGGTTCAACGCAGCCGAAGACAGGAAAGACGTATCCGGCTATTCGGGCCTCTTTTTTAACTTTTCTTCCGAATCTGAGCGACACCTCATTGACAACATATCGCGCATTGAGAGCTTACGCTTCGCGTCATCGCGCCTTCAATTTTTCAGATGCAGCACGGACGTCCATCAAGTACGAATAGTTGTATCTCTGCGCCGTCGTATACGCGCATATTTTCCTTCCCTCTATCTTCATGCTGTGTTTGTTTGCGTTTGTCTTATTCGTAATGGTGCTTCAAGCACAACGTGAGTAACACAGCCGAAGGTAGGAGAGATGTGTTCGGGCCTCTTCTTTAAATTTTCTTCTAACTTGAGCGACATCTCATTGACAGTATTTAGCAGAGCATTGAGAGCTCACGCTTCGTGTCATCGCGCCTTCAATTTTTTAGGTGCAGCACGGACGTCCATTAAGTACCAATAGTCGTATCTCTGCGCCGTCGTAAACGCGCATCTTTTCCTTCCCTCTATTTCCATACTGTGTTTGTTTGCGTTTGTCTTATTCGTAATGGTGCTTTTAACCAGTAGCATAGAGCAAAGCATTGCGAGTTCCCGACTCATGCCATCGCGTCTTACATTTTTCATATCGACGGTGAAAGTCGGCAATCACATAACTCGATTTGCGACGTCGCAGACTTCCTGTCATACTTTATTCTTTAAACGGAAAACTACTCAACGGCAATTCTTTAAAACTGCCGTGATTTTTCTTCTATGTACGAGGAAAATTCTGCAAAAACTGCAAGGAATCATGTCTATTTGTTCTCCTTTAAAAAAATAACATAGTTGCGGAGATTTTCAGACACCACAAACGAGTTATGTGATTGCCGACTTGCACCGTCGATATGCAATGTGGACATCCGACTTGCGCGAATAGTTGTATCACGTTTACGCACTTAAGATGTCTCTTATTTTTGAATTTCGATAAAAATTACGGTTAATTTTGCCCGAGATATGCTATGGTATGTCCAAATCAATAGTCATTTTGAAAAGGAAGAAATGTGTTTAAAGGTCTCTCAATAGTCTGTAAAGGGTGCGTATGTGTAAAAATCGAACCTACCATCATTCTTCGCCACACATAGCGAATGAAGGAGGGGGATGATAAAGCGCCTGTTTGTCAACAAAAAGGTGAAAATTTCACAGAAAAGTGTTTACGCCTCAGAAAGTAGTTCTTGGACCTCTGTTCACCACTATCATGCATAAAAGCACCTTTCTTTACTCCTAACTCTCTCTTCTTTCGTTCATTTAAGAAATTTTCCGCATATATTCTTGGTCGTAATTTTTTTTCTCTCCTTATTTTGCTATCTGTCAGAGGGGCGCGTTTTCGGCGCGCCAAGGGGGGCGTATCTGCCAATGGTAGATTGGCCTTATGGCCAGTCCGAGCCAGATTTGAGGTCACAAGAAGAAATTGCAGGTCATGTAATCTGCAGCACAAAATTGTATCGCAACTTATTCCCCTTTTCTTCCTATTTTTCATGATATTTCATATTATCGCGATAATTTTCGCGCCTTCAAATAAGAGGATAGGCAATTTGCGTGACTTTCCAAAAAGATGAAAATAATAATTGACGATCTTTTCGCAACTCATAGCTATCTCTGCTACTCGGGCCATTTTTCTAATGGGGAATAGTCATTTCTACTTATTTTTAGATTTGAAATTCATCAATTCTTTGGCTAGAGTAGTGCGCCAAGTCTCAACCTTTTTTTTTATTATTTATTTACCGAGATTCTTGTCCTGCTTCTATTGCCAAAAATCAAGTTCACCTCACTTCCATTGCCTTTTTTTTCTTCTTTTTTTGATTAAAGTATACTACGAAACGTTTTATACGAACGAGAAGTTTTAATAAGAGGAAAAAACACGAAAATTTAATTTTACGACTTTAGGCAATGCCCAATGTTAGTGTTCTCCCAGGCTGTGAATTGAGCTATAACAAACAAGTTGATGGCTTTTAAAAAAGGGAAATGTATGGGTTTTATTTCTTTCAGCTGGTTTCATGGCTTACATTCCAGTAATTACCTAACGTACAGCCAACTAATACCTTTCCGCGCCTTCAAATAAGAGGATAGGCAATTTGCCACAAAGACCTCCTGATCATAGAGCCAGCATTGCAACCGCTACATGACAGAAGACTGGCTGGCACGTCATTTTCACAGAATACCTTTTCTTTACACATAGAAAAAAAACCCAGGGAAATTTTAGAGAAATAACTTTAAATATTTTTTTTTTAAAAAATAAGTTATAGTAAGAAGTCTGCAGCGTCGCAAATCGAGTTTTCTGTAGTTTCACCGTGGATAATGGCTCTAAATTTGATGTTCTATCTCTTCAGGGATGAGATTATGCAGACAGCTGAGGGGGAAAAACTTCTGTACCACCCTCAAATTCATAATGCACTTGTGCAAAAAGTTTTATCCCGTGAGTGTCAATTTTCTTCTTCCCCGTGCGGTATCTCACGTAACACGTAGCATATGGATGTACTTGATCCTTCAATGAAACAGACAAAACAACAGCATGGAAAATACAGGGTGATCCAAAAGTTTGGGCGCACAACCATTACTAAGCATCGCGCTCTGTAACTTTTAAACAAATGGGGGGTTTTTGCATGAGTTAGGGATTGGCGACTCAAGTACTGTTTCTCTACTGTAAAATTTGGCGAGAAACACGATCGCAACTTTAGTTTTCTCTGAAAGCAATTTATTTCCAAGCTCAAGAAAAGCTCTCAAAGTGCAGGCTCTAATGAAGAGGGTAATCCCACGCTACGTTAAGCGTCGCCCACCTCTATATCTATATAGGCCACCTCTATATCTAGCCCACCTTTATATCTAGTCCAACTCTCCATGCACAGATAGGTAGAAAATTTCCCTATCTGTGCATAGAGAGTTCGGCTGAATATAAAGGCGGACTCACAACGTAGCGTGGGATATCTCCTATCACCGCCATTATGGCTTAAAACTTTGAAAGCTTTTTTGAGCTTGGCAATTAATTTCAGAGAAAACCAGTGGCACCATCTTGTTTCTCGCAAACTTTCAGGTACATGCATATCGAAAAGTTTTTTTTTTTTTTTTAAAAAAGAAATTTTATTTAAATATATCGTAACTACTACAAGTGTTTCTTGTATCTATCTACGTGGCTTAAAACTAAAACTTAACAAACTGCATTAATTTTATATGTTAACGTTAGATAATACTATGATTATCGAAAAGTTGCTCTTACAACGCTCTCTGGCGTTCTGCGACATCCAAACGCCACATGTGCCTGTCTTCCGAAAGGTTATCGGACAACTGACAACGCAACATCTCTTCATCCACGCCCTGCGCCGCCACCCCTTCATGGGACGTTCCCGTCGCCTTCTCCCAGGTGGTACCCAATCCAAAACCTGTTTGGGAAACCTCAACTCCGACATATTTTGCACACATCCATACCACACTAATTGCCTGGACATGACGTCGTGCACGGTGCACGATATCACTCTTGCGAAATTGTACATACCTATGGAAAAGTACTTAAATCGCAAATCTCTGACACGTGCAAGAACTCCTTCTAGATAGCCACTTGAAATTTTGTGGGTGCTGCCGAGTCAACGTTGACTTTTGGGAACCCTTCCCAAATAGCATTTCTCAACGGTAAAATCGCTATATATTGCGATTTTATCGCCGATAAAATCTCCAGGATCATCAACATCCGAGCGATTATCCTCGATCTTATCGGGATAAAATCGCGAATTTATCGCCCAGCAATTTATCGCGATATCAAAATTCGATATCGAAATCAAAATCGCGACAAATGGCGATTTAATCTCGATTTTATCGACGAAAATCGATCGCAGTTTTATGGAACAAAAAATTGCGATGCGGGGTGATTTAATCGCAATTTTTAATGCGATAATGTCTCGATATATTGCCACTGATACAATCGCGATAACCAACCGATGAAATCACTGTTTATCGCGCTCACTGCTTGGGTGAAAAGGGGCGAGAACCTTCGGGGTCAGAGGAGTTTTGCGGGGCTTTTAGATGACCCTGTAGAGTCCGCGATGTTACGGAAGGAGGGTGGAGGGTTGTTTTTTTATTTTTAATTGGGGGCGGTTGTTGCAGTCGCGGATAGTGAGCGGGGAGTCGACGGGGCGGCACGAGTTCCCGAGCGTGGCAGCGCTGGTGATCACCGAGACGGGACGGGTGTACTGCGGCGGCGCCGTTATCACCAACCGACACATCCTCACAGCTGCCCACTGCATCGCCGAACAGCCACCTGGCAGCCCGGCCGCCCTCGCCAACGGACACGAAATTTGGAAAGGTACCCTCACAAATTCACCATCACCACCACATTATGGGCGCGCGCCAAAGACATAAAGACGGAGCACTAAAAGCAAAAAATGAAGCTTCTAGAGCTTCTTTTCAATCACCTCTACTATTGGCTAGAGGATTGGCGGCGAAATCGGGACAAGTTTGAATTCAAATGTAGGGCGGGAACTAATAAATAAAATTGCGGAAACAAAGTATTCTAGGTTGATTTTTGCCCAAATTCAGGTACACACTCATATTTTATTAACTTTAGGTTAGTTTCGGTCCGTCGTCGACCGACTGATTTCATTTGGGAGTAACGTAGATCTAGAACTGTAACGGCCTGTTTGAACCTGCAGAACCACCATAAGCAGAAGAAAAACTAACTTTATCTGAGATTACTGCCTGTTACCGAGCAAAAGTAGGTGTAATATATTAGGACGCAGACCGAACTTTCTTAATGTAATCGTTTAAAGCATTTAAAACACGTTTCGAAGAAGAAATAAGGAAAAATCAAGAGGACAAGTTCAAATCAAATTTCCGTTTGCCGCCATGGATTCCCGCGCTCATTTACACACTCACACAAACGCGCAGCGCCGAACCTAGCTTCACTTTTTCCCCGTGCTTTTAGATACGAGCACTCCGTCTTTATGTCTTTGGTGCGCGCAGCTCTTGATCTGCAGAAGAGCTTGGGAGATAATAGGCTGGAAGAGGCTTGCCCCAAAAGTAATACTGCACTGGAAAAAGAAGAATCTTAAATTTGCCGCCAAGAAGTATTTCTTCTTAAATCAAGAATTTTGATGGTTAATATAAGCTACTTTTTTACTTAGCCCAAGCATTATTTTTCTTGAATCAAGAAAAAGTCAGCTTAAAGCAAGATAAAGAAAATTCTTGGCGGCAAATTCAAGAATTATCACGCTTGATCCAAGCTACTTTTTTTTTAGTGTAGTTTTATTTGAAACAGTACCTACCGCCTCCCTTATGGAAAAACCGCAAAATAGAAAATAACCTCAGAACTGGTGCGTTTTCTTGCTCCATCACATAATGAGATAGGTATAATAAAAGAGGGAAATTTTTGTTTTTCGAGGATTATTGGTAGAATGGAACCATAATTTTGCATGTGGCCATTTTTGGCGTCAGAATCGCTTCAAAATGCCCTTAAGAGAGGTCAATGCGTTCCATTTTTCGGATAATTTTCCTCGATAGGGCTTGTGTAGTACCTCATCAACGGAAATCTATCAGTGGATTTGGGGTCTTCCCCGTGAAAACACTTTCTTCCTGAGCCTCTATGGAGCAAACATATTGACAAGAATGGGCTGATTTTGGACTTCACGATATCCGTTTAAGTCACTCCTTTTCTCTTATTCTTATTCTTATTCTTTGCCTCACAACAGGAAAATATAGCAATGGTTCCCGGTTATTTGAATTCCAACAAACGTACACACACCCTAATTACAATAAGAAATTGGTCACAAATGACCTGGCCATCATCGAGGTGAAAGGATACTTCAGCTTCGGAGAAAGCGTGGCACCGGCTTGTCTGCCCCTCAAATATCAAGGCATGACTTTCATCGGGGACTCTGTTCTCGCGGCAGGTAAGGCATTTTCGCGAGAGAAATCTGTAACATTATGCGATTTCAGCTCATGTATCTATGATACCTAACTTTTGGAGATGGGTCTTATCAATACCTACTTATTATGCATTTTTAAAAACTTCAACCAAATGCTTGGGCCTGTTTCTCTCTACTTCCCATAATACTACGTCTAAAGTTTCGCAGCAGCATGGGCATGGGCCTGGCCAGGGGGCCTTGTCCCCCAACCCCACCCCCTCCTTCAGAAGATTTTTGGCTGCCCAGAAGCGTCATGATCGTTTATAGCCGTTCAGTAGGGACCTGCAGACACCCGTGAAAGGTAAATGGGTCCTTGGCTTCCCTCCTTCCCACAAAATTTCTCTAGTCACCCCCCCCCCACCATAAAGTGAAAGGGGTGGTTTTGAGCACCCTTTTCGTATGGAGGGATTTGTTTTTTCCATATACCACCGACCAAACAGTTTTTTGAGCGAGCGAGGCCGCATTGTTCTTACTTTTCTACCCTGCGTTTAAATCTCTCAACCACTTGCTGACTAATTTGTTCAGCGCGCAACCCATAACGGCTATCGATAGTGAAACTCAGAAACCAAACCTATTTCGGTTTGTGACGTTGCAGACTTCCTGTCGTACTTCATTTTTTAAATGAAGAAAAACTTTACGTCAAAAATCTTGAAAACGTCCGTGATCTTTCTTCTCTGTGCGAAGCAAACTCAGAGAAAACTTCAGGGGAAGATGTTAATTTGTTCTCCTTTAAAAAAATGAGACAGGAGTGGAGATTTTTAAACACCTCAAAAGAGATACGTGGTTTGGGAGTCTCATCGTTGATGTGACGTTTGAGCACAGAGGAGTGATTTCAGCTAAATTTGGGGGAGAGGAAAAATGTCCCAGCCCTTTACAAACGACGCCTTTGTTAAATCGGTGACATGGATGCTTGAATCGGTTTAGAAGCAACTCATCGATCATTTTTTCCCAATCGATTTTTTTAAATGATACTAGTTTTGCGGTATCGGTGATAATTATTAGAGATACCTAATGTTTGAATGAAGGGTAACGGAATAATGATAAGAATAAGAATGAAATAACTGCATTAGGTAGGTACTAAATAATAAGTCATTTTCAGGATGGGGTACGTTGTCCTACGGAGGGAGACAGCCTTCGTTCCTGCAAAAAGCCACCCTTCAAGTCATCCCGACGGCAAATTGTTCTGAGGTTTACGGCCGACAAAGAATTAGAGATACTCAAATTTGCGCAATTGGTGTGAATGAGTCCGATACTTGTCAGGTAAGGACGCTTCATTATTCCCAGATCTCTTGGCAGATTTTAAGTAGTATAGGTTGCAAAAAAATTGCAATTGTATGATAAAATTACTACTATATTGTATCGAAATGTTGTGCATTTTGCCCATTCGCCAATCGAAGGGGCTCCTCTTCTTTAAATTTACACGTACTGCGATAAAATTGAATTAAGTTGAAATTTTTACTTTTTGCGTTGAAAATTGTCTACCTCTCCCTTACACAGATACCTCATATTTTTGATCGTCTAACATGGTCATTTAAATGGACTACATTTTGCTATTATAAACTGCAAATTATGGCTCAGTTTCGAAATAACGTATGTACACACCATTAATTTCCTCATAAAGATAAGTGTTTTTACGGATGAATCAGACATTGTAGTTCCCAGTTTCAAAATGTAAGTCTAAATGGACTACATTTTGCAATTAAGAACTATAAGTTTCGACCCAGTTTCAAAACAACGTATGTGCCATTAGTTTCCCTATGCACATAAGTTTTTTTCAGATGAGTTAGAATTTATAGCTCCAAATTGCAAAATGCAGTCCAAATGATATGTAAAAACTGCAATAATTAAAATGCAAAATTGAAAAAAAAAAAAAAAAAAAAAAAAAAAAAAAAAAAAAAAAATCTACAAAACTGAAAGTACGGGGTATTAAAAGGTGTTAGGGTATGGGACACGCATGTATGCGCTCTTCTGAAATTGCTCCTTCTCCTCTTTTTACCTACCTTATTTCACCTCCTCTTCTCCCTCTATTTTACACGTATTCCCTCTCTTTTGTTTGCCCCTAAGGGTCATCATGCTCCCATCCTCACACAGCTTCATACGCCACACAATGGAACGCGCTAATAGAAGGTCGGACATGAAATTTTTGGCTAAAATCTCAAATTTTAATGTTAAATTTATCACAAATTCAATTTCAAGTTGTGATTCTGAGAGAAAATTTCATTAAAAACCAATGAAGCCACTCTTAAACTTGTTTGTTTCGTATTTTTGAAAATATCCCTGGTAAAAATTGGCAGTAGAATCTGTGTTCCAATTCCAAAATACCATTGACCTACGGCCGGCTGTAAGATTTCCAATAGCTTCTATAGCCGGCTACACAATTTCTTATAGCCTTTTATAGCCGATGGCGATTAAGCAACAGCCAGGCGATAAAGTGTATGCTAAACGTTACTAATTACGGATGCTAGGACTTAGTGAGTTTTTGGACCACCGCCATCTCTTTTTGGGCCGTAGTATCTTGATTTATTTTGCGAGGAAAGCTCCGTACTTTTGATGAATGCCTGTCATTCCTAATATACTAGAGCGCCTTCAGTTTCGTATGATACTGTGCAATACCTCTGGTGTGAAATAGTTGCTTCAAGCGCCGTGGCACGCTGCGGTGCGGCAGGCGGGCAGCCAGCGCGAAACGCGCATTGGCGCCTACAAACCTAACAGGGATACTTCGCGCGTTGCGCAATGCGTGAAGTATCCCTGTTAGGTTTGTAGGCGCCAGTGCGTCGCCGCTCCGCTTTGTGTTAGGCTCTAATTTTTAATCTGGCGGAGTCAGCGTTATTCAACTCATGATTTTGAAATGTTTGCACATCCTGTTTGGATTTTTCTCGTTTTAATTGATGAAAAAAAAATATGTATTAAAGGAAAATATAACGTGTGTTTTGTAAATATTAAGGTGGTTCCGTATCAAACTTAATGATTTCCAGATCGCACGAATTTCTACACCATTTCTTATATCCTTTTATAATCGATGGCGAAAAAGCAACAGCCAGGCGATAAAGTGTAAAGCCCGGCGATAGGACCTATAGCCCGGCTGCATAATTTTTTATCCCTTCGTATAGCCCGGCCGTATGTTTTTCCCGCATTCTACAGCCAGCTATATGATTTTCTGTAGCCTTCCTTAGCCGGCAATAAGAATTCCTATGGTATTTTGAAACGCAGCTCTTATCGCCAATTTTTACTAGGGATGAGCTTTCAAAGTTTCCAGATTTTATCCGAGTTCCCTTATTGTCTCGCTCTAGTATGCGCCATTGTAATTATTTTAGATGAAGTAACGACTAACTTTCCGAAAAATCCATTATTTTTAGGGAGATTCAGGAGGTCCTCTTCTGTGGTCTGACGTACGCAAAAATCGATTCATTTTAGCCGGCATCATTAGTTACGGAATCGGCTGCGCTTCCGGTAAACCATCGGTTAACTCAAGGATCAGCGTGCCCGCCTACCTTAGATGGATTAGAAAAATCACCAAAGGTTAGTTCGGTCTTCTATGCCCAGCGGTAAAAATGCTACTACCTTTTTTCAAGACCAGAATGGGGTGGGGTGGGGTGGGAGAGGACAAGATACCAAAAAATCCAAACGGTAGTACTTATTTTATCATAATATCGTGTTAACTCTGGACTTCCTCACTGATACCATACACCATGCATTCTCGAGCCTTCAGCCTCGAAAATCCACTAATTCTTCGCTTTCTGAACGAGTTTTTGCTCTCCTGATAAACATGAAAATTGAGATGCCCTTTTTCAAAATTATCGATTCATTTTAAGATTCATGTTGGATCCAATCATCCGGATTTGAAGTGTAGTGAGAGAATGAAGCCTCTACTTCTCGGGTCGGTTGCGCTGGTCTTAGGATTGTGTTTTAATGCTTGATTCTTGCAGATTAGCTAAAAATAATAAAATATGTCCAACAGGCAGCTTCCTACGGTCAATATTAACCGAGATATCGCGCTTTGAAAAATTCGGCCTATGACGTCATCCACCGCGGCAGTGACACCCTTGGTCTCTTTCATTTTGCTTTCATCCAAGTTTCTCGTTGAGTAACCAATTCAGATGTAAGTCTCTCTGATTAATGAAACCAAGGTGAAAGAAACCAATAGTGTCACTTCCGCGGTAGATGATGTCACCGAATTCTTCAAAGCGCGATGACTCTGTAAATATTGAAAGTAAAAAGTTGCTGTTTGGACAGATCATATTATTTTCAGCTAATCTACAAGAATCAAGCGTCAAGACACGATTTCGTGACCAGCGCAACCGACCAATTTGCCGTAAGAGGTCGTCTGACTTTATGGTGGATGATACCACTATTCGACCACGTGGGAGCTCGTGTTGCCTACTCTAAAAATTGAAGGCAAACTGATATGAGTTAAATTGAAAATCTCCTCCTCAGTGAAAAACTCTTATTTGTGTTCGTCCCAAGTGTGCTTGCCATTTTATTATGATATACCATTATTTGACCACGTGGAAGCTCGTGTTGCCTACTCTAAAAATTGAAGGCAAACTGATATGACGTTAAATTTAAAAGCTCTCGTTCGGTGAAAAGCTCTTATTTGTGTTCGTTCCGAGTGAGCTAGCCATTTCAACATGATACCACTATTTGACCACGTGGGAGCTCATGTTGCCTCCACTAATGATCATGTTTGTAATTATGTCCAACAGGGTACCGGTTTTGCGTGATGTGAGGTCCATGCTCAACGGTTGTCTCGTTAGATCTCATCTACAACACGTTTGTTGAGAGTAGAACCAAAGGACTCCTCCTGATTGACTTTTTGACCGTGGATGTCGCTCGGAATCAGCTGGAAAATTCTTGTCGATCATCTCATCAATGGAATGCAAATAAACTCACGTTTGCTTAATTCCTTTCCATCCGTGTGTCATTATTTTTTCCTATTCCCGTACTCTCTTTCATGTGTATTCACGACACCAACTACTGGGTCTTAAAATCCAACCACCATTTGCTCGAACCTTAGGGTAGTTCTCTTGGGGGAATGGGCTCTTAACCCGGGTGTATGAGATTAATGAGGAAAGTGGAACGCATATCGACGGTGAAACTCCCAAACCTCGTATCTCTGTTTGCAACGTTGCAATGTTGGCTCAGGAGTTCGAAAAATTCTAATCACTATTGATCCATTATAAGTGTATGTACAAAAGAGCGTTCATGAACTACGCACCTTAAATTCTTAGAAGGGGGGAGGGGGTGNTTGAGTCTACGTCACGATGCATTGCGAGGGGGAGGGGGGATAGCGCCACCCGTGCCAACGTTACTTAACCCTCTCTATGGTAAAAAACACACTAAATCAACAGCACCAATAAATAAAATGCATGTCGATGGTGAAGGTGCAGAGGTGCGTATCCCGATTTTTGACACTTTTGAGTTAGCCGCATAAACGTGTTGTTGAAGATGTCGTCCATCTGCCAGCAAGAGCTTGTAATCGAAAAAAATCGGAAAGACGCACAAAACAGTAGAACTTTTTTCGCGTATCTCGGGCTTGAGTGCAGAAATGCGTACCTCGTTCTGGCCCCTTCATTTGATCCGGCGCGCCTCACATACACCACGCGCTCCTCAGCGTTTCCCGCCACCAGCGCATAATCAGCTGATCAACTGTTCTGTCTTTGTATTTATTCTCAGGAATTCGCTGGTTTTGAAAAGTTACTAAATGCTTATCAGTCGAAGGCCATAGGTACCTATTAATCGCGGCACGAGGCGCCTGGGCCAATGCTATCATGAACTGACGGTTCAGCACAACGGTCAGTTGTAATAGAGCCAATCGAGTCACACAATGCTTCATCTATCGCACTGGATCAACTAAAGCTTCTAAACAAGTTTTAAGATGAATAAACTCTACTTTTGATCTAATGATCAAGAGCAGGCTCAAAACGCTTATTGTACGTAGAAATGCGTATCTCGTGATCAAATATAATTTTCCAATCATACAGTGCTTCATCCAGGCGTGCGAGATCAAACTAAAGCCAATTGTAAGTGTGAAACTCTTTTTTCATTCTTAAAATTATTAAAATCCTCCAACAACAGGTTTAAAATACTAATTAGCACACAGGGCCGTATTTACCTACTTGCCGCCCTCTTCTCATTCGTTTTGAAACATCGATACAAACCACCAAGTGAACGTGCCGGAGGAGGAGGGGTGCATATGACGCGTTTAGGCACTTGTGTTGGGCACATTTTCTGTGAAAGCCCTGTCGGAACTTTGCGCGAAAGTTACTTCCGTAAACCTATCTCTGTGTGGCCAAGGCCTTCCATTTATGAGAAATGAACGAAAAAAAAATTATGAAAGAACAAACATAAATGTGGTTTAATAATTTTAACTTCCGCCGCATCGCTGCGCTGACCGCGTATTTGGCGCAATGCTTGAAGTATTCATGCAGTCTTGTAGGCACTACGAGTTCCACGCCAACGCCAACCGCTGCTGACCGCATTACATTTGACGCAATGCGTGAAGTATTCATTGAGTCTTGTAGGCGCTAATATGTGTTCCAAGCTGACCTGCGCGGCGCGCCGTGAGCTTCTCCTGTTCATTTCAGGTCCTCGTCATCATTGCTCTCTGCGCCGCGCCGCGCCGCTCCAGGCAAATTGCGTGTTTGGTTTCTCTCTCAACTAGACTAATGAAATGAGCTGTCTCTAGTATCACCGAAAGACGAACAAATTAGAAATTACTGTAGGTACTTTCACTCTCAGGAAATGAGAGATTTTGTCACCTTTTCTAGTTTGTAATTTTTTTTCTGAGCCTAAATTTTTTTTTGATACCTACATTTGAAAAAAATGCAACATTTACCGCCCCCTAAATTTGCCTCCATGGGCCGCGGCCCATGTGACCACCCCCTGAATCCGGCCCTGATTGCAAAAATGCGTATCTCGTCATGAAGTGTCAATTCTTAGTGCCGAAAACGCGAATCTCGGCATTTCTGCCATATTTTCTAACAGTTCGAGAAAATATCCAAAATGCTGATGGAGTCTGCATCTTATTCTTGCTATATCTACTCAAGAAATAGGCATTACCCTTCTCCTTCTTTCTACTGACAATAAGGAGGAATTCAGTCAGTTTTTTACTCTCCTGGAAAATCATGTTTTCCGAGATACGCACTTCTGCACTTTCACCATCGATGTGTTATCATCATTTCTCCAACACTATTTGTTACACTATCATTAAAAATAATTCAACTCTTATCCAACTACATATGGAAGAAAGTGCGAAACCACGTATCTCCGTTTGGGACGTTGCTGACTTCCTACCATTTTTTTTTTTTTTTTTTTTTTTTTTTTTTTTTTTTTTTTTTTTTNTTTTTTTTTGTGGAAAACTAGTCAACGTAAATTCCTAAAAACTTATTTGATTTTTCTACGCTGTTAGCAAAATATTGTGTAGGTACCTTTTCATTTTTTCAAAATTGGCTTGTTTCTCTTCAGAAAAATAAAATAGGAGCGGAGATTTTGACTCATCAAAATGGAGATACCTACGTGGTTTCGCACTTTGGCCGTCGATACTCGACAGTTTCCCCAACATTTTTGGGATTCTAAANGGGGGGGGGGGGGGCTCCGTCCTCCGTCATGCATTACAGCGGGCCCGGAGATGTTGTGGGGTGTGCGTGGGTGAAAATGTCGAGGAGTGCGAGCCGAGATTTATTTTGAGATGTTGCAATCATGGTAGTATCTTTGCGAACTAACAGAAAGGAAAAAGAAAAACAGTTTTGATCAGCTGACGTGCGCATGAGACTCCAGAGCACTCCAGAGAGAAAACAAATTTAGGTTCGTCCATCCATCTCATGTTCTGGCCACGTTAGAAACTTGAACTCGTGCGGGAGGAGTTTGAGAAAAATGAATTTTCAGAGTGATTCGTTTGAGAACATGGAGTTTCAAATTAAGGAGGAACCACTTTCCGATTACTGCGAAATGTTGAGTCCATTGCCAGCGAGGAGGAAATCCAGGAATACTGTAAAGGACAAACGAGGACATTGCGGTGAGTAAAGCTTATTCAAACATGATTGCTGTCATCATCCTCGCAGTTTGTGTCCAGTGTGGCTGCTGAATACCTACTTTTACTTACGTAATAGTTTCTTGTAAGGACGAATTCAGTCATTGACGAAGGTAATACTGATTCAACGTTTCAGTACGAGGGGCACCTATTACTCTTGTTTGCCTCGTTAGATTTGCGCCAGAATTTGTAATTTTTCCTTTTCGGATGTTATTTCTTCTATTGTCATCTGTCATCTCGATTTTCAAAGTAAAAAAGCGCATTTCTAACTGCGACATTACTTACTTAATTCGGCGTCTCGGTCTTAAGTAAGCTTGTAAAACGTGTCATGAAAATTCGTGAAGAGATCTAGCATAAAAAGGTTGGGTACCTACCGTATGTACAATGTATACACGTATTAAAATTGAAGAACACGCTTGTATGCAACTAATCGTTCTTATGGGAGATATCGGTGTCGTATAAACGAATAATTGAACGTATTTCTGTCAAACGGAACTATGTGCATTAAGACATGAGTCCTGAGACCCATAAGAATATATGCATAACAGGGCTCACGCCATAACGCACTTATCCGTTTGACTGAAACAAGTCCAATTGAAAGCGCTCTGCCATTTTGGATCAAGCTGAAGCCCGCGGTTGTATTGGCGCCGCGCCTCTGGTGAAGCGGTGAGTGCCTCAACAGTCGAAACGCCTTCGCTACCATGCGTATGCAACACGGACATCCATAGAGCCCGAATAGTTGCATCCATGCGTTATTATGAAAATCGTTTAGTATCCGTCGCATCCGACATTACTAAAGCTTCGATTTTTTTCTATTACACCTTAACTTACTTCCAGCGTTGCCATTTGTGCCTATGAAGTAAACGATTACTGATTTTCATCGCGATATCGCCATTTTCTCCAATATTTTTTCCTCGGAAAACTAGTCAACGTAATTTTTCAAAACTTCCTTGATTTTTCTTCTCTGTCGGTAGGATATCGACATTGTAACTTCCAAACCACGTATCTCGTTTCTAGCGTCTAAAAATCTCTGTCTCTATTTTATTTTTGAAAGAACGACAAATGGGTATCATCTCTTGAAGTTTTTCCAAAATTCACCGCACATAAGGAGGACAAATCAAGGAAGTTTTTAGGAATTCACGTATTAAGCAGTTTTCCCCTGGTAAAAATCGGCGATAAGAGCTGCGTTTCAAAATACCATATAGGAATTCTTATAACTGGCTAAAGAAGCACAGAAAATCATATAGCTGGCTGTAGAATGCGGAGAAAATCATACGGCCGGGCTATACGAAGCGATAAAAAATTATGCAGCCGGGCTATAGTTCCTATCGCCGGGCTTTACACCTTATCGCCTGGCTGTTGCTTTTTCGCCATCGATTATAAAAGGCTATGGGAAATTGTGTAGAAATTCGTGTGCTTTGGGAATAATTAAGTTTGATACGGAAACCACCCTAATATTTACAAAACACACGTTATATTTTCCTTTAGTAAATATTGTTTTTTATCAATTATAACGAGAATACCTAATCCATACAGGATGTGCAAACATTTCAAAATCATGAGTTGAATAACGCTGATTCCGCCAGATCAAATGTTAAAGCCTAAAACAAAGCGAAGCGGCGACGCACTGGCGCCTACAAACCTAACAGGGATACTTCACGCATTGCGCAACGCGTGAAGTATCCCTGTTAGGTTTGTAGGCGCCAATGCGCGGTTCGCGCTGGCTGCCCGCCTGCCGCACCGCAGCGTGCCACGGATAATGGATTTACGCACTGTCCGTTGATCCCATCAAAGAAAGGCGAGATAAAAGACGATGGCTATAATGTGAAACCACTTATCTCTATTTGTGTCGTTGCGGACCTCCTGCCATACTTTCTTTTAATAATTAATTATATATTTTTTTGTTGGAAACTTCCTTGATTTTTCTTCTTTGTTAGCGGAACATGCTGTATGAGCTGAAAGCTATAAAGTGGCTTATAGTTTTTAAAGTTTGCTATAAAGTTTCTTTTCGAAAAAAATGAATTATAATAGAAGCGAAAATTTTGAAATGTGACATTGAGATATCTACAGATTTTCCGATTTTGGCCATCGATAAGAGTTTTTCGAATGGACTTACGTGGTCCCCGTCAGGTTTGTTGCCTAAGCAGCGCATTGAAGGCGAACCTCAAGTGAGCGATATCTATAACCAACAGAATTACACGCAGTTTATCCATGAATTTTATCAAAGACACGTGAAAAATAGGTTTAGAAAGTCCCCCTTTACAAGAGCGAGCGCGTGTGTCAGCATTTTTTAAAAAAGGCGTTCTTTGGACGCTTAAACTTCTTCGTTTTTTTTCTGGAACACCCTGTATTATATTAATCAAGGAAAAAGGCCAGGCGCGGCGGAGGACATTTTCGTAAAAAGTAGTTCTAAGCTCAACTCAGATAATAGTGAAGAATAGAGCCAAGAAATGAATGATTATTTTGCATTTACATCTACCTTGAGAAAATCATGTAATTTATTGATTTGGGTGGGAGTCGCTTTGTGAGATAAACAAGTATATTGTAATTTTGAGTATTAGCGCGCGTAGTAAGGCGCCCCTAAGCCATAGCCTAGCAACCATCCCCACAGTGAAGCCGTAGCCATAGACACGAGCCTCACGGAGACGTCAACAAAAGGAATTTATAGGTAAATATTTATGCTTTTTTATTTTTGTTCAAATTTTTTCCCTGATTTTCCGAAATATTTCGCGCACATTCAAGGTTTTCACAGTATGCTTTCCCGAAATCAATAGCGCAACTTCTAATCCTTCCGTGTAATGTTTACACCTCTCTCTTCATTCACCTTCCACGTCTACTGATAATGATAACTCAAGTTTCTGAATCGTTTATCTTCCCCATCTGAAATCATTTTCATCTTCAGAGATTTCAACTTATCGGCTTTGGTTCATACATTGTTTAATCGGCGGTCTCATGTCCGTGAGACCCTCTTGATTTCGGTCGCCGCAAAGATCGCGTTTCCCTTATCAGTGATGGGAGTTTCTCAATTGAATTCTGCATCCTTTGCCGTTGTCAATACACGTAATTTTCCGAGAGAATGTAAGTTCAGTTCATTCAATTCTATCTTTGGTACACGCCTGCTCGTTATTTTCGGGCGATTGACTTTCGATTGTCGATCAATTCTGACGATCTCCTTTTTGTTTACCCACTTGTTTAATCCCACATGAAAGGGTTATCTTTGACACTCTTGAAAGTTCTAATTTTCATAAGCACCATGAAGCCACTCACATTAGTCTTAGTAAATTTACCTGATAATTCATCCTCATTCCTCGTTCACTCTCTTCCAATCATCATTTAATTTCATCGGATTTCTACCTAGTCATCTTAAAATTCTTGCCAAGCAGTAATCAGCCATCGCAGTCTGCCTTAGAAGTCTGCCTGTAATTTTTTGTTCTCATGCACTCGAGGAACAGACAGGCAGTTAGGTTTTGAAATATTAATTATGCCTCATCAGCCATTCATGAATTTTTTGTTTGTTAAAATTGCAGTTTTATTTTCTATACCTCTTCAGAATTTTCAACTTCCTCCTCTTGAAGAGTTCGTAGCATTACAAAGGCCCACTGAAATGTTTACTCTTAGAACAACCAGGATCATTTAATTGATCCGCTTGAACTGATATCGTTTGGTCTAGTCAGTTTCAGTAGAGTAACTGCAATTGGAACTTTGCCCAGGAGATCAATCGAGGTCTCTCAGAAATTAACAAATAATGATTCTTGGCACACATTCACACCTTAGACAACTGTCATTTGCTAAATTAGCAAGTTTAACATGCATTATCATTCCAAAATATTGTTTAAATAAAGCGTAGCGCCCAAGCAGTATTTTTCAATGGAAAAATGGTGATATTTTGATAGCAAGTTACGATTTTTTTGCGGTCTTTTGGCGATTGTATTGGTAGGATCATCAACATCATAGTGTTTATCCTTGATCTTGTAGCAATTATATCTCTATAAAATTGCATTCAACATAATCAAAATTTCATCTCAATTTATCATGATTTTTTTTTCAATAGTATCTCTATAAATCGCTGTTGATTAAATTGTGATTTTATTGCAAATTTATGTAATGGAATGGCAACTTTTTATCTGATAGTATTGCATTAAATGGACAACAATAAAGTCTTTATACATTCTATGATCAATTTGCAACTTATCACGATCACTGCTGCTTGGGTGATTGAAATTTTATGTTAGTGACTGGATAAGACGACTAAGCTGAAATGAAGCCATGTGATCAGACGTCCATGGCGAGCAAAGAAATACCCCTATGTAGTTGATTATTTGGCCAAATAATCAACTAGTCAAAGGCACCCATTTGCTGGCTGACAACCACTAGAATATCCTGCCCAATGAAGGAGTTTAAATGTTGCCCTTGTTGCTCAAATAACATAGATGACCAATCTTATGGCTCCGTCTCACCTCAGTCTTGTTGTATCTAGTCAACAAACACACAATTTCATTAATAAGCCCGCAAAGAGGATTTTCATTTTCTGCTGCAAACTTTCTGCATACCAGTATGTAAAAACGGTCTTATTAGCTGTATCTTGCAGGTGGCAACATTTTCTAGCCCTAAGGGAGGGGAAAAAATCTCAGAGAAAGGCTGATTTAAAGTAAAAATTAACCCAACTAACTTTTTACCGCAGATGATCTAATTTTCTTCATTTGTGGGAGAGAAGAGGGTGACTATCACCCCTACCCTTTCTTAATAGTGTACCTCATGGTATTTAATTAATTTGATCAATAACTTCAAATGATTATAAGATAGAGAGGCAAATATTTTCTGAAAGAATCAGATATGAACAACCCATTTTTATTCCCTAGAAGTCCTCAGCATCACTGTTAGCCTTTTATGCAAAAGCAGTTGACCGGAGTTTATTGCAGGTAGGGAGAGGGGGCTTGAACTTCCTCCCTAATTGGCAGGTGAGTCACAGGCGAGCGGTTTCTTGGGGGGACCAATCCATACCTGGCACCAACTTCCTCTGCTCCCACCTCATCTGTTTTTCCATCCTCTCCCTTCCCCTCTTTATCTGCGCTCACTCGCTCATCCCTTTCTATTACTGCTTTTCGGCCTCAATTCCACCTCTTACCCCTCTGATGGTTTCCCCCATCAGTTTGCCTTCTGTTAACACAGTAGAGCATATAATTTTATCTCTATGAATACATTATTTTTGTTTAGGAAAACGCTTTGTATAAGGAAACACGCATTTCTGCATAATTCAGCTCTCAAATAGATATGATTTTCATTTGAATTATTGCACAATTGAATTGCATTTCACAAAAAGGAACCAAGAGCATTCCAATGATGCTATAATTGTGCAACTTTTTTTACCTTGCAAATATGAACCGGATTGCATTTTGCAAAAAGGAACCAGGAGCATTGCAGTGTTGCTAAGATTGTGCAACTTCACCCATTGCAATATAACGATGTATATCCTGAAAAAATATGAAATTTACATGCTAATTTTTGTCCTAAATTTACAGTTTTTAACGAGTTAAATAGAAACTGTTAGGAGATAATCAGGTATTCCCTCCAAGACTAAAGGAGCTGCACAATCATAGCAATATTGCAATGCCCTGGTTCCTTTTTGCAAAATGCAATCCAACTGATCATTATAACAAGTTTTATCTTTACCTCCTATAAAGTGCAAATTCAAGACGAAAATCACCTCGGTAAATTTATTTTTTGCGTGGTTTCCGTAATTTTATTGTAGAGAATGTAAGTTGCACAATCCTAGCAACATTGGTATGCTCTTGGTTCCTTTTTGCAAAATGCAATCCAATTACTGGCAATTAATTGGACTGCATTTTGCATCAGGGAACTACTATTTCTGGCTCATTTACAAAACATCATTTGTGTCATTATTTTTTGAAAGGTGGTTTCAATAATGAGCCAAGGATAGTATTTCCTCATTGCAAAAAGTAGTCAGATTATTTCTTACGCTACATTTTTATGCCACAAACAAATGAAAATTTCTGTTATTGAGTTTACTGAGAGGAATTTTTCTATAAACTGAGACTTTAATTATTTCTGGTATCCAGCTTATTTCAAAGTATGAAGTCTGTTTGTACTTTGTCTGAAAAAATAAATTGTCAAAACTAAACTTTTTGTCTCGCATTACAATCATAAACCCTGCTCAGGCTGTTAGGTGTTCAAAGCCTGTATTTACCGAAATTGCATGAATGTCATTCCCAGAAAAAAATTGTTTAAAAATTGTTTTAATTTTGAAATAATTGTTATTGATTTGAAGAAAATGTTTTTTCCTCAATGAAACTGTTTTTGAGAAAAAAAAATATTCCTCATTTATGACAAATTTACTGTCCTTGAACTAAAAAAACTTCTTTAAACTATGGGAAATTTATTTGACTCTTGAAAAATATCATCCAGTACAAATACTTTTCTTTAAATCAAATACAATCCTTCTTGAATTGAAAAAACTTTTTTTACTATTTTTTCAGTGCTTGACTTTTATTCACAGAGGACATTCCGATAGTAAAAGTTGTAATTTTGGCAACCTTGGTTTTCCTCTCTATATCGAGCTCCAGTGTGTTAAAGTGCCCCTCTCTTTTTTTGTAATCCTCTACGTATCCTTGCTCATTTTTTTATTTTTAATTTATTGTTAGGTAAGAAGATCATTGAACCAAAGTACAGCACCTCTGAAGCTTCAAGCAGTTACTCACAGACCCAAGGAGTGGGGAGGGGCAGTCATAAAGTGATGGCTGCCACAACTTTGGGAGCAGTTGTAACGCAACCAGCTTCACCGCCACCCGCCACAATCACTGTTGTTTCGACAAATCCGCCACAACTCATAGTGCAGCAATCCGTGTCCAAGTCTCCCTCTCCTGAAACAGGCATAACCATTTCAGCTGTCACTACTCACCAGAATGCTCTACAACCTGTAAGAATAATTCACTTTACTCCCCGATATACCTGAGTAATTCTATAGATCTTTCCAATTGTTTTTCTGGTAGCTTGTTTTTTCTACTTCGAGGGTGAAGGAAACACTAGTAATACTTATGAAAAATGCTGGTTCTCTCTCAAAACAATTAGCTGTCTAGCACACTTAATCGCAGAGCTGGGACTCAGGCGCTGGGCTCTTTCCCTCTTAAAAATTACAGTTTTGAATGGACAAGATTCCAAAAAACTTCACTTGATCTCATCAGACTCATTACAATGCTGAACGACCTCTGATAGTCTAACCTCTAATTCCCTCACATTTCATAAAGCTAGTTTAGATCCTTGTCCCATACACCCATAATGACCAAGATTAAAAAGAAATGACTTTCGATTTCCTGACCTGATTGGGTTGCTACTTTATGAGGCTAATGGACATATGAATTTAGACACTCTCCATCAAAATCACAAGGGAAAGCATAAGTAAAATGGCTATAAATCCTGGGAAATATCACTCAATATACTCAAATTTTCACTCAGAGCTCCTTTCTTCACTTCATGCCTACTGGTATCAATTCATACCCACCCCCTGGAATGCAAGGAGATGGTATTTTTATTTTAAATGCCCAGCCTCCTTTCATGTATTACACCCTATTATTGATCATGTTAATTATTTATTTTGGAATTTGTCTTTAATTTTATCTCTTGTTGGTTCTTGTTGTAGAATGGTCAGAGTGAAAACATTCTTGGTAGTCCGGCAGACGAATCAGGCGATTCTGCAGGGGCTGATGGCGGTGGAGATCAAACTAGTGGACAAGATGAAGGAACTACCATAGTTGATTCTACTCACTTCATCACAGTCTCAGGTGAGATAACATAGTGGCATTGATACCTCGTTTATTCTAAACTAACAGCCAAAGTTCTTCGTGGTTTAGTTTTATTTTTGATCATGAGAAGATTGTGCCTGATAGCAGATTGTATTTTTGGACGGGGGCTTCAGCTGAGGTTGCTGCTCACTGAGAGTCAATTTCATTTCCAAGTTTGACTGTCCTCAGAAACTGGAATTGTATGACAAAATTTGCATGGAGCTATTTTTTTTGTTGCATAAAGGGTGTCTAATTAATAAACATTTGACTTAATCATTGTGGAAATATTTTGTAGGAGTTTTGTCGATTTGAAGTCATCAATTCCAGAAGTATCGTTTTGAGAAAAAAAACCATCTCAAGTTTCATCTGCCGTGAAGTTTAAATTTAGGCTAACCCTAAATCACACTTAATTTAAAAATGAGATGGAAAAAGATAAAAAGTCTAGTGACCTTTCATGTGTGTCTATTCCTTCTCAAAGCAAGGTTTTTTTTTCTTGTCTCTCTGTTATCAGTTTTTTTTCTCTTCTCACTTAAAAACTGTCATCTCCTTCATCATTAAGTAATTCCAGTTTTTTGCAGTAAATGAAATTAAATTCATGTTTAACTGACTTGAAAAAATACATTTTTTTCATGCTTACGATCAGACGGACACCCTGCCAGATCTTATACTGCTTTAACTCCTGTCAACCCTGTTGGTAAGATGTTTCATCGAAAAATCATTTGTGTTGCGTTGTTTTGTGGGGGTTTTCAGTTCAAGCTCATTTTGCAGCTATAGTACCCTCTATAGTATTTTGGCTTTCAACACAGCTGTGAGAGTTTTAATGGGCTGCACTTCTTTCTATCCTTACCTAAAATAAGATTTCGAAAGGCATCAAGAAATATCGAATAATCACTGAGCTAGAATGGATTTTCTTATCATGTAATGTACCCTAGTAGCCACAACTGTTAAAAAATTCCTTAATTTTCAAAAAGACAACACTTGAGACATCTGAAATAAATGTTAAAAAACTACAGTGATATTTTAAGAGTTTTTTTAACACTATTTCTTTTAATATTACTTCTCATAAATTTTACTGTAATAAATAGCCTAAAAGGGTTTCCGAATACGAACATTTTAACAGTTTTTTAAGAGTTGTTGAAAAATATTTTAAAAGGTCAATGCTACTAGGGCTACTCTTCAAAAAAGTGATCATAGGCATCCGAAAATATAGTTTTGATCATCATACCTTGTGAATCAGCCAGGAAAGGAAGATTGACGAACTTTGTTTCCATGTCTTATAAAGGAGAAAATATTGTCGTTTGAAAAGTTTCATGAACAACATCATCCACTATGATCACCACTAAATCATTTGTCAATTTGTTGTTTCTCAGAGTTTCTTTCTTTTTTTCTTCTTTTTTTTTTGGAAGGGGATTACTACTATGTATTTACTTTAGTCTTCTTGGTTAGATTATCGCTCAGACTGCTCTTCTTTACTTTCATTTGCACTAAATTTTCTCTTGATCATTTTCTTTTTATGGAATCAGATTTTGGAGACTTACGTTGTAAATTTTCTACACCAAGCTTTTTAAAAATAAAGGAAGTTCCAAAATCTTGGGAAGCTCATGATTAAGTTGCACGTTTTTTCCACCTGGTTATTTTTGCTGCACTCCCTCCAGTTTATCAGTGCTTTTCTGCGTATTACTTAAATTAAGCCAGAATTTTCAAATATATGTCAGTCAATAATTACTTACTCGAGGACACCTGTTTGTATCGGCATGACCTCGTATAATTTTAGACCTCCTGTATTAACACTCAATTTAAATCAAATCTTCCTCTGAAGACAGTTCTTTACTTCCACTGCAACCCTTGAATCCCAAGCCTTTTCTACTATCCTGTGTGTCATGTCTCCTTGAGATTTGGTCGGCAAACCCTTGGCAGAGGTACCTCCTCTTCGATTGCGGAATTTCCCCTGTGCCCCTTATAGGCCAGTATCCAACTCTTTGGAATTGCCCACTTTTGGTCATTTTTTTTGGGTGCAGTGGAAAAAACTGATCTGGCAAGTCTGTGCTTCAGCGTTCTGGTACTCCATTGTGTTATGGAGCCATAAATGGCTCCATAGCACAGACTAGTTGAACTACAATTTCCGACTCATTTCAGAAACAACGTATGTGCCATTAGTTTTCATAAGCAGATAAGTGCTTTTACAGATTATGTAGTTTCTGATTGCAAAATTAAATCCGATTAAAATGGTGTAATATCACAAAATGGAGGTCTGAAAAAGCTTGATTTTGTAATAGAATAAGTTCATTACTTTATCAGGTGTCAACGTTATGTGTGCACTTCTTACTTTTTATTCTTCGGTCCTGATTTTCTGGTTAAAATACGACCATGATCATTTCAGACCTTATAGGTCCATCTTCACATCAAATATGTAGTGATCACGAGATGCAAACTTGTCGATGAAATAAAATAAAAAGTAAAAATGTTACTGCTTTTTACCACAATATTTATGCAGTTATGTATTCATTTTTTATTTTATTTCATCGCCAAGTTGGTGTCTTTCGATCGCTACATATTCGACCTGAAGATGGACCTATAAGGTCCGAAATGATCATAGTCGTGTTTTAACCAGAAAATTAGGACCGAAGAATTAAAAGTAAATAAGTGCACACATGATTTTATAATGCCGATCAACAACGCTCACTCTTGCAAAAACTCTCGTAAAATGTCTTCTGAATTGAATCAAAGTTGTGACAAGTAAACGATGTATCACAGAGGCCATTGCAGTACATTCTCCTAAATTACTGTTTGCCATATTTCCCATTCACATCCCTCAGAGGCCACATTTATTATGTTCTAATGCTTCTGCTGGTCCTATTTTTCAATATCAATTAAGTCTTGAATTACTTCTTATCATCAGATAGCTTTGTAAATATTCTGTTTTTTGTCTAGTTATTTGTCAGAAGTAATGATGAGCAAGTGTAGGCATTTTTTTGTGAGGAAGCTTAAAAAATAACTCCCTAGCTTACTTCACCAAGGACCGTCCTATCACCAAATTCAGGCTGTCATGTTTATTTCAAGTAAACAAGGTAACGTTCTGTCATTGCGCGGTAGTTCAGCTCTCTTTAATGTTACAGAAAGTTATGGATCCACAGAAAGAAATTTGTCTTATTTTCATAGTTCTTCTCGAGAAGGGGGGTGGGGGATAGAATGTCGGAATATGTGCATCTCGTTTTCCTCCCTAATCTTTTTTCGCAATTAATAATTTTTACCTGGATTTTGAGAAAGTATTCATTTATTTTTCAGCTTCCGAGGGTCAGTCAGTTGAAGCAGATTCTGTTCAACATCCAACTTACATTCAATATGTGGAAGGGACACCTGATCAGACAATTTACACCACAACCAATGGACAAATGTAAGAAGTGTTCTAAATCCTTTGTATTTCTTACAACTCCGATACTTGGTTTTATCGCTGCTTCTCACAAGCTGTACATTGTAATATCATGAATTGCTATTTTCTTCATTTTAGGTCGCAGCAATTTATTTTTTATGGTGCTGTTTTTTCTCATTTATTCCACCAAAAAAATCCCTCAAAATACTTCTTTGCAATTAAAGTGTTGATTTTGTTGCCCAGCTTGATGCTTTGTAAATCAATCTCATTTCCATTATTTTTATTTTTTTTCCTTGCATCAATCTACTCTACTCTCTGCTTCGCCCCCCCCCCCCCCCCCCNTCCCATTAATTCCCAGAAGATTCAGTTCCCTGCAATATTTAATTTTCAACTAGCTTGTTGCTGGATCGAATTAATTTCCTGAACTCTTTTGTAACTATTAGTATCAGGTGAACACTTTGCATTGTCTGCATTGCAACCTCCTATGGTTATTATGATCAACTTTGCCTCAGCAGAACCACTCGCAGTTACTCACTTTGACCAGTATGGACTTGGAATGAATAATTTCTAAGAAAAAATTGATTAGTTATGCCTGTCTCATAATCGTGGTTTGCGGACTTCAGATCAGCAAAAAGTATCAAGATCCATCCAAACACCAAGTTTCCATGACCAATATTAATGGAGATACTGCCCTTTGAAAAACAGTATGTATGATGTTGTACACTGCAGTGATGCATAACATGGTTTCTTCCATCCTGATTTCATTTGTGTTCTAAGTCAAGCAATCAGTTCAAATATGCTTATCACTGATTGACAAAACCAAGGTGAAAGAAACCATAGTATGATCAACTGCGGTGGATGACATACACTGTAGTTTTCGATGGGCGCTATCTCCATTGATATTGGACGTAGAAACGTGGATATTAAGCAGCCTGATTGTTGAAATTTATGTGAGCATGACAAGCATAGTAAATCGATATATTACACAGTCCAGATAGGGCCATGTCTTGTCTTACCTTGCCGACATAGCAGTTAAAAGTTTTAACAATCAGACCGCAGATCGAATTATTTGTTGCGCATCTATCAATTTAAACCATCAAAACTTGATTCTACAACTAGCTCAGCTGACCCATTACAGCTGTTAAAAATCGCTGTCTAAGACGTCTGAGATGTTGTTATGGAGAATTAAAATTTGTGGGAACCATTTTTTATATTATATGATATGTGTTGACTTTCTGCCTTTTGTTATCGAAGGGCGTATCCTGTCTACACTGTTGGTGAAGGAGGAACTGCTATGTTCACACCAGCAAGCGGTCAATATTACACTGCTGGGAATTCAACTCCTGTCACGTATACTCAGGTTTGTTGTCATGTAATACGAATTCTTTGCCTTTCTCATTTATATAAACTTTGCTTTTTAGTTAAAATACTTAATTTCCCAACCGCTTACGGTCTGGCTTGAACAAAATTAAGGTCGTCATCATTAGCCTGTATATTCGGTAACTTATAATATCAGTCTCGTAGAAAATGTTCCCCAAACATAACCAATCGGCTCCAATCGGTGTTCAGTCAATTGTGCCTAAAATTGAAGCTTTGATGCGCAAAAGGAGGAAGCTCCAGCTTTTGGCACAGGAAATCGCAGCAGCAAACTTAATTTCTGTTGCACCATTGCTCCTGTCAAAATACCATGTTCCATGATGGCTTTGTCCAAAATTTGCATGGTTCCTAAACAATCATAGAATTCTGAATTAGGGTTTTGAATACATGGTTTGCTGGCCAAGATGGCTTCTTGAATATTGTAGAGAATTTGAAGTATGAAACATGCTCCAAGCTGGACCCGTTTTCATGGACGATTATCCCTTTTTGTAATCACATGCTGTGTCCAAGCTAAACGCAAAACAAATATGCTCACTAAAAATTGCATGTTGCCCCTGTATTTCTTATCTATCGCCAATTATTCCATTTTTACAGTGCATTTTTTTTTTTACCACCAAGTGCTTTAACAAAATTTTGGTTGCCTGCGTAGTATGTACAATGTCTCTTTTTCAAAATAGAAAACACAAATTAAGTTCTAAGATTTTAGCGGTTGGTCTGGCCGAAGACAGAAGCGCAAACAGCTTTGATGTTGTCTACCAAGAATTTTTTTTTAATTCTTGCATTTTTTTTAGCTTTAAAGAGTGCACATGATTCACAGTAATTTTTCCTTGATTTATATGTAATATTAACCCATAAAATACAAGTTTATAGTCGAGCTTTGAGTTCCCATATGAACCTGCATCATCGAGAAAGCCAAAATGGCGCCGGAAAATAACCTTCCTGCTATAGGTACACTTTTGACCGCACCACTCCTTTCCCATATTATATGTTCTGTGCAGCAGTTATCAATGCAGGGCTGAGACGCAACTTTAAACTTGTTTTTCGTCGGTCAATATTGTTTGAAGAAATTCAGCAAGATCCCTTTAAACTGTGTGCACTCTCTTCATGATCAGTAAAGTTTTTAAATTTTCATGCTTGGAGCCTTAAACTAACAAGGGAAATGTTTTGTATCGTTTCTTAAATGTATGGAGTTGATAGCTCTGACAATTTTTTCTTCTGGAGACCGATGCTATTCATTACTATGTGGAAGTTTATGCTGTTCAGAATAATTCTTCACATCAAAGTGAATCAGAAATGAACTCTTAAAAAAAAATAAATAAAATAAATACTATGCATTTTGGGTTGGAAATCATATTTTCTGAACTGAATTCTTTAATTGTGAGTTTGAAATTCCATGTTCAAACCTCCTTGAAGAACTTACACTTTATAACCCTCCAACATATTTTAATTTATTTTTCCCCCCATCAAAATTATTTTAAGTAAGTTTCCATGAAGATGGTGTGAAATGGTCTGGGCCTAAAATTATTTAGAACTTAATAATGGTTAATGAGGACGTAAATATTTTTTCCTCCAATGGTTGTCTAAATCAGTTCCACTAATCCTGAGTCATCGCACCTGCGGTGTTCGAGTTCATTGTTGAAGCATATAATTGTTATCTCATCCTACTTTGGCATGAATATACAGGAATAATTTTTTCCCCATCTTTCTTCTTTTAATGTCTTCTATTCTGTCCTGTGAAACCTTGCTTTTTGTCTTTCATAAGGTATGGTTTTTTAATATCTTACAAAAATTATTATGGAAGATTACCATTCCTGAGCAACCGTGACAAGTTAGGTGAATGAGATAGATTTGACTTCATCAGATTTTGCCTCATTTGCTCTGTTTTATTACGTTTCAAACAAAAAACTAAGCAACACTGAAACTCAAAATTTTGTGAGTATATTCCAGTATTAATTCGCAGAAAGTTTAAAGACGTTGATAAGCTTAGTTCTCTATTCAAAAAATGGAACATGAGAGGAAATTGGGCAATGATTTGGGTCAAATCTGTCTAATTGTATGGAAGCTCAGTCACCTATGCTTTGTCATTGATGCCCCATCACAAGCTGGGAAACTACCCAAAATGTGTGTCTATTGTGCATTGATGTAAATTCTCAGTTAGCCCCAATGTCTAATCCGTATGCATGCCATGGGAGTTTTTGTGATAACAGCTCAGCTCTATGGGTGAAGAGAATAATAAAAATGCATGGACTGAGAACGTAATCCAGGGAATGGTATTTTTATTTTCAAATGAAAAATGGTTTGAGACAGACATTGCGCTGCTTCTTGAGTCGTAACCAACTTTCACGTCTAAAATTTAAATGATGGTGCATGTCATTGAACCATGTTTTAATTGATGAACCTTTTAGAATCATGTTGTAATTTTCGAATTTTCCTCGAATCCTTTATCGGTCATAGATAAATTTCATAATTTTGGGCAGGAAGTAAGTGTCTGCAAAGTTCTTGCACCTAATATTGACTGATAAATTTCTCTTTAAAAAAATTGTGCATGTGATCATCCGCTGCATCAGCACATAGCATCATCCAGTGTAACCAGTTAATATTCAATCTATGAACTTGGCGTATCAATCTATCTCATTATTTTTTGCTATCATCTAAAAATGCTCCTGTGGAATATGTGTCTGACTCATTGAATATTTATTGAGTAATTGCCAATGATATCGTACGGTGTGGATACTTCAAAATCCAAGAGTTCCTAAAAAATTCTGGACAGTCCGTGGTACAAGTAAGGCTCAGTTTTGGAAGCATGCTGCTGAGTTTTTACCGAATGTTTCGATGGGTTTCAGGTTCCGACTAATATAACACAAAATGCTGGACAAACACAAATTTTAACTAATGGAGGCACTTATTTGATTCAGCAAAGTGTAGACAATGAGCACACAATTGTAACTCGACAAAGCCCCCAAACCGTTGCTGCTGTAAGTTGCTTTGCATACTTTTTTTTTGTTTTTGTAATAATACTTCCTTTAGCCTTTCCTTGTTGTGAATGGGATGGAAGTGGTGTGGGTGATGTTACATAAATGCAACACATTTTTAATATCTGTAATTCACTGCCTCCCTTAAAGATGGTGGTTCAACTTTGACATGGCTTCTGAAAACTAAAATCTCCTTTATTCCTCTTGGAAAATGGTTGCCAACAGGTTGCGTATTCAGTCAGTTTAGCTCTGTATTCTTGCAAATAGACGTCTAAATGATGCTTGCATATAACCGCAATCGGCGTGATTTGTTTGCAGTATTTATTCCTTGACTAAGAAATTTGCCACTGGGAACACTTCTCCTAGTATCAGATGAGGCGATTAAACAGGATTACTAAGGACTCAGTCCACCCCGAATTTTCAAATAAAGTGGTCAATAAATTGACTAAACTGACTGACAGCTAACAATTGCTTTTTCTGTTTTACCTAACTCTTATGTTGCAAAAATTCTTATCACAACACTAAAAATTATTTTTTATGATGATGCTGCGACAAAGTTACACTTTGCAATTTTAAATTAGCCCCAGTTGATTTCTTAGAGATATTTTATCAAAATTTGCATTCAACTATCTTTGGTCATATGTTCAGATGTCAGGTTTTAATCTACCCATAGTCGTAAGTAGTGTTCCCAGGAGCTATGAGGTACCTTAATCCGAGTGACCAAGTGAAACTAAGCATTCCTAGTATGATTTTATGTATCATAACATTTTCTTCACAAATCATAGTGAAAACAATCAGGAATGACAGCCAAGTAGAATTTTAAAATATATTTATCTCCCAGACAACTTTTTATATCTGAGCAAATTCGAGGTCTCAGTCCTGGTATCTTACAAATACATTGGTACATGCATGAAATAAGAACATAAATCGAAACTTACCTCTGCTTATAGGATTGCTGAATTCTCTCACTATATTTCAAACCTCTCATACATTTCCTATCAATGCACTCTCGGAGTTAGATCTCTTTTACCTCCTCCGGTAGTGCTACTTACCACTAAAGATTCTTGCAATTTTATGTGCAAATTACCCAGTTTACTCTTTCCGTCAGGGGATATTTTATCTTCTCAATTAAGCATTTTTATCTTGTAAACGTTATTAAAACGAGCTCAGTCTAGTCAAAAATACAACATATTTGAAGGCCTATTAATTGAGTTATTTTAACTTCTCAGTTGAAAGCACTATGTTGGAGTGTTTCCCTTACAAGATTACTTGACTTCTTTTTGAATGCTGCAAATCCAAACACAAGTCTAAAGTAATTTTTCTGATTTTAAGTAATTTTATTATTGTCTTTTGTAATTGGCTTTAGGCCATGTACAAATCTTAAAACTCGACCAATAAATCACCAGATTGCCAATGCCAGTTTCTTGATTTGTAACTTTTACAGTTGCATGGACAGGTTTTGTTGATACTAAATTTTTTTTACAGAGAAGCTCAAAATTAAAAATCCAAACATATGATTTTTTTTGGTAAGTTTTCTTAAAATGTCAGGTCCTATTATTGAAGTATAATTATCTTTAAATTTGTATCGAAAATTATTTTTGTATTATCTTCTAAATTATACATTTATACCAGAAAATATGGAACTTTAAAAAGAAGTCCTTGTTTAGGCGTTGAGGTACGTTTTGATAAATGAATCGTCTATAATTCTTTTGCTTTATCCCACTTGAAGTATATGTATATAGGTTGTCCCAAAAGTACTGCAGCAGTTGCAATTCTGAGCAAACTGACAAATATTTTGACATACAGCTTAAAAAGGCACCTTCAAAGCCTCCAAACCTAATGGGACCCCCCATGAAATCAGGCCAAAATTTTGCTGAGATATGACTCATTAATTCAGTATGGACAATTTATTTTGCTGCCCCCTGCAAAATTGAAAAGATAGTTTTTAGAATTAAAAGAAGGAAGTCAGGAATGAATTGATATCTTTAATTGAATTTTCAAAGTATTACAACTTTATCATGTTCATTCTTCATCTAATATTCCAAAGGTTGTTCTTTCTCTCTGTCATATAAAACACGCCTAATCCCAGAAGGCATCTGCAAGACTGTTCCTCCCCTTTTCTAAGATTTGTCTCTGCAAATACTTTTACAAAATCTTAACTGCTGTTTGATTTCTTCAACAGCTTTAAACTGTCTGACTTGTGAATGCATCTTCATTTCTTCATTGTCAGGCATGGCCAGAATTTTTACGGAGCAAGATCCGAACTAGAAGGAAAGAGGATAGGAGGTAACTACAGTGGGTACCCTTCTTTCCCATGAACGCCTGAGTTGCGTTTGAGGTGGGAGGATGTGCCATTGTTGTAATGCAATAACCTCGTACCTCTCATCTTCAGTCGTTTCAATTCCATCCGTAGCTACATGTCTCTAGGAGATGCACTGTTGCAAGAGCCATTCATCTCTGCTGTGCACGTGTGTGCATTACAGTTTGATTTCCAAGTTTTTTTCTTCTTCAAAAAACTATCCTTAAAATAGCACAGGCAGTATCAAAAATATTTCTCTTTAAGAGTTCATATCTAAGCAAAATTATGATCAAATGAATAAAAAAGATCTTGTCACATTTGTGGAGGGATAATGCAGATTAAATTATCGTAAAGCAAGGATAAAAAACAATAAATGTACAAATTTAAATATAATCGGAGTTCAAAATTTTCCTTTCATTCATTATTTGACCAAACATAATTTCTGTCTGCCGCCATCCCTCTTCAGCGGTGACAGTCAGGCTATCACCCCACTTTATTTCATTACGATAATCCAGATACCTGTCTAACCTGCATGTCAGTATCTTCATCCATTTGCACGGAATCATAGTCTTTGCTTTACTTTTGGGACAAATCATGCAACATGTATAAATCAGAAAACTAAATTGGCAGCGGTGATAATGGTTTTGGTTTGGTTCGGTGATGGATCCTTGCTTTTGGTGGATGTAGGATGTGACGTACCTCGTGAACTCAAGCTCTGCAAGTGGCTCTGCGTCAAATACTAACGATGCCTCTAATAACGGCTCTAATGGCTCGGCTTCTGCTCAGATGAATATTGTTGATGTTGATACTCAGTCTAACTTGGTGCATGCAACCAGAGTCTCTCCTGCTACAGTAAGTTTTTTCTTCTAAATCTAATGATGATGTGTGTAATCATTGTAAAATTCTAACTCAGTGCTTTTCACTCCTAATATTTCTCCGGTAGTAACGAATGTAACTTCGCAGAATTTTCTCAGAATAACGTCTACGACCAAGCCAGACTTGATAATTATGAAATTTCAAGCTCTGAATGAATAACTCATTTCATGATAAAGGTGTTTTGTCCCAGATTCTGGTGTAGACAAACTGGCGTAAGATATATCACATTAATTACGTCAAAAATCTCGGCAGATTTTGAATTGTGAGCCAAAACAAGTAATTGCAAATATTTCAAGAGGATCACACCAGGAATAGTCCCATTGTATAAATTATCTTTGGGTCATGCTGGAAGGCTGCATTAGCCATTCCACGGAGTAGCCTAGACTGCCTAGGTTGTAGAATTTGAAAAATTTCTAGGGATACCTCGGAAAATCGCCAAGAATTTTTGGAGAAGTAAAAGACGAAAAAGCCACCCCTTTATATAATAATGCATAGCTGCATTCCTTGTCTCTTTTCTTTAGGATGTGCTTCTTTCATTCTTGGCTATCTCATATGTCTTGTTAAATACTCAGTTTTAAATTGTTGACAAGGACCTCTGTCCTAGCATTTTTGAGGATGCTGAAGGATAAGAATGCACGGGGAATCCACTTTTTTGTTTGCCAATCCTCCATAGCTTGGATGGAGCTCTCAGAAATCTAAAAATTGTGAACATGCCAAGCAGGTGTGATGGAAGCATCTAAAAAAGTGGTCTCCTTTGCTTACCGCATGGTGAATTTTGCTTGCATTGTTATTTTTAATTGGCTAGTTAATTTCGTTTTGAAATGTTTTTCAGAAATGATTTTTTCTTTCTTTTTTATTTTGCGCCATCTAGTTTTAACTGACCATGTTTTAGTTTTATTAATGATGATTGCTGCCAGGAAGAAAGACGGCCAAATACTAGATCATCATCGGTTTGAATACAAGGAGTGGTTATTAATTGTCAAAAAGTATTTGTTACTAGTTTTTTTTTGGAATCGTGGAAATATAACAGTGAATTTCATGTATTTAACTCCAGTTTAAGTCCTCTACTTTCATCTGTCTATCAACTGAGATTCTTCATTTTTTTGCTGTAATAGGTACAGTGGCTTTTAGAAAATTATGAAACAGCTGAAGGTGTCTCTTTACCGCGTAGCACACTTTATTATCACTATTTACGACACTGCAATGAGCATAAGTTGGATCCAGTTAATGCGGCATCATTTGGGAAACTCATCAGATCTGTTTTTCTTGGACTCAGAACACGAAGGTTAGGTACAAGGTAAGTGTTTTTGTCTGGAGCCGTAAGAGCATATGTTGTTCTCCAGTAATGATTCCTTAAATGGTGCCAATTGTAAAGAAAAAGAAATAGATGTAAAAGTAATTAACCCTTCGACCATGTTGAAGAATATTAATTTTCTTTTTGTAGACTTTCCATATCTTATTACACCTGTTGAAAAAGTGTCAATCAAAGATGAAACTTGGTTCAGTCGATGTTCAAAGAGCATCCCATAATTTTGCCTGTCTCTTCTCCATTGGAAATGTTAAGTAAAAGTAGCTCTTGTTGATATTTTTTGTGGGGAAAAAATATTTGTCAGAATTTTTTTCTTCCAAAATTCCCATCAAATGGTACTTTATTGGGAAGAGGCTAAATAGGACTTTATATATAACTCTTGGGTTACTAACCTCATTTTTATTTCGAAATTGGTAAGTTGAAAATGTTTAAATTTTGGACAACTGAGGTGGCTCAGAAAGTCCTCTTGTGCAAAATTCGGTTGCAATTGCAGCCTCTCAATTTCCTCACTTTCAAAAAATTTCTTTGCTTCACAAAAAAGTTAAAAGTACGGGCTGAGACGAAAAATTTTAAAACTTGGTGTACTTTGCGTTTTTTCCTTGTGAGCCCACGGATTTCCTCATACCTACCTTTCATAAGCAGGAGCTTGTGCCCTGGTGTATTTTTTGCACCTGTCTCCCTATATGTCAGAAAAATTTTCAAGGTCTATACAAAAATGTTGTTATAAATATGATGCATCATTGGATTGAGCCAAACTTTAACTGACATTTATATTGCCCAAAAAGAGGCATTTTTTTCCTCTTAAATTTCCTCTCCTTGCCAGCTTCTAGGAAAAAAAGACAAGGGCAGGAACATTCTAATTTACTACAAAGCTAGCAACTGCACATCATGATGGAAAATATACAAGAAGGTAACTTTGGGAAACTAATATAATGAGGCTTTTGGTGGCAGACTTATTCCTTTCTTTCTTTCAATACCCATTAGCTAGGTGAATGAAACAGGTTGCCACAAAATTTTAAACTCAATTTTGTGGGATGAGTCTTGATTCTTGTATATTTTGCTCTCTTTTTCAGAGGGAATTCGAAGTATCACTACTACGGTATTCGTATCAAACCCAGTTCCCCTCTGAACTCGATTTTAGTTCCATTGGAAGAAGGTAGTAGTCCTGTGAGTCGGAGTGGTGCTTCGAAGAGATATAAGTTTATGAAAAACGATGGAAATGCAGGTAGTGGCGGAGTTAATGGAGGAGGAGCAGGTGGTGGAGGTGGTGGTGGGGGAGCTGGAGCGAATGAATCATTCTCAAGTGATCAGAATAACTCCTCAAATCATGCCTTTACTCCTCAGGTAAATTTCATGGCGGTTTACTCTTATTTTGTGCCATTTTTTGCACACTGGTCACAAATATCTCAATGGTCAAAAAGCAAAACCACATATTTCCATTGCGGTGTCTGAAAAATTTCTGCTCCCATATTGCCATTTTTTCAAAGAGTAACAAACCAACTTTACAGCGTGGAATTAATACAGAGTATTCCGCAGACAGAGGAAAAAAGTAACTGACGTCAAGAAATCACATCGACTGGTTTTACACAGAGAAACTAAAGTATTATGTCAGGAAGTCTGCCATGTCGCAAATGGAGATCTATGGTTTTGCACTTTGGCCATAGATCTACATGGTCACCAGCCATAACGGTAAATCCAATACAGAACAGCTCTGAAGAAAAAGTAACCAATCGGACATTTTCCCCTCCTAAGCCAATTTCTTGAAGGTAATTCATTATTCATTAAGTACATGCAAAAGTAAAAAAATAAAAAAAGTAAGTTTAACCTCAATAGTGTGCTATTAATGCAGAAAATTTGACTCTTTGGAATGTGGTCGTTCTTCCTGAATCTGGTATTCTAAACTATTGATGTAATGACCAAGTGTGTTGGAAAATTTCTTGTGAAAAATTTTATTCATTGCTGCGTGCATTACATTTATTTTTACAACTTTGTAAATTACACATCACATTTGTCTATAGTGCTGGAAAAACCTTAAAATTGATGCCCTTTTGCGATGACAAATTTTTCAACATTTTAACTCTTGCTACTGATAACACATCTAAAAATACTGTGACCCTCAATTTTCTTGCCCAATACTCGATCTTAATTTCAGTCAATTAGGAGAGAAGAAAGAACCTTCAAACCGTTCTAATGTGTTCGTTGATTAGCTCACATTTTTCTTCCTGTTTCAGTCTCAGAATCATCAATATCTTGGTGATGGTTCTAGTGCTGTGCCTGATTTCCCAGAGATCGAGCTCAGTCCAGGAGTGGAGCTCCCTGAAGATTGCACCTTGGAAGATGTAGATACACTGAGAAGCATTTATAGGGAACACTGTGAGGTAACTTCACTTAAGTACTATTCACCTGAAACTTTATTGAAAGGAATTGAAATTTGAATTTATTGGTTCATAATTTGGAAGTCCAAAGATTTTTATCTATTCATTGCCATGCTGGTCACCCATAGGTGGCGTTGACTAACAGTGGATTTTCAAGCTGTTCCTGGTTAATATTAATAACATCTGTAGGTTCGCAGCTGTTCTAATTATTGAAACTTAGTGATGACTACGACAGAGAGCTCTACTAGCATGACCCGAATCATCGCTGAAGATTCATAAGTAATTTGTCGCAGCCGTAACTTTATGTTAGTTCACTTTTAAATCACATGAAATTGCATGGTGGAATCACGGCATGGTAATTAATCTCTCAGAAAAAAATTATGAACAATGTATTAAATATTCTCTTGTTTAAGACATCCTTTTTAATTGTCTCCATATTTTTTTACGAAGTTATTGGTCACCAATGTAGCACTAATTAGTACCTTTATGAGCAAATTCAGCAAGGTGCAAATAGGAGCTGTGCAATAGAGAATTTTAGGATAAATGATAATTCGATTGCAACTGATGAAGTGAATCGCGATTACGATTGAAGATTGATTAATGCCACAACTCTATTATGAATACACACGTTAGCGCTCAGAGCATGTAAGAAAATCAGAGCATGAGATAACCTCACAATATTATTTCACTATTCAGGTAGTGTGACAAGCGGTTTGCCGTGCTATTTCGGTTGTAAGCTACTGTAGGAGGATTCAAATTCGAAAAAACGTAATGGAAATTTCGAATTTAAAATTTTGTGAAAAGTCAGATTAATTCTGATTGATTTTTCATTTTATTAGGTTTACGATCTAAAATATTAATGCGTTCATGATCAAATTCCAAGTAATTGCACAGGTCTGAAAAAAAAACTCTTAATTACCTTGTGTGTTATTATATAGTACACATATTAAATTACCTCCCCTATCAAGAAATTAATATTAAAAAAGAATATTTATTTTGCCCAGAAAAAGGTTAAATCCAGGGTATTGAAAGCTTTAATAGTAGGAAAAAAAAATGATAAATGAGCAGAATCTATAGCTCCCTCTATAAAATCTCCTTAAACAATCACAATGTGTAGAAGAGGTCATCTATTTTGTTCTTTTTTCTCCGTTCCGTGGAGAAGGGTTTGCAACTCCTTCAAAACAAATCTCTGATCAGTCTTAAAATTTCTATTTATATTTTTTTAGTCAACAGAGTCGATGCAATTTAAAAATTTGCACATGCTTGGACATACAAAAGGACATCACTGATTGATTCAGCAATCATATAACTGTATCCTTACTGCCTTCTTTTTCCAGGCAATTCTGCATTTTTAGGGCTGTGCGAATATTCGCCATTCCGACTTCGTCTGCCTTGCGAATAATTGCGCCGTCGCGAATAGTGAAGTTTTGAACTGACATTTTCAAATATTCGCGTCGTCACGAAGAACGAATTTTCAAATATTCGCGCCATCTAAAATAACGAATTTCCGAGTAGCAATCGTGAAACGTTGCAAGGACCTGCGCAAGGCTTCCGCTTCCACCCGAAACACCATGAACGGCGGATCTCCTTTGATCTTTACCGACTTTGCCGAGTTCACAAACAGCGAGCACGATTGCGATCGGGGGAACAAGCAAAGAGCCCAAATTAAGGATTGAAAGACACAGAAATGTCTGAAATAGAAGAAAAAGTTCATAAACACATTTTCATTCACACTGAAAAAAATAAAATACTTAAATGTATCTGGTGATCCTTCGGTACTAGCTTGACTGCCAGCGCAGTTAACTTCAAATCCTGGGAGATGCATACGTAACTGCAGGGACAGTCAAGCCCGCATCCAGGGATCTTCAAACTTATTCTTAACAGCCTAGGCTACTATCATAGCATTTCATTGTCTTCTGTGCAGGTGTATGAGCAAATTGAAAATTCTTTTAAAAAGTAATCACATTTTTAGGTAAACTTTTGTAATATTCGCGAATTTCCACACTTCAAAAAGTAATTTCAAATGATTTGTTTTACTATTTGTAGCTCCAAATAATTGACTTAAATTATTCGCTATTCGCGAATTGTTGCCGAAATTCTTTGCCATTCGCTTCGTGCTGAAAATTCACTATTCGCACAGCCCTATGCATTTTACATCTTTTTTCAAATTCCTCTAAGTCTTCCCATTATGTTTTGGCCCTATTAGACTGTCCGCAGCATTTTGTAGTGGAAAATTCCATTTTCGTCTGCTCAAGTGTAATGTGTAATGTCAAGTGTAAGTGTAAATTAGCTTGTGCTTATACTATTTTTCTTGAATGGGAATTTAATCAAGTATTCTTTTTAATTTTACAGGCTTTTTTAGATGCTGTGGTAAACTTAGAATTCGTTACTGTTGAATCCGTATGGAGAGAGTTTTGGCGAAGTCAGGATAATAATAATGGAGATGAATGCGAAGAAGAAAAATATTTGCCGAAGTAAGTTTCCTTTGATTTGTGAGTGGTAAAAAGTTTGAAATGTCAACATTAAATCTGTCATATCTTGGATTTAATATACACAAGTGAGAATTCCTTTCTCTCAAATTTTTCCTGTTTCTTGGCCCACTGAAATGTACACAAATTTTCGTTTATTATACTGCATTTTAAAGAATTCTTTAACTCTATTGCATTTCTCTATAACTTGCCTTTAGAGAGTGAGTGCCAAAAATGTAGTCCAAGAGTACATTGATGGTGTGCCAAAAGTATTCAAAAGTGTTCTCTGGTAACTAATTATATAAAGAAGTGAGTTAAAACCTTTTTTTTCCACATGCATGTAGAAGGTTCTCATCAGTTTGTTTTGTGTTACAGAACCAAACTTTATTTGTTGTGTAAATACCCTCCGGTTCAAGAGTTTGTTCGCCGTGTCGATTATCTATTCTACCAGAACCTAGTCCAAGTGCTGATACCAGATGTTCTGAGGCCTATACCAAGTTCTCTTACTCAGTCAATTCGTAATTTTGCTAAAGGCCTTGAATCTTGGTTAACATGTGCAATGCAAGGGTGCCCTCCTGAAATTGTTGAGTTAAAGGTTGGTGCTTTAATCTGTCGATTGTACTTTACTATATTACCTCATCAATGTTATGTTTAAGCTGTAATTTTTTTTTACTTTTGGAAGAACGAACATTTCAGTACAGTTGCCCCTCGACAATTTTAAGGGTTCCATTCCCTCAGAACCTTGGGAGGAGAGAGAGAGAGAAAAAAAAGAAAGTAACAAGATCATAAGTTATGAGAATATCGGGGTTTGGTGCCAGTGATTGAGAAAATCTTACGATGCATAATGGACATTACGGAGTCTATCTCAGGAAAGAAAAAATGCAGGATTGACTGCTTCAAATGCCTTGCCATTTTGAGCTGTAGGAGCTTGGCATGCAATAATTTGTATCAGTGGCGTGGTGTGAATAATCGATTATCGATATCTCGCCATTTGAAGCTATGGTAAAGAATCGACTACTAAGGTGTTCGCTGCGAACACCCTGATAATCGATCTTTTTTCATAGGTTTAAATGGCATAACAATCGATATATTGCAATTCACGCCACGCCACTGATTTATATGAGAAATGTGCTGACTTTTGAGGTCAGAATTCAGAATTATGCTGCATTGTTGTTTTGATTTGTCATCAGCTAGTCAAATAACATTTGTATGTGTAAAGGAGACAGTTACCTTTGTATTTCTGTTGTGCGACTGTTATTTTTTGCTCCTTATAATTCTCAACTTCAGATCCTGATGATGGTGCTGTGTCACCATGAGACTTCAGTGTTTTAACCAATCGCTTTTATATCACAAGTACACAAGTGTTGAACGGATCCAAAATCATGAGAAATTTTGTCATGAGATCTGGTAACAAGGATTTTGTTACTTCCTTTTTTTGATAGCAAGTGTTACCTCTCCCCACCCTTATTAGAAGTATAAATAACCCAACATTTTTATTTTTTAATTTTTTATTCTCTTCTCCTTTTTACTCTTTTCAACGACAATTTGGTTTTATTTTGCTCTGTAACGTCATGAAACCTCGATTTTTTTGTGGATTTTCCTGATTTTGGCTGGAAATGAGCAAAGTGAAGGCTTGCTTTTTTGTTGATTTCTGATAGAGTGTATTTTTTATGCTATGTATCTCATTCCCCAGCTTGTATGGATGAGTTTTAGGACTATTCACTAGAATTCGAAGTCACTAATTTTAGCCAAATTATATACTGAAGCTAGGCGTAAGAGGAAAAAAAAATAATTTTAAGGTATATGTTGGTAGGAAGTAAATTTTTTCAATTGTAAACCTAGCAGTTTCTCTTGTCTAGCATTTGACCACCACATCCTCATTCCCCCTCACCCCCTCCCACCTTCCTTCTCCCAGTAAAGTAAACAAATACAAATAGCATGTCTTGCAAATACTCATTTTTTATTTATTAATTTCTCATACCATTCTTAGGTTGCTGCAGTTAGCGCTTTTGCTCAGACCTTGCGAAGATACACTTCTCTCAATCATCTAGCGCAAGCAGCTCGTGCAGTTCTTCAGAACTCAACACAAATAAATCAAATGCTCACAGATCTCAATCGAGTAGATTTTCACAACGTACAAGAACAGGTAAGCACCACCCTAAGGTCTAACTCCTCTTAGACCTACATTATTTTGAATCTTCCTTTGTCACCATTTTGAAGTTCAAAGTTTTTTCAGTCATACAGAAAAATAAAGCTTTCAAATCAGTAAGAGAATTATTAGACATTAGGGCTGTGCAAATATTTGCCATTCCGACTATTTGCGCCGCGAATATTCGCCATTCCGACTATTTGTGCCGCGAATTTTTGCTTCGTCTGCCTCACGCACTATTTGCAAATTGCGAATAATCGCGCCTTCAGGAATAGTGAATTTTTCAACTGACATTTTCAAATATTCACGTTGTCACAATGAACAAATTTTCAAATATTCACGCCATCAAAATTAATGAATTTCCGAGTGGCAACTGTAAAACGTTGCGAGGACCTGCGCAAGGCTTCCCCTTCCATTTGAGACGTAGCGAACGGCGGATCTCCTTTGGTCTTTACCGACTTTGCCGAGTTTATGAACAGCGAGCGTGATTGCGATTGGCCCGCGTATCTTGGTTGCTCCGAGAGTACCACACATTGAAAGTTCAGTAAAAAACCAAGACGGAAAGAGGGTGTGAGATAATATCTACATGAAATTAATTATTGATAATCAATTATTCAATTAATTATCCAGCATTTCATTGTTTTCTGTGCAGGTGCATGAACAAACGGAAAATTCTTAAAAAAATTAATCACACTTTTTTTGTCGACTTTTGTAATATTTGCAAATTTTTACACTTAAAAAAGTCATTTCAAATTATTAATTTTACTATTCGTAGCTCTGAATAATTGACTTAAATTATTCGCTTTTTGCTTCGCTATTTACGAATAGTTGCTGAAATTATTCGGTATTTGCTTCGTTCGGAAAATTCACTATTCGCACAGCCCTATTAGACATATTTTTCAATTAAAATAGGAAACTTGACAAGTGTACAAAATTGGTGGGTAGCAGAATTCTTTTGTAATAATTGTTAAAATTGTCTTGGAAAAACTTGTAAGAAACTGATTGGAATTGTAGTCAACTTTCTTAAAATAAAGACAAATTAACAACAAAATAAATTATAAAGTTCATGAATCCCAAAGTCAGGGAATACCAGAAAATGCCAGGGTTTTTCATTTCCTAAATTCTGCAGCAACCCTGTAAGTTTCATCTCTCTCAAGTCTGAAATCTGTATTTTTGTTTTTCTACTTGATTAACGAAATCTCTATAATGTACCATCAGGCATCCTGGGTCTGTCAGTGTGACAACAGCCTCGTTCAGCGCCTGGAAGCAGACTTCAAACTAACATTGCAGCAGCAGAACTCCCTTGAAGAGTGGGCAAGTTGGCTGAATAGGGTTGTGACAACCGTGCTCAAACCGTTCGAAGGGAAGCCCAATTTCAGCAAAGCTGCACGACAGTTCCTCCTCAAGTGGTCTTTTTACAGCTCCATGGTCATCCGTGACCTCACTCTCCGCAGTGCTGCCAGTTTTGGTTCATTTCATTTGATAAGACTGCTCTATGATGAGTACATGTTTTACCTGATCGAACATAGAGTTGCAGTTGCCACAGGACAGACTCCCATCGCTGTCATGGGAGAGGTAAGTTTCTGTTTTCACCTAGTTTATTTTCAAATTAATCCTCAAAGAATTTTTCAATATTGAATTTGCTAGGGTTAAAGCCTTAAATTGAAATTTTTCAGTATAAAACAACACTTAATTGTACCAAGTAAAATTTGTTTGCAACTTGATTTTCATGCTTGAATGTTTAGGAATTAGCAAGAGGGTAACGTTTAAAAGAAAAATTGAATAATCAAGAAAAAAAGAGAGCAACAAAAGGAGCAAGTAAATTGATTTAATTATTACCTACTATTATTTCTTTTCACCTACCAAAATTCTAAATTTATAGCTTTAAGGACTTCAAGGTGATTCGTCTCGGTTTCTGGCCTGGTTTCTGGAACTGGCATGCAATATATCGCATTGGTTAAGTTAAATCTTGGCAGATTTTGAATTTCTAGACCCAAAAGGACAATAGCCTCTGCGCGTGAACCTAAAAATCATTCTCCGAAGAAGAATCATCCACAACTCCCTTTAATTTTATAAGCATAATTTCTGTTTCTGAAATGGTGAAGAATTTTTACCGAAAATTCTTGGAAATATTCTCAGGATAGGTCCCGCTCTAATCCTTAGTCGGGATAATTGCTCACTATGTTTTATACGTCTTTTTATATTTTCTGTTTTCAGAAGTGCACTGAAGTGGACTTCGCTGTGAATAGTTTCCCATGCAATGGCAATGTTTCCCTACCAGAAGAAACAACAACAATTCTAGTCACAGGCAATGAAATCCACATTCCAGGAAATCCTCCAAAGCGTTTGAAAATTAGCTAACAACCAATCCTCTCGAGTGGTCCAACCGATTGAAATGAGATTGCCACTAGACACTAACTCTTCAATTACAACCAATGCTCTATCATTAGGGTGGCTTGCAAGTGCACTGGACTTTTTGTTATTTATTTAGCATTTATTTATTTATCATGTATGTAAATATTTTAATTCTCTTTTTGTAACATCTTCAAAGATAATCTATGTTTGGTAGGGTTTATATTTATGTTACTTGAGATTATTTTTCTAGTTGTTCCCTCTTTAATTTTCCAGCACCCTCTGGCTTTTCCCCCTGTAGCTATTATTCAGTAGCTAATTTGTAAATTTTTATTAAGCTTGTATTTGAATGTTCTAGTCTGATGCTTTGCTCTTTTAGTGTTAACTTAATCTCATTTTACTTTTCCGTGGATCATGGAAAATCAAGCATCTCAATTGGTTTGTCAGTTTTCAAAAAATTCGTTAAGCTCTATTAGTTCTATTTCCAATCTATTTGTCTTTAAAAAGTCTCTCAGTGGTTTTGGACCGATACTCATGTTTTTTCTTGTTAATTTGACAAATATAGTGTAAGACAAATGAATTAGTTCATAGCATATCACTATGAAGTCTCGTACATTATTCTCTTCCTTGATGTTAATGACAGTGTAGGTAGATAGTCTCCAGAGCTCAAACAGTTAATTTTTCACATTAAATGCAGATGGACAATTCTCTTCTAGGATCTCTTTTTAGTTGTAAAATGTTGGATAGATAATACTGATTCTTATGCTCATGGTGTATGGAATTTATTTCCATCAGTATTCAATTTTCGATTTTAACAGGAAAGTTCGGAACGAGAAAAACGGTAGCCCTTTGTTAAGAAAATATTCTCTCCTACAAGAAGAGGAAGTGCAACTAATTGCGTATTATTTCACTTAAGGAGAAAAGTCTGAAGAGTTCAGCACAAGCCAGGGTCCATAACCAATCAAACTTACTTTTTTATTTCTCTCAAAAGTGATTTTTTCTTTTTTCATTTTTTTTTTCCAAAATTGGAGAGAACTTTAATTTTACTAACCTTGCAGCTCTGTTAATTCATCATTTGGTGGAATCCCTGATTTTAGAGAGATCTCCGGTATCTCTTTTCTGTTTTTAATATTACAAGTCCCCCGGCAGAATGCTTAATTTTCAGAGAGATGTAAATTCCTTCTTTTCTACTTTTTTTTATTCCAAATGTAGTATTGAATTAGTGTAAGAAAAATATCTCTATACCTCAGTTCCCTTGTAGTTGGCACGCAGTTGTAATATTCTCTTACAAAATATGTATCCAGTCGAGCTTACCTCTGGGCCTTCGGTAAATTTAAGCTCCTGTATATGTTTATACTTGGAGCTCAGTAGATTAAATGTTGAAATTTTAAATGATTAGTCTTTCAATCGTTTACTGTCCAATTTATTCTTTCAAAATTTTACATCAGTATTTTTACTAATCAAGGTTGATTAATGATGATCTGTGGTCACAAAATTTTCAGTTCATTTTCTGCCGTCAGCAGAGTTATTCCATGTTGTTGAAAGCTGGTTGAGACACTAACTGGGTTAGTAATGAACTTGAGGCAAGAACAAAAACTTTCAATTTGGAAACTGCAAAATGAGCGTTTTTTCACCAGCGGATTTAAATGATCATAGAATTTTCCATTAGTATTGTAACTAAATTTGAAATTTGAGTAATGTATGTTAAACTGCTGCAACTTAAGTTAAAACTGCTCTCTGAGAAACTCAATAGTATGTATGCATGTTTATAGACTGTGCATGCTAAATCTACAGTACTGACTCTACATTACTGGATATTTTAAATTTTAATTTATCAGACTGTTGAAGAATTCATATCAGTTTTTTTAACTCATCTTTTTCTATCACAACCTTTTTGTATTGTCTTTTCATTAAATATTTGCTCTTTGAGATGAAGAACTCGATTTTCTTTGAGCATTCGACACCGAGAGAATGTTATGAATCTATCTTCATGATTGCTTAGCTCCAAAAAGCCATCCATAGTTTACCTTTATGGCAGGACTCAAACTGCAATAATCTTGAGTGAAAATCATTTTAAAAAAAGAAATCTATCATTATTAAAGTCATCACTCTACAAATTTGTTAATTTATAGAAATTTTGGTAAAATGAGTTTTATAATAATGTTTTGAATTCTATGAAAGCATTATGTTGCCCAGGAGGCATTTTTAGTTTGAAAAATGCGTTGTATCTAGATCTCCCTGCACAAAATTATTTTAACCTAATTGCAGGTAGGTATGAAATTATTTATCAGTGAAACATCGTTTTGGATGATATGTACACTGAAATGAAAGCTTCTTATTTTTGCCTTAGAAACAATTAAGTGCAATTGCAAAGCTCGTAGAGCAGAGTGGAATAAACACTTTTGTCATTCAAAGTGCAGAGAAAGTAAAAGATTTACGCTACCACGACACTGTTTCATGGATATTCAATCCAAGGAAGGATCACTTTACTACCAAGTGCGGTGTTGTTGTATGCTGATGCGCATGAGTGCATGAGTGTTACTTGGAGCAGAGAGCTTTTCTGTATGTAGAGAATGTAGATCATTATCAATTGTGCCCCCTCAGCTTTGACTGAAACGTAATAACCTTACCCAATGGAATATATCTGAGAGCAGTTTTGAGAAAAGAGTGCAGTGATGTTCTTTTATAAAAATCAAGCATTTTGGATCTCTGTCTATTTAGCATGTGTTTACCTATCATCCCTGCGTTTTCCAAAAAATTTGGAAATGACTTGTGCTCTCGTTAATGTGCATAAATTTTGTTAATAAATCTGGAGTTGTGGTAATTTAGTGCTTAAATTCAAAGTTATTACTATACATGTTTTTAGTCCTCCCTAATATGTGTTTATCAATGAAAAAAACCAGTGTATATTTATTTTTCTACTGTTGTCAAGTATGTACCTATTTAGTCAAAATATTTCCTGAAATTTGTCCCACTTATTTTCTACAATATTTTTTTAAATAGAAATTTTCTACATTTTTAAAGTGTAAGTATATGTATAGTACAAGTGAACCAATAATTAATTATCCACATAAATTACACAGAGTTATAATAGAACATATGGAGTTCGTGTGACCTCGGTGAGTGTATGATATTGAAAATGGTCCTCAAGGCCCTAAAAGTGCTCAATTTTTTGAAAATTGCTTAAATTTTTCTCTTCACTCGTTTTTATCAGTAAATGTTCGTTGTCAAGGAATAAAGAGGCATTTGATGTTAATTAAACGGTTTGGAAGATGCTATAATTGTAAATTCCCTCTTTCAGACTGCAAGTCCTCACATCAACAGAACTTACCGCGTCAGAATGTCTCAAACCAATGAATTGGACAAAATTCTCATTATTAAAAATTATAATGCAGGGAAAAATTTTTGCGCTGAAGAAGAAGTTACAATAAAGGTCTTGGACAGTCCATAAAAATTCTTCAAAAAAAGCTTGACCTTTTTTCTTGCAACTGCATGAGCCATGTTTCGTCGCGTATTGACCAAGTAACTCCAAAAGGTAGTCCTGTATTTGCAAAATGTTGGTCCTTGCTTTGGCACAGAAATGTGGTATAATCAAACAGTATAAGTAATCGAGTAAGTAAAAAAAAGAAAACATCGCATCAAAGTCCCAAGTTTTTGTGGGTGATGATGGCTCTTAAGTGAAAGTAGCAGTCAGGAATCTTTTATGACTCTATGTAATTTATAGTTTCAAATTGTGAGAATATATTCAGTGAAATAGAATCATGATTTTAGTTAAGATCAATGAGAGTAGGTTGATAAACCTCTTGAGGCTTTCAAATTTTCCTCTTAAGTTCTATGAAAGTTCGTTCTCTGGGAAAGAGGTGTTTTTTCCCTCACATGATATGTGAACCTTAATCAATTCACAAGCGTCGACACCATATTTTCAAATTAGCTTTTTTAAAGATATATTTAACGACGATACTGGACATCTAAAATTCTAACTTATTTTCGATGGTTTCATGCAGCAAAATAGCTGTAAGATTTGAAAGATCAATCGGCTGAAATACCCTTGTCTTGCTTGTTTGCAATTTGATTTTCCCTTGTCAAACATGTTTCAGTTTTCCACCTTCAACCAAAGAACTAATTTTTTTTATTATTTTTTCTTTATATTTGAAGTCCATCATTTTATAAGTTAATCCTTCTGCCATCCTCCCCCCCCCCCCCCCCCCCCCCCNTTGACATTCACTTCTGTACTTTTCATATTGGTGTGTCTAGCTCATCTCTTTGATTTCGGCTTCAGAGATCTGCTTTTAATTCAATTTTGTCTTTAGTTTTGTATGAATATTTGTTTTAACATGTTGACTCATGTGCAATCCTGTTGTTTATTTAACTTGGTCTCAACTAACGTGGTATAAAAGTGATTTGTTTGAAGTAAATTGTGTCTAACGAATAAATTGAGTAAGATTTGCCGCTACCGTTTTGTATACATATTTATATCCTGTCTTTAATCAAATTGATGAATTTCCCTGAATCAACATTCACTCTTGTGGTGGACGAAACATTATTGACTACTCGTAATCAATAATTGCATCTCTAGGAATGTTTGCCTCATTGTATTTGTAATGATGAGATGAGCCTATTTCTGAATTTCCCTCCAAACTATGGTCATCGAGAAATTCTGACCTTCAGCTTAACGATGACGTAAGTTCGCAACCACATATCTCGTTTGCGGAGTTTGAAAATATCCGCCTCTAAACTATTTTTTTATAAAAAGAACAATTGATATCTCCCCTTGAAGTTTTTGCAGAATTTTCTTCGCACAGAGGAGAAAAATCATGGCAGTTTTAGAGAATTGTCGTTAAGTAGTTTTCTGTTCATAAAATAAAGTATGAAAGGAAGTCTGCAGCGTCGCAAACTGAGATACAAGGTTATGGACTTACACAGTTACCAAAGTTTTTCTGTAACAGTTTTACTCTGTTTTAATAAAGAAAATAATATCAGTAGATTGTAAAATTTTGAGACATCAGAGGAAAAGCGTGCTCAGGCCCTATTGATTCTGCACTATACATTCCAACTTTTTAACTTTACCTAAATCTCAGAATCGGTGTCCGATTGAGCTACCAAATTTTTTAAACAATTGAGACCATTATAGGAGATTTCCACCATTTTGATAACACCATTTTTCCAAAAGTGTGAGGTAGGTATGTACCTTTTTCCCCTTGGATACTGATGTAAGGTTAACTTTAAATTGACAGTTTTTAACAGAGAGGAACCTAGTGGCATCAAGTTGGGAGAGAGGGACAGCTACTTATTTGAAGTTTCATCCCACCATTAAGGCTCAATGTTAGATGCAAAGTTTAACGCCTATTTTCATGCTCAAAATATAGTTTCTCAACTTAACACTTTTAAAAAAAGAAAATGTGCGGCAAGTTAAACTCAAAACTGCCCCTAACTCATTTTCTTTTTTTTTTTTTTTTAAAAAAAAGTGACTATGTGTCTTTCAGTTTAATTCGTTAAAATTCCTTGTCAAGAATCAGACTTAGACATGGACCAAGAGAGAAAATTATCTAATGAAAGAATTTAAGCTCTTTAGACATTAGACAATAACTAGTACTTAAAAGAAATATTTTTTCATTAAAAAAAAGAAGAAAAAATACTCGCTCTTTTAGTGCCTAACTTTTTCTACAGCAACATTTTCCCTGTAGAAAAAAATCATAAAAATTCGGCTTTTGGTTCACGTTAGAGAATAACTATTCAGTACATAAAGGAAATATTTAAAAAGAAAAAGGAAGAAAAAGTACTCGCGCTTTTAGTGCTCAACTTTTTACACAGCAAAATTTTCCCTGCGGAATAATCATAAAAATCCGCCAAAAATAATTCGAATCTGTCTCTGTAACAACGAAGCATATTATTCCGCCTGCTATGCTAGCACGAGAAAAAAAGTGCTTCCCTTTTTCGTTGCTGTCACAGGTATTGAAATACCAGTAACTTGTTCTTTTCTTAAACTTATAAATTTTCTATGCATATTCTCTTCAATCATTAGGGATGGCTGGATTTCGTTCATTTTTGTCTTTTTCAGTCCTATCTCCCAGCCATCACCTTAAATTACCCATTACTTTTATTACTGAACTTGCAGCTGATAGCTCCACTGATTATAGCCAGCCAATAGCGTGTAGACTTGTTGTCTCACCACCTGTGACGTCACCAAGTCTATAAAAGCTTGAGCTTCCTATTTCTCAATTTCTCATGGTCCTTTTACCATCTTGACCCGTAGTACTACGTTATGTCATTCTGGTCATTCTCTCTCTGTAGGCATTATTCATTCAAAGTGTGACTCTGTAATTTCGTACATTTTCTAAATTCTTTAATACAGTCTTTTCGGCCCTCCAAGTATTTTCTTATTTTCTGCTCTCCCACAAACTTTGCTCTCCCACGACTCTTTAGTAAAATCCACGCTTGTTCTAACAGTTGCGTCCAATTTAAATTACCCGCTACTTCTCATCTGTCTTCTCTTGCACCGTTTCCTTTTCCTGTTATTCTATTTCCGGTTACCTACCCTCTTCCGCTCCCCTCCATCTAAATCAGCTGTTCTGCCTCCTGGTCGATCCCATTATCAGCTTTTACAGATGGCGCGTCGTTTGTTGTTGTTGGATTAGCTTTCATCAGACCGAGCTGATAAAGCGAGTTTGAAATCGTCTTTTCAAGTGAAAGTGTTTTGTCAAAATTAACATGGCTTCAGGTTGTAGTGGTAGTAAAAAGCAAAAATTTAATCATACTTCTAGTCTTCCGCACAACGGTTTCAAACTCGCGAATGGCATTCCTGGAAGAATGATAGCTCATCCACAGATGTGCTTCTTTTGTTTTGATGTCCTGTACTGCCAATTACACAATTTGGATCCTCCCAAAACTCCGGATTTCTGCGATGAGCCATTGTGAGTTTATTCTATTAATTGTCTTCATTTCTTGAACGATCTTTGAGGAAGTATGAGTACTGCAGGCAAAGAATTTCTGATATTTATCTCATATGTCTATCTTTACGCATAACCTATAATAATCTACCCTACATTTTTAAGTAAAAATGAAACCATTTTTTACGACCAAGTATTGAAAAAAGAAAAAATTTCCAGGAGATAGAGCAGTAAAATTTAGGATACAGTCGTGTTTTCAATACTGTTACTATCTACCAAACCTTAAGTTGGTACCCTTTCTCTTTGTTCTTCTTGGTCCAGAGCCTTGATTAGTTGATGAAACTCAAGGCGTTTAAAGAATGTCATACCCTCTTGACGTCACATGGTATCAGGTAAATGGGCTGAATGAGGCCAGTCCAACCTGCTGCGACTATAGAGCAGTCGCTACGCCACAGAAGGCCGACATGGTGTGCTGTCCCGTGTATTGAAGTTTTGCTCTGAGGTTTGGAGTCAGTGTTCGAAACTCACCTTTGAGTTTCAGGAGCCATGTGACCCATCATGCTCGATTTCTAGGGGCCAAATTGACTTTTTACCTGTACATCATAGTGCATTTAGTGAAAAGTTAGACGCAAAATGTTTTAGTTACAGAAGTAGTATCTTGGGTAATAGAAAAGCTCCAAAAATCACCAAACAGACAAATTAGGATCATTTATTTGGGGGGGGGGGCAATTTCAGGGGCCACGTTGGGGCATAGCCTTCATTTTTTAGGCGCGTTAGCACCTGTGAGTTTTGAACACTGTTTGGTATACTTACTATGATTTCCTCCTCTTTTACGCCCCTGTTTTTTTTTGTTTTTTTTAATGTCTATGATTTTCGTAACACTACCTGAAAGTAATAGGTTTAATCAGAACTCAACCTATGCCCCAGAACATTTGTCTTGACAAAGGAGGCCGTTCAATTGCTTCCTAGCTAGCTGTGAAATAGGGCAATCCCCTCCCCCCCAGTTTTTATATGAGCATTATTTTCTCACTCTTTTCAAGTAGAATTATTTTCTGTAGGTCTTCCGAGGCCTTCCTCTTTATTTGATCAAATTGTTCTGTTTGTTTTAAGATGCATTTTCCCATAATTTTTCAGTCCATTATTTGTCACCTGGCAGATAGGGAAAGACTTGAAACTTAGGGGTTGCATCGGCACATTTAACTCAATCAACTTACATAGTGGTCTTCGAGAATACGCTGTCACCAGGTTAGTCAAACCGATCAATATTTACAATAATGAGCTTGTTAACCTGTTTCTAATTCTTGCATTTTCAGAAACTACATTGTCTCCTGATCACGCATTAATTTTTTCAGATTTTTTCAAGCCATTTTTCCCTCCAAAAATGCTTTTGTAGTTCGAATTTTTAAAACACCGCATTTTGCGTACAATTTAGCGGCAGTCCAATACGGCGTCAAAATTATCCCGCGACATCTTGCCACACATTCGACCGTGCACCGTCAATTTTTCCACATGGAAAACTAAAAACAAGGAGTCCTTTGGTTTTTATTCTACTTCTTACTTAAGATCTATTTTTACTACTTTTTCAATTCTGATATTATTTTTTAACTTTTTGCAAAAGAAGATGCTCAGATTATTAGGAGAATTGGAGGAGATGAATAATCGATTTGAATATTTAATATAAAGTTATGACTCACTTACATATTAGGATTTTATGAAAAGGTATGGTTTATTTTAAGGCTATTAATCACATCGGAGAATCACAGAAGATTCCTTTTCTTAGGTGCAAATTGATGAAAGTGGTAAGACTGTTTGAGACTTTAATCTAACCTTCTGTTATAGGTGGTCCCTTGTTTTATTTTTCAAAAGTTTTCTTACTTTTCCAGTGCTTTCAAGGACCCAAGATTCAGCCCTATATCTGCCGATGAGTTCTCCAGACTCCATGTCTCTGTGTCAATTTTACGACACTTTGAGGATGGTTCTGACTACACCGACTGGGAGGTTGGAGTTCATGGAATTCGCATCGAATTTCCCAATGAGAAAGGCCACAAGCGCACTGCCACTTATCTCCCCGAAGTTGCCTCAGAGCAAGGTAAGTTTTTTACCATTGTTAGACTTGCCATTTCTAAGTTTTATGACTCTTGCCGCAATTATACTTCCTGAACCCATCTCTTGAGCAGTTAAGGAAGTCCTTTTCCAAATATATGTAAATTTTAATTAAATTTATACCAACAACACAAATACATACATATGAGTCGCTTTTATAGCGCTCTTTGGCGCTTTACGACGCCTAATCGCCACAAAGCTCGGTCTTCCCACAGGTCATCAGGGAGTTGACACTCCCTCATCTCGTTCAACACCCCCTGTCGCCAACCTCTCACTGGGCGTCCCCTACGTCTCCTCCCAGGAGGAACCCAATCAAGCATCTTTTTTGGCAGCCTCTCTCCAGTCATCCTATTGACATGACCATACCAGACAAGCTGTCTGGTCATGACGTCGAACACGATGTCATTTTCGACTTCCATTATCTGACGCGTTCTATCATTACGGACCCGATCTCTCCTAGAAATTCCTGCCGACCTTCTCCAGAAATCCATCTCCGTTGCTCTTAGCATATCCTGTGTCCGTTTCTTCAGCTGCCAAACTTCACATCCGTATGTTAATATACTTTTGACTACAGCGTTGTATATCCTCCTCTTGTTATCTTTGGAAATCCGCTGATCCCAGAGGATTCCATTTAACATCGCTATAGCCTTCCGTGCTAAGGTGTTCCTTTCCCTGATAGCTTGATCCGTCCTTCCATCCTGGGTCAACCGCACTCCCAAGTACTTAAAGTGCTCGCAGCCTTTGATCTGCTGCCCATCCTCCAACTCAATGCTTTGCTGATCACCGCCAAAAGTCATCTTCTCAGATTTGGATATGCTGACTTCCAGACCCCACTTCAGATATTCTTCTACTAACTTGCGCATCATGTACTCCGCATCATCTTGATCTTGAGCAACCACAACCTGGTCATCAGCAAAGCACAGAGTGAATAGAGTTTCAAGATCACCCAAGGGGACACCCATACCAGAACACTTCCTTTTCCATTCCTTTAGCACACACTCGAGGTAAATTTTAAATAATGTTGGCGACAAACAACATCCCTGTTTTAAACCCTTAGTCACATAAAATCCCGCTGACAACCCTCCATGATACTTAATTTTGGTAAAACTCCCTTTATAAAATCGCTTGACAGCATTACTTAATCAACCCCCCATTAAAATTAGATTTTTCCAAAGCCTCCCAAAGTTTCACCAACGGCACACTGTCATACGTTTTCTGGAGATCCACGAAAATTAAATGCAGCTCCTGAGCTACGGCCATTTTCTTCTCAATGACCTGGACAATAACAAAGAGGTGATCTATCGTAGACCTGCCAGCTCTAAAACCAGCCTGCTCCTCTGCTTCGTGATCCTGCCATTCATCCTCGATCTTCGCTTTCAGTATCTTCCCGTACACTTTGCTTATTGTCCCGGTCACCGAGAGCCCCCGGTAGTTGTTGCAGTCGTCCTTCCTTCCCTTCTTTTTGTAAATGGCCTTGATCCAGGAATCCTTCCACTCCCTTGGTACCTCGTCACCCCTGATGCATTGGTGCATCAGTTTTCTGAGGCACTCAAAGAGCTCAAAGAGCAAACAAAAACCCAAACCTTTATTTAAAATTTTAGTACAGTGAACTCTTCCTTGTATGTTTTTCATTTGCTTTGGAATCTTCACTTGAAGTTAGAATCATCCTCCAAAAAAAATACTGAATTCCTATCTTAATAGCCTGTCTTCTAATGACAAATCATCATGGCCTCTATTTTATCAGCTAATATTTGTATCTATCGGCATCTTGAATTAAACTTAGGGTCCCATCTAATCTCTAGTCATTTCCATCTAATCTCTAGTCATTTCCATCTAATTTCTAGTTATTAAGACTAGCTGAACTACATCTTTCTCGTTCTTTCTTTTCTGTTCTACATATCGGGTTTTTTTGCACTTTTTGATTTTTTTACCCAATAGTTTTTTCTGCCTTTGTTACATATTGTAAACTTCTCCTTATCTTCAATCTCTTCTATATCTCCCTAAGTATTTTTATTGCAATCTTAGATGCCAGTAATTTTGATTGTTACCTCTGATAGCAGGCAAATTAATTAACTCTACTTCTTGCTCATGTTTTTACTTGTACCGGACTTGTTCTTTTGATTGAATAAAAGCTTATATATTTATAGATTTAGAATATTACGGACAAATCCTGCGTATTTTATAATCAAAGTGTTATCTGGAATAACCACCTATAGCTGAAAATATAGTTTTGAGAAAATCGCATTTAAAGGTTTGATTCTGAGATTCGTCGCTGGATTTTCATGGTAGGAAAACTGCATAAGCATTTTTGCGTAGTTGATGGTATCCCTTAAACGACCCACCATGCAGTTTTTGGAAATATTTTATTTTTCACTGTAAAATTGACAATTTTATAAAGGTTTCTGTAGGTGGTTATTCCATAGAACACCTAATCTCAAGGTGAAATTGCTGCATGGTTTACTAAAAAACAGGATTAATGCTTTGTGACTCATTATATGATGTAATAGAAATAAATAAATAAGAAAAACTTTCAATTTTGACCGTGAACAAAGATAACTAAGACAACTTGTAATCAAAGACAAGATTAAGAAAAATAGGAACTTAAAAATCAGTCTTCTAAAAACTTGGAATTATCAGTTTGGAAAACTATCGCCAAGTGCACCTGGTGCAGTCACAGACCTGAGACACCAATGAAGTGCGTTATTGTGTTGATGAATGGAAAACCCACTGATACGCATTTAGGTGATTATTCCATAGATCCGCCAACCGGTCTGACTTCACCTCACTAAAATTGGATTCTTGAGCTGAGTAATCAAGGGAGCGACTTGCAGTATCACTACCAGTGATACCGAAGGATACAATAGTTTGAACGGTCCGATCGCCGGAAAAACCACAGACGCTTATAGGTGGTTATTCCAGCATACGCCTCAATTATCCTGTTTTTCAACCTTTCGTACTTAGGATTGATGGATGGCTTCATTGTTGTTATGCTTCATTACAACTCAAATAAACAAAGTTAAGCTGTAGTTGTAGTAACGTATGTTTAAATATTAGAAAAATGAGTGGAAACTACAACTCACTGAAATGTTATTATGATTTTTCAGGATGGGATCACATTCAAACGATTGACTCACTCCTCCGCAAGGGGGGCTTTAAAGGTATGGTAACACCTGAAGTACGGCAAAACATTAAGCTCACCCGCTACCAAAGTGAAAAAGTTACTGCAAGTTATCAAGACTACATGCACAGCTGGCGCAGCGAACATTGCTAGCAAACTGTTCGGGGCCAATCGTCGAGCCCCAGCATAGCTGACCAGCACCACTCTGTGACATACTCGCCCCTTGCGTCGCAGCAACAATATCTAACCTTCCCTTCGGATGCACTATTTCCCTCCCCTCTTTTCTCAGATATAAGTTACGGTCCTTTCCCTTACCACATCATGTGCCGCCCACCATTTCCTATGAGTTCATTGTGCTATTGTCCTCCTCAACAGGCAGCCCAATTCCATCCTGCTCAGTCTCAGTTTTGTCAAAACACCTTCCTGCCAAGTCCTGGTGCAAATCCTAATTATTATTGCTCTAACTCAGTCAAGAAAAGGAAGTGACACCAAAATTATTATTTATCACCTTTTTGCCTTTTTTCTAAGAGCAAATTTTCCATTTGTTGTTTTCTCTTGCTTGTTACAATAGTGGTAGCTTTTACTCTAGTGTGACTGATTGCTAATGTGTTCAATATTTCGCCTGTGTGTCAGCTTTGGTCTCTAAATTTGTAAGGGCCGTGCTGATCGGCGAGGCACCCTCAAGAGGCCAAGGCAACTGGATACTGCCCGGTCTCTAAATTTCATTACCCAGAAAATAGGCTGATGGTGTTAATATCAAGGAAACCTAAGTTTTTTCCAGCTTGAGTCCTATGACTGAGCTCATTTTCTTTTTTAATGTAAAGATACATTTTTCGTGGTCAATGTACAAAGACTGCCCCAATTAAACTGAAATATGGCCTATTCTGAAAAAACCATTAAACTGTTGGAAAAAGTAAGTAAAAACCCACAATAAATTTCTCAAAACAGACAAATTTTCAGTTTGTTTGGAGTAGACTTGGTATCTTCAGTTGACTCTTCTTAATTCATGTTCTGAACTATCTATTATTTTTTTATGACAAGATCCTTCTAAAGTGTAAAATATATTTTTTTTAGGGTAAATTTATATGCCATAAGTTGCAGGAGATTCAGATTCTAGCTCCCTGACGTTCTTACTTTTATTTCCCAGGGTGCTTTTTTATTTTTCACAGATCTTATTGTCCGTCACTTTTGATTTTTTGAAATTTCCCCCCTCTTTCATCAAGGTAAGCTCTACTGCAGGTATGGACAAACGGAGTGCTGACGTGGCAGCGCTGAAAATATAGGCCATCGAGTGACGTCGCAAGTCGTACCGTCTTTGCTGCGCAGTTCAAAATGATGCTCTGGCAGAGCTTAATGCTTGGCAGTAGCTTTAATAAGCTATCAGATGAATTTAAAAAATTGATACAACTCAAAATAACGAAAAAATTAACTAAGAACATGGAAAAATAACACAAAATTGACAAGACCCACTCTCAGAACAGAAAGTAAATAAGTTTTCAATATGGCGTCACGGTCGTACCATTGGACGCTGTCAAATCTACGCGTTTCGACAACTTTCTAAAATTTCATTTGTCCATACCAGTAGTAGAGTGTACCTTGCTCTTTCATCTCTAAATCTGATATAATTGTACCCTTTTAAGCTCTAATTGAAAATTACTGTGTGCCAAGCATTTTGCTTTGAAGTAATAGCAGTTTGCAAGGACCTTCTCGAGCCGGTTTCACAGCAACACTCAGAAACTGTAAATTTTGTGAGAGAAAGAGTGAGACTAACTTCAAGTATGGAATATTAAAATAATCTTATCTCTTTATTTTGAGCAAGTTGAGAAGCTAGCAATCATTCAGTCAATCAATCAAATAGTTTAACTGTTAGAGGTTACATTTGCTTTGTTGACATTTTGTTACTCCAAAATTTCCTATTCAATTTAATTTTAAATGAACATAATTGCCAGCCTTCAGTATAACTATAAAGCTCACTGTAAATAATATAAATTTATTGATTCGAAAAAATGGTATACAACTAATGCCAACAATGTTTTTACCTGAAGTTTTACTAATATAGGAGGAACTTTTTTCAGTTTATTGCCTATTAATGTCTGGTTTCTATTAATTTAGCGGATGTAAGTAAGATTTCAAAATGTATTATTTGTGTATACAGCAGTTTGAAACATGTTACTGGCAGCTGATGAATATATTCACTGTTTAATGCATGCATCTGCCACTTGTATTCTGACGTTTTTCACTTCAGATATTTTCCATCTTAAATAAAATAATCTCCCTTAGAATTGTCACTGGAAGCTAGGCAAATGAACCTTCAACACATCAACTCACACTGAAGCATATTTGACTAGTTTGTATGTAATGGAGGAAAAACTGTGCATCCACTGACCATTGCAGACCATTTATCGATAGAGTCTACGCCAAATAAGTCCACACATTTCTAGAGTAGAACAAAATATCAGCTCTCTTCAGTTTTGAAATGAAAATAAGTCGGTAATTCAAGATGGCCGAAGTGCGTAAACTTATTCGGCAAGTACTCAATCTGAATTTCTCAACAAAGAGATCTGTGATAAGAAAAAGAGAATCTCGGTTAGCAACATTGAAAATTCAGTGTTTTATGTCATTTGCAAGAAGGAAGGATTTTTTTTCTAATCAAGTTTATTTATTTTTTTAATGTGAATGAGTGCATTTACCAGAAATGCTGTTAAAAATTATCGTTCTGTTTTATAAAAAAAAAAAACTGAAATAACAGCAAATATGATGAATAACTGCAACCAAGATTCATGTCACTACTTTCACCATTTACCTAGAAATTGTGAAACTGAGTTTGATATAAAGGAACCATGTCACATTTAAATAAAATTGAGTTAGAGTAATTCTAAGTTGGACCGGGGTCTCTGTTTCCCCTATCAAAAAATCTAAGCCCACCGAAGATTTTTAGTATCCCAAACATGGGCTTGAGCACTGTGGAAGAAGACAATTTTAAACCTCTTTTTCTAGGTTTTAAACTAATGTTACTCCGTATCTTTCTGCTGAATTCACTCCATTCATCTATTCACCATTCATAGAAGACTTTGCAGCAAAGGGGATAAACTCTGCATACATACACTGCCTTCCTCTTTCAATAATCGTCTTCAAGTAGATGAATGGCAGTGACAACTCACATGTCCTTTGCACAAATTTAATGGGTCCGTGAGAGAGCAAAAATGATAGGTAGATGCAACAATGCAAATATTTACCCATGAAACGTAGTTAAGCGCATTAAGCTTGTAGAATGATCACCCATTAATGATTGGCCACCAGCAGAACAACTCAAAATATGCACATGTAAGGAACTATCTCTGTATGAACGCCAAATTTTCTTGGCTGTCCTCTGAATTTGGTATCAACTAAACAATTAAGACTCGCTTGTGACTTGAAGAAATGTTTAAATTATATATTACCATTCTCGTTCAAAGCTTCTCCTCAGTAGTTTGCGATGCTCCATATCAATGTCTATTACAGTGATTCAAGTAGATGTAGTCAATTAAATTTTTATTTCCATGTCAAAGAGAAGTTTTCCGGCTCTTAATTTTATGCTGAAGAGCAGTCTCAAATGTTCAAAGAAATTCCTTTATGTTGATAAGTTATCCTTGCAGAAAAGCTGTGCTTGAGCACTACTGGAATCAACTATTAAGAAGTGTGGAAGATAGGAGAAAGGGTCCGAAGAACCAAAAAGCTGGTTGAGTGTACAACATTGCTGTCATTATTGCTAATAATAATGTGAAATTTATACAGTTTCTAAGTCAAGAAAATAACTGAAGCCCCTCAATTGTTCTTTTCCTAAAATAGGTATAGGAAAAATCAACCAGCTCATGCAAAAATACATGTTTGATGTCCACTGCTTTTTCTTAGAATTTCAGCTTTCTAAATTTCTGATGGATTAAATTTGTACCTCCCTAGCAGTGATAACACGAATGCGCAGTTCTTTAAAAATGTGTTTGACATGGAATATGCAGATTTAATTGTGTCTAATCAATTGATTCCATTGTTGAAACTTTCAAAATTGAAAGAAATCTGTTCAAACCCAAGATAAAACAGAGAAGGCCCTGGAGATGGAAGGGAAATCTGTTTAACTTGAACATCCTATAATTTAAGAAAGTTGTTTCAACAAAGTGTAGCCACATTTTTCATCCTCAGTTCTATAGACGAGGAAAAGAAAAAGAAAACAAAAGAACAAAAAAAAAAAAATCAGTTATTCTCTCTGCAACTCTTAAACCACCCAATCCAGCCGTACCAAAGGAAATAAAAAATAAATGATAATATACCAATATGCATGGACCATATAGTATAATATTTGTAACACAATACATTTTATATAATTATATATTTTTATGTATTATGTACACAATCGTAAAAATTATGCATCTTGGTTCGTTATTTATTCTATATTTTCTTTGTAATAATTTAATAGATGCAGGCGTGCCCTGCGAGGTAATCCAGTAAGGAAACAAAATTTGCAATTAATTTCTTTGAGTCTATTCCATTTTTTGTCAAATTAAAGTAAAAAAAGGGTCAAAAAAGACTTGGAAAATGCAACTTACAATTTAGTTTAAACGGGCTGCTTTGTAAAGATAGTTAATGTTGATTCTGATTTTTGTGCACCACACACCTCAAATGAGCTAATTCAGGCCAAAAGCTAAGCAACGGCAAATTGGGTATTCAGAATTAGAGAGCAAGAAAAGAAGAAGAACGAATTCATATGAGATTAGAAGAACATTTTAAAGGAAATCTCTGCCTGTGATAATCTTTTCCTCGAAGGAATGTGACATAGTTTAGCAGATGTTTCATTTTATTTAGATAAGCACGCCAATTTTAGATTTAGCCTGAATTGTATACGACTTGAACCATCTCTTTCTTCCAACAGTTTTTGAGACTCTTGGTCCTTAATTTTATTTTATGTTTCTCATTCAAGTAGTAAGTGATCTGAGGTGCAACAGAACTTGCTTAGAGCTCAATTTTCTCAGGAATTCCAAGTCTAAGTTGAAATTCAAACAAAATACATTGAAAACATGAATTAAATGTAATAATTTAGAGTCGGTCTATAATACGGGTATGATCTTCTCTAAATATTTGACAAATGAAAGTATTAGCCAAATCCTTGTCCTACTAAACTGATCACAAGAGACACAATAAAAAATGTTTGAAAATCGAACAATGACCAGAAAGATTGAGTCAGTTTTCCTTATTGTCAAGCCATGCATTATTTGTTCAGTGATTTTGTCGTATTCTCTTTCCTTATTAAGGTACCTAATTCCTGTTATTCGATAGTTTCATCCCTATTTGTTTTAAGTATTTTATCACCATCTGTTTGATAATTATCTTGTACATTGCTAATAATAGACTTGTGCTTTTAAATTTATCATATACTTTTTCTTTTCATTATCTTTGCTCCAAATCGATTGGAATTGTGTATCATTGGAAGTCTCTAATTTTTAGCTGCTTTCATTTTAATTAGTTCCATTAATTGTTGAAAAATTTGTTTAAATTTCTCTCTAAAGCAGTCACCTGCAATTATAAGAAATTATATGAAAGACACATAAAAGGGTTTTATCGTAATTCAGAATTAAGGAAGACAAATACAGGTCAGCTTAATAATATTTCTGTAGTATATGTAGTCAAGAAATTTGCCCATTGGGCACTCATTTTTCACGTATGAAAATCTATGGTTTTTCATGTTTATTTTTTCATGAAAAATTTGTATCCATTTGATTTTTTTAAAAGGGAACGGTTATTTTCTTTCCTCCAAAAAAATCTACTTATTGCCCAATTTTACATTTAGTGCAAGTTGACTGTTCAAGCTTTTGTTTGTGCAAATGTGTTATAATGAAGGAGCACAGTTTGAAGTACCATGTTGTGAGGTATCCGACGGGTTTCTTCATTATTCACACACTAAGATTCAGATAAGCATTCAAAACAGCTGAAGTAAGTTTGGCAGAGCAAAAAATTATTGTTATTTTTTGGCACAAAATCTCCACACTTAATTTTTTCAGAAGATCACTACCTGAAATTTTTAATCAGGCAAAGAAAAATGTGTAAAATTTCCTAGAGTTAGAAATAGATATTTTTATTTCATTGGATTGAAGTATGACAATTTAAAATGAATATTGAAGTTTGCGACATCACGAAATAAGATACTCCTTCCCTAGCATCTTTATGGATGAGTTATTATTTTTGCCACTTCACGATGGGAGTTCTGTTGAGGAAATTATGGAACTCAAGATCGCTGCAACAGTTTTCATGCATTAAATGATCTCTGAATACTATGAATTTTATGTACTTAAGTTGTTTGTCGAAGTTTGTCTTTTATTAGTCTTCGTTTGTAATTAAATTAATAAAAAAATTTCCTGCATATATCTTGGAGGTGTTTACGCGTTCATGTATATTTTTACACTCGACACCTGTTGTAATTATCTATGTTTGCAATCGTGTAAGGTATTATATTTATATGTTTGCAATCTAAGTCAGCCTCGGTATTATATTGTAGAACAGTTCAATGTCAGCCTTCTCATCAGATTGAAGATGATCATAATTCTATTAGTATCGGTATTTTAGTTCATAATTCTGAACATTTCTGCTATGTCTAAACCCGGGGAGGAGAATTATGCTCAAAAATATTCCCTTTGAAGGGCACGCCATTTTTATGAGCTATAGAAGTTGAGGTAAAGTAGGTTTTAATGCTTGCTTTGAGTTTCATTCGGTGCAGATCTGCAGGTGTCCTCTCAAAGTACCTAAATGCAGTTTTTACAAATGGCCAATCCAGTTGTTTCCTTCAAAGAGGAGTAGAAGACCACCAAAAACTATTGATGACTGAAAAATTCTCCTGGCAAATAGAGCAGAACTTGACAGTACTAATGTTTGGAGCCTCACTTGCCTTGAGAATTTTCGTTTATTAACGAGAGGATGAAGATAAAAAATCTCCAAACTTAGCAAAATCTCTCTCGTTTAGTCTTCATTTTTCAATACCTTTTACCTGCTCTGGCCGAATTTTCTTCACTAGACTACACAGGTTACTTTATTGAAGAAAAAGAAAAAAATAGTTATATGTACAATAATAAAAGTTTGTCTTGATTCTAGTTTCGTGGAGTCTTTCAAGACTCTCTGAGAACTCCACTAATTTTGTATATTCATTTCAAATCCTTATTAAAACTGCATTTTTTTCGGTCTCAGATTGGATCATTATTTTTCATTCATAAGGTATTTCATCATAGTTTTCGTAAAATTTCCTAGCCTTGTAATGTCAATATTTCACTAATTTTCACATACTGAGGTCTCATTATTTTGGTTTTCACCAACTGTTCCTGTTAATTTTATGGCGCAGTAAACAGCTCAAGTAGGTAGCACAGTTGCAGTAAAGTGCAATTATATTGTAAAGTTATATGCATTCGAGCATTGTGTATGTTGGCCATCCCTTACTGGAGGGCGCTCTTCGCATTGAATTTTTCTTCAAGGAAATTGTTATGAGATGCACTTGCTGTCCATCACAAATTGCCTGTCTCCCTAATGCATGGAACACATTCTATTAATTGTATTAATTCCTTAAAATTGGCACTCATTGACTAAATGATGTTAAAATAATTTGAGTTTATTGCATGGAATTGCAAATTCATCTCAATACTTTCGTTGCACTATGCTACTTGGGAGAAGAGAAAAAATCCAAAATTTTGAAGCTTTTTCCCCAGCTTTTTTTGCGTACTTACCTACCCTCTCTGCGAAAAGACATTACCTTAGCGTTGCTTCAGTATTGATAGTTCTCATCAATAAATTTGGATTGTTTCTCATGGAAGAGATAAAATTAAGAACGGAAATTTTGAAACACCGCAATGGAGATATGTGGTTTCGCACTTCAGTCGGTGCGATACGGACATCCATCAAGTTTAAAAAAATGCATCAAGTCCTCGTCACCGCCAACCAACGTGTTTGTCGATCGAATCAACTACAGGTTGTATGAGCAGCAGGGGGTCAAAACGCCTTCAATTTTTTGAACGCAATACGGACATACGTCGAGGTTGTATAGTTATATCAAGGCGCCGTAGCAAACGCGTCCCATTGTTTATCGTTACAGTCATAATGCCTTCAATTGTATACGTACATATTTTTGGGCAAAATGAGAGACGACGTTTCTCCATTTGCGACGTTGCAGACTTCCTTAGAAATTTTATTTTTCTTCGAGAAGGTGGTCGACATAAAACTTATATTCTCCATGATTTTTCGTATTCGATAGCAGAAGATTTGGTTCAAAATTTAAAGTCGTAAATTTGGATTGTTTCTCATGGAAGAGATAAAATTAAGAACGGAAATTTTGAAACACCGCAATGGAGATACGTGGTTTCGCACTTCAGTCGGTGCGATACGGACATCCATCAAGTTTAAAAAAATGCATCAAGTTCCCGTCACCGCCGACCAACGCGTTCGTCGATCGAATCAACTACAGGTAGTATGAGCAGGGGGTCGAAACGCCTTCAATTTTTTGAACGCAATACGGACATACGTCGAGGTTGTATAGTTGTATCAAGGCGCCGTAGCAAAGCGTCCCATTGTTTATCGTTACAGACGAATATAAGCTGAGAGAGGCCAGTCATAATGCCTTCAATTTTATACGTACATATTTTTGGGCAAAATGAGAGACGACGTTTCTCCATTTGCGACGTTGCAGACTTCCTTAGAAATTTTATTTTTCTTTCGAGAAGCTGGTAAACATAAAACTTAAATTCTTCATGATTTTTCGTATTCGATAGCAGAAGATTTGGTTCAAAATAATATGAGCTTTGGAAGCAGACAGAGATGCAAAAGCCATACAACTGTTGTACCTCAAAATGTTGGTCATGAAAATGAGTTAACAGGTCGCAAAGTTGGTCATTGATTCCAGGCTCGGTAAGTCTGAGAAGACCATTATGACAACATCTGTTAAAATAGCCGCGGTTCACCCCCTCTTTTTTGAAATGCAAGGCATCACAATACTGGCACTTCACATTTAAAAGTCCGCAATTATTTTCCGGAATAATTTAATTATTCCCCATTATAAATTTAAATTGTTATTAAATGATGATAAATTCAAAATTCCAATTTCAATTTCCAAAATTTCAGAACATGTTTTATCCTCTTTCAAAATTTATTGTCAATTCAAGGTGCTATCCAATTATAATAAATAACTTGAACGTGGTTGTTCTATGATTTCTTACGAGCAGTTCCCTTTCGGTGTTTAGCGGCCGCGTAGCGGCCTCAGGCCCCTAGTTTGAAGTATAATTTTCACACAATAAACTACCACAAACTGAAATATAATTTTCACATCATAAAATATCGCAGCGTGCACGTCTGCTTCTCATTTTATCGATCCTATTTGGTGATTCTTGACCCACTCTTCACTAAAAAGGAAGCGGAGAACTGAGCCAAAAATTTGCAAGTTCTCTCGGTCTCTTCAGTCAGCAGTGATTTTTTCCTTCATTTTTACATTTTAATGGTCCCGTTTTCGGCACTAAGAATTGACACTTCATGACGAGATACGCATTTTTGCAATCAGGGCCGGATTCAGGGGGTGGTCATATGGGCCGCGGCCCATGGAGGCAAATTTAGGGGGCGGTAAATGTTGCAATTTTTTCAAATGTAGGTATTAAAAAAAAATTTAGGCTCAGAAAAAAAATTACAAACTAGAAAAGGTGACAAAATCTCTCATTTCCTGAGAGTGAAAGTACCTATAGTAATTTCTAATTTGTTCGTCTTTCGGTGATATTAGAGACAGCTCATTTCATTAGTCAAGTTGAGAGAGAAACCAAACACGCATTGGCCTGGAGCGGCGCGGCGCAGAGAGCATAGATGACGAGGACCTGAAATGAACAGGAGAAGCTCACGGCGCGCCGCGCAGGTCAGCTTGGAACACATATTAGCGCCTACAAGACTCAATGAATACTTCACGCATTGCGTCAAATGTAGTGCGGTCAGCAGCGGTTGGCGTTGGCGTGGAACTTCGTAGTGCCTACAAGACTGCATGGATACTTTAAGCATTGCGCCAAACACACTGCAGTCAGCGCGATGATGCGGCGGAAGTTAAAATTATTAAACTACATTTATGTTTGTTCTTTCATAATTTTTTCGTTCATTTCTCATAAATGGAAGGCCTTGTCCACACAGAGATAGGTTTACGGAACTTAACTTTCGCCCAAAGTTCCCACAGGGCTTTCACAGAAAATGTGCCCAACACAAGTGCCTAAACGCGTCATGCAATTATGCACCCCTCCTCCTCCGGCACGTTCACTTGGTGGTTTGTATCGATGTTTCAATACGAATGAGAAAGGGGGCGGCAAGTAGGAAAATCCGGCCCTGCGTGTTAATTAGTGTTTTAAACCTGTTGTTGGAGGATTTTAATCATTTAAAGAATGAAAAAAGAGTTATTCACGCTCACAATTAGCTTTAGCTTGATCTCGCACGCCTGGATCAAGCACTGTATCTATGATTGGAAAATGATATTTGATCACGAGATACGCATTTCTGCGATTAGCGTTTCGAGCCTGCTCTTGATCATTAAGATCAAAAGTAGAGTTTATTCATCTTAAAACTTGTTTAGAAGCTTTAGTTGATCCAGTGCGATAGATGAAGCATTGTATGACTCGATTGGCTCTAATACAACTGACCGTTGTGATGAACCGTCAGTTCATGATTGCATTGGCCCAGGCGCTTTGTGCCGCGAGTAATAGGTACCTATGGCCTTCGCAGGGCCGGATCGGGGGGGTGGCCACACGGGCCGCGGCCCATGGCGGCAAATCTAAGGGGCGGCAAAAATTTGCAATTTTTTCACGCATTGCATCAAACACAGTGCGGTCACTGCGGTCAGCGTGAAACGCATAGCGCCTACAAGACTGCGTGAATACTTCACGCATCGCGCCAAACACGGTGCGGTCTGCGCGGCGCGGCGGTGGAAGTTAAAATCATTGAAACACATTTATGTTTGTTCTTTCTCAATTTTTTCGTTCATTTCTTATGCATGGAAGGCCTTGTCCACACAGAGATAGGTTTATGAAACTTAACTTTCGCGCAAAGTTCCGTGAACTTATGCTAGTAGTGTTGACAGGTTTTTCCCAAAAAATGTGTTCAACACGAGTAAATGCGTCTTAGGTATGCACCCCTCCCCTGCTGGCACGTTCACTTGATGGTTTTTATTGAGTTTCAAAACGAATGAGTAGGGGGCGGCAAAATACAGGCGGCCCATGGGCGGCAAGTAGGTGAATCCAGCCCTGGGGGCCTTCGAGTGATAAGCATTTGGCAACTTTTCAAAACCAGCGAATTCCTGAGAATAAATACAAAGACAGAACAGCTGATCAGCTGGACTGCATTCTGCAATTTGGACCTATAGATTCTAGCCCGGTTTAAAAACAACGCATGTGTCATTAGTTTCCCTATGCTTATAAGTGTTTTTCCAGAAGAGCCAGAATTTATAGGTCCAAATTGCAAAATGCAGCCCAGCTGATGTATGCGCTGTTGGCGGGAAAAGCTGAGGAGCGCGCGGTGTGCGTAAGGCGCGCCGGATCAAATGAAGGGGCCAGAACGAGATACGCATTTCTGCACTCAAGCCCGAGATACCTACGCGAAAAAAGTTCTTCTGTTTTGGGTGTCTTCCTGATTTTTTTCGATTACAATCTCTTGCTGGCAGATAGACGACATCCTCAACAACACGTTTATGCAGCTAACTCAAAACTGTCAAAAATCGAGATACGGACTTCTGCACTTTCACCATCGATATATTGAACAAAATAATCGAAAACGCATTATAGTCATCAATTTGAAACACCTTTTCCATGGTATGTGTGTTTTTGAAGTTCTACTTAAAAATTCTTTCACTCTTAACATTTTTTTATTGTTCGAACTAGCAAAATTGTAGCCTGAAAGGTTTTTGAATGCGCAATTAAATTACGAGGTTTTAATTTCAATTGTTAGTTTTCATTTCGTTTTTATTTTTTGGCTTGGATCTATTCGAAGAGCCTTTTATATGTATACTAAAAATGTCATACCTGCAAGAAATTAAACACTTTCGGGATTCTTATTCTCTAGTTCCACTTTTAGTTTTGGAGTAGGTATTTTCCTGACTCTGCCCCCTTCCCCACTCCCCAAGTGGCATTTTTCAACGGAAAAATCGAGATATTTTGAAATGATGCGATTTTTTCACGATTTAAGTATTGGTTACAAAATCGCTATGGGATGATCAAGCGCAGAGACTTGTATTTTTCATCTTTTTAAGGGGGGAGGACAGGGGATCATTTCCCATTCCAAGAAATTCTGGACTCATGCAGAAAATGAAGATACACCATGGGGCTATACGCGCTACGTCCTCCGATCGCTTCGCGGTCCAATCCTACGTAGCGCTTCGCGTCTCAGGCGTTATCCGTCAGGCGTTACTTTTATGATTTCATATTAAAGAGTATGATTTTTAGGATCTGTTTGAGTTTCCACGTTAGATTGACTTGTATGTCGCCGGTAAAGCTAGGGATGCGCTAGCGGAGGATAGATGAGTAATATGTAAACACAAGAGGAGATTGTCGACGGGAAATGATTTATGGACGAGAGAGAGGTAGTGCGCCGCAAAATGAGATCATAACCGCTGCATACGTGAATGGTAGATTCAACACTGGGTGAGGGAGTCGGTGTAGTTAGGACCGTTTTTATGGAACATCCCGCCGACTATAATTTAATAATATGCAACGACAACAGCAGCGCTACGAGCCTCGTCAGGTATAGACTGAAGGCAGAACTAAGTGTAAGTCTCATTTGGTGGGATTCAGAGTAGCGGTAGCCGTGTCCGTAATAAAATTAATAGACTCTTTTCTCCATTGAGTTGCCGACCACACCGAACGCTGACTTAGTTCGTAGGCCTCCCTCCGCTCGAATTCCACCCTGTGCTAACGTGTCGCTCTCTTTTCCCTCTCGATTCCGTTCTGAGGTGAAAGTTCCCGCTTGGATTCCCTCGATATTACGTCGTTTCACTCGTGAGGAATGGCTCCGAAAGATCCTGAAATACTCAAATTACAAGAGGAGTTGAAAGACATCATCAAGAAATGCCAAGTATGCCCGAAATTCTTTATTGCACCTTTGAAATTTCCGTTCACAGTAATTTAACAAGTTAGACTTAGTGTAGTAGAGTTTTATTTGCGATGGAGACTCAACGAGGATTCTTCCGTCCATATTCTTCACCACGCAGTGTTTAAAATATCCGCGGAAATTTTTTTTTGTACCAATCGTTCTTTGTATTTGTATTTTTTGTTACCGCAGAGATGCAATGCGTATACATTTTTGAGAGTAACTGGGGGGGGGGGGGTTT